CTCACCGAGCAGTGCGAGGGGAGATTTGATATTTTTCAAATCTCAGAGCTGATTATAATTATTATTTAAAAATGAGCGCAGAACCACATATTTCACGTCACGATTTCCTTGCTGTATAATCGCTGGTGACCGCCTCGAAACAATCGATTCACTACAATTGAGAACGCCGTCTGTAATGACGGGCGGCTTGAAATATTGGATTGGAACCCGTGACATCTGCAGTGCCAGCTCAGCGCTCTGACCTCGGAGCCACCCAGTTGGGCCCTGCTCCACGTGTCACCTCGGGCAGCACACGGAGCCTCTCCTGCAGAGGCGGTTGGTGGGGGTGGCGGGATTAGGGAAACGTTTGAGGGATGCTGGGTCGCCGCTCAATTTCTGGCTCCAGATTTCGAGGTTTCGTGGAAACTCCCCGTCAAGGCGCGCTGCGGCAGCGTGTAACCCCCTAATCAATACCTCGGCGTGACTCTGGCGCGCCCATTACGGAGGGGGCCCCGACTCCTTTTAATGTGCCCGCTCTCTCGTTAGGATCTCGCCCCCCTCCTCCTCCGGTGATTCCCACTCGTGGAAAAAGGTGGCGGTGGCGCTCACGGTCTTTGAAGCGTTGCTGGTGAGGGGTGGGGGGGGCGGTTTATAACTATGGACGTGGGAGGCAGTCCGCTTCGCAGGCACGCACACAGTGGGCATTAAGCAACGCCAACAAACAACGCCCACGCCGTGTCTCTATTTTTGGGGGGGGGGGGGTTTACAAAAAAAGTGGAGAGAGAGGGTGAGAGGGGAGGGTCCCCCTCGATCCGTTTGTTTTGTTTCGCGGTGTGAAGCGACTGAAGCGACGCTTTCAAGGCACGCCCGGGCAGGCGGGAGCGCTCGTCATGTTGTAATGCGTTCCAACAGAAGAAGGGATTTGTGTTCAAAGCCATTTTTTTTTGGTGCATATAGCTTGCTGCTCCCTCTCTGTCGTGCCGGTCCTCTACTGGGTGTGAGGCGGTGGCCGCCACGATGAGTCTACATGCGGGCGTCTGCTCGACGCGAGTGGCAGCGGGGGACCGGCCACGTTGTCGTCGTGCCAAAAGCATTAGCGATCAAAACTCGCAGAAGCAAAACCAGGGCGAACGAAGCACCCGGGTTTGCAAAGATGGTAAAACATTTGGGGTGGTTCTTTTCTTTACCCGTCGGCTTCCGCCCCCCCCCCCCCCCCCCCTACCACCACCGCCTGGCTACGTACGGTGCGCAAGAAATCTTCATGATGCAAGTACATGCGCACCAAAAAGATACCCTTTGCAAGGAATCAAATCTGCAGTATCCACGCGTGCATGTGTTGAACGTGCAAACAAGACGTGCGCCGACGATGATATATGGGCATTGTATTGGATACTGATTGGCCTACACCAGATATAATTTGGTGTTTGAACCTCTTAACACCTGTCGTATTGCCAGACAGGGTAAAGCCTACTCTTATTGTCCATACTTTGCTACTGGAAAAAAAATGAAAGATCCCATGATAGTACATACGTACTTAGGATCTTCCCCAACTTGTTGATCTGGCGGGTGACACGGCCGAGCCAGGGAGCGCGCTTGCCGCTCCTCGCAATTGCGTTCTGACAAATCGATCCGAGCGTCCGCCCTGGTAAACACTGCCCGGGTGTAATTCACCGCCCCGCTGTTAAACGTTGTAAAATATTGGGTTGAAACCTCGTGGCAAAATCGACCCCTTAGTGGCAGACTAAAAGGCGAAGCAGCGCCTTCACGATAGCCGCTTGCGCTGTCGCAATTGCGCGAATACCAAACGTATTTCAATCACTATTATTACAAGTGCTGCAACGGTATAATTATAAAACCGCGTGCTGTCCCTCAGCGGTGAAGCAATCGGCTGCTGGTTGAGGGCGGAGGGAGGCGGATTGCCTCCGCTCACCACCCCTCCGGGGGTCGATAAAATTAGTACAACTTTGTGGGGAGGACGTAAACAGCGGTTGACCCTACGGATCAACTCTTCCCCCGCCATGGGAAAGTGTAATTTCGCACCCACCGGCTCTACGAAGGGCTGTAAACATGAACATTGAGCACCGGGACGCCAATGCTCGTTTTGAGCAGCGCGTCGCTTTGTTACGACTCGTTATGGTCATCATTATTTAATATTTAGTTGGATGCAACCTCTGAAGAGGAGGAGGAGGAGGATGACGCGTAACAAACGAGCGCCGGTGACATCATCGCTGCAAATGTCTCTCTCCGGCCTGGGATCGGCTTCGCTTCTCACGGTCCCTGAGCCCATGACGTCAGCTCGCGTGCGCGCGCCCTAATCCCCCCCACCCCCTAAGGCATGGGGGGGTGGGGGGCTATGTTGGAGGCTTGGGGGGGGGCGGGGTGAAGGCGGGGGGGACACCTAGGGGGGGGGTGCTGGGGGGTGGGGAGGCGCCAGGGTGTGGGTGGGGTTGCCACCTGTCCTGGGGTTTTTTTCACCCCGAATGGCTCTTTGTTGTGAGGCAGGATTTTGGGTTTAGTTTGTTGTCCTTTCCCCGCATCAACGTACATACAGGCATACGTAGACCCCCCCTCCCGCCGCCCCCGAAACGTCAAGCGGTCAGCAACAAACAGCACCAATCGAAATTGTCACGAACAGCATGACACGCGTGCGCAAAGGGGGCATGCGTGGACAGCGCCACGACTCGGTCGGCCGCCTTTGTCTCCGGAGTACCGATGTTTCGCGCGCGCACACCACACCAGGTGCCCGGCATCGCCCCGTGCAACGGTCAGCACGCTGGGTCGATTCACTCTCCCGGCGCGGCAGTTGAAAAAGCGGCGCGAGTTTCTTAAATATCCCCCCGAGATCTGGGCTCAAATTTGTTTTGGTTGTCGGCTGAGCTTGCGAGATCTGTGCTCATCTCCGGCTGTGGTCTCACTTTGTCATATCGCGCCACAAAATCTGTGCCCGTCGTTGGGAGCCCGTAAGAGTTCCAGCTACCCGGCGGCTCTTGGTCCGAGTACTCTGTACTCTATTCAAGTACCGTGATTGTTTATGTTGGCAGAAGGCGCGCAAAGGAACGGCCGTAGGTGTTTTGAGCACCGTGGTGGCAAATAAATTAACTACCTCACCTGGAGTACAGGAGGTCGTGGGTTCCATCCTGACGCCTGCTGTATAGTTGGAGTGTGTGTGTGTCTCTCTCTCATCATCAACATGGTGGCTAGGAGATGTTAACTACCTCGCCTGGTGTACAGGAGGTCGTGGGTTCCATCCTGACCCTGACGCCTGCTGTATATTTGGAGTATGTGTGTCTCTCTCTCTCATCATCAACATAGTGGCTAGGAGATATTAACTACCTCGCCTGGTGTACAGGAGGTCGTGGGTTCCATCCCGATCCTGACGCCTGCTGCTGCTGTATATTTGGAGTTTCCATGTTCACTCTCCCCGTGGTCGTGTGAAATTTTCCCCGGGGTCCTTCGCTTTTTCCCTCCACATTTAGAATCAACATCGCGCATTTCAGAGTATTTGGCTTCCTATAAATGTCCACATCGTATGCCACTATTGTTGCGCTATAAATTGTGGCCGGGTCGCTTCTGAACAAAAAAAAAAACAGCTATAAAGCTCAGTGGGCCTTACCTGGTTAAAATAAAAAAAGAGTTTGTAATCGTATATCTTTCTGCGCCGTGGTCTTCGACGGCCCTCCTCCTCCGCCCGCCTGTCCCGCGCTCATTGTCTCCCGTCCCGTGGTCCCGTCGCATCTCGCTGTAGCAGGAGGGGTCGAGGGGTCACGTCCGCGAGCTCGCGACGCCGTGGATGTTTCGCCCGTGACCCCGGGGGCTTCGGTATTTTGGCTGCTTTTCATCAGAGCTGCTCTGTGAGCCGTCCCTATCTCCCCACTCACCCCACCACCACCGCCTCCCCTGCAGCCCCCCTCCCACTTCCCTGTACACAGCCCCCCCCCCGCCCCCCAACTCGCCTCCATTCATCAGCCTCCGGCATACACAAGAGCTTCAGCTATCTGGGAAATCCTTGTCTCTCAGCAACTCGCGACAATGTGACCCCGAGTGCGCATACCCACGCAAGGACGCGTGCAAGCAAAAGCTGTTTGCGCGCGTTTTATGCGTTCCCCCCCCCCCCCCACACGCCACTTCGTATGCCTCCGCCCCCCGCCACTTCACGATCCCGCTCTGTGCGCCCCCGTAATGAACCCCTCCCACCTCCCCTGCCGTCACCCTGCGAAGTCGCCCGTGTTTGAGTGACACCATTGTCTGTGGCGTTCACGCCAAGTTTAGACACGTCACCTTTTTTGTGCCCCGACGGCTTTTTTTCCGTGTGTGCGTGCGTGCGTCTGCACGTGTGTGTGTGTTTGTTTGCACGTGTGTGTGTGTTTGTGTGCTGGCAGCGGTGGTGCAGTGGTTTACACCGCTGTGCTAAGGGAACCCAGAGACCCGAGTTCCATTGCCGGCCACTGCTGTTGTTAGTGGCGGGCGATGTCCGAACCGTTCCTGTGCCTTGCCGGGCACCTGCTGTGGTGTGTGTGCGCGAAACATCGGCAATCGGGAGACAAACGCGGCCGACCCAGGCGTGTGGCCCTGGCCACGCCGCCCCTTGTACACGCGTGTCACGTTATTCGTTACAATTTCGTTTGGTGCTATTTGTTGCTGGCCGCTGAACGTTTCGGGGGGGTCTTGGTATGTCTGTATGTGTGTTGAACTTCCTTCACACCATACATAGCCAACCGCACTCATCGGAGGTGCGGGGGAAGGACAACAAACTAAACACAAAAAAGCACTTCTCAACAAAAGAGTTTTCAATGTAAATTATTTAAAAGTGCATAGCTCCAGTGGCTTCCTAATATCGGAAGGAAGAGCGTTCCAGACAGCCACAGAAAAGCGTTCCAGCAGGGGTGGGGCCAGCGAGCTAGACGGCTGCGTGTCGACTCTGCAGCAGCAATCTTCGAGCACAAGCTCAGCAAAGGCCGCGACCACCGCCCCAACTAACCTGCTGTGCTGCCACCCCACCCCTCGTCGCCTTTCGCCCACAGAGGACCAGGTGCCCCCCGGGTTCCCGCGCATCGACATGATGCCGCAGCTGAAAGTGGTGGAGCGGACCCGCACCGCCACCATGCTGTGCGCCGCTACGGGCAACCCGGACCCCGACATCCGGTGGTTCAAGGACTTCTTCCCCGTGGACACGCAGGCCAGCGCCGGGCGCATCAAGCAGCTCCGCACCGGTAGGCGGTCCTCGTGAGACCACCCTCCCCCCCCTCTCACCCCATCGGGTGGGGGGGCACACGGGGGGGGCGGGGGGGCACACGGGGGGGGCGGGGGTGGGTGGTGGGTGATTGAGGGAGGAGGAGCGGTGGGGCGGGGAGGGGCAATCGCTCCGCCGTGTCCGTGCGTTGTTGAAGGTGGTGGTGAAGTTAGGGGGTCTGGCAGTGGTGGTCGCGAGGGAGGGCCCATTTGAGCGGAGTTCATGGGGAGCTAAACCCAAGCCCCTAACCGAAAATTCAAGCTCTATGACCCCAACCCATAAACCTAGCCCTTAAGCCTAAACCTAACCCTAAATCATAGTCCAACTCTGTCTCTAACCCAAGCCTCGTACCCTCAATCTAACATATTTTGCCCAAATATAAGCCGTGAAACTAAACCCTATCCCCTGATCCCTAACCCGGAGTCACGAACACCTGAATTCTTAAATTACAATCCCTATCCACAGCCTAAACCCCTACGTCTTAACCATTAAACCATCATCTCTAACCCCATAAACCTCTAACCTCCAAACCCATCCTCCAATTCAACCCTTTTAAGTGAAAGTGATGCTCCCTTTTAAAAAAAAAATGTATCAACTGCAACCCAAGGGAGCTTCTTTGCTACGGGACATCAAATTTGCTCCGTAATTGGCAGTGCAACTCTGCGGGGACGGTGGTGCCGCGCAGCCGGCTCCATCACCGAGCGGCCAGGAGGGAGCGAGCATTGTCCACGCCGAGCCAGACATTCCGACGCTCGTTTGCTCGCTTGCTCGCTCGCCCGTCCCGGCGCTTCGTATTCGCCGGGGCTGAATGCAGAGCGCGCAGCACAACGCTCGTGCAGAGATGACTGCGATTAGTTTAGGGGCCCGGACCGTACCTCTGGCCGCGGGCGTCCGAGTTCGTTCACTCAGTCAGAGAAGCACCGGCGCTGGCCCCGTCCCCCTGGTTGCCGATCTAAACGGCGCCGCGCGCGCTCAGGCAGAGACCTCCGGGTGAGTTCCGCCGAGGTCCAACTAATATAATCCTCGCGAGGCCGCGCTGTTCCCCAAGCGATTGCGACGTCGCCGGCATCCCGGCCTCCCCCCCCCACAACCCCCCCCCCCCCGGCTCCTTCTCTGTGCCAGCGCCTGGCCCAGGCGTGGGAACTCGTGGCCCACGAGGTGAGAGCCCGAAAGCGTCGCTCCATCATTTTATCGCCACGTTCTACCGCCCGTTATTTGTTTGTTTCATTACATTAGCGAGCGTGAGAGTGTGCTCGAATTATCCCCTAACTCATTTTTATGTTTGCGTGCGCATGTGATTTTTTTTCTACTCCCACCATCCAGTTGTTATGTTTCCTATGAGCATTAGAAATTGAATTCGCAGGGGGAGAAGATTGAAAACGATTACAGGAGCTCCTCAGTTCATTACGGCCTGGGCTGTGCGTAACCACCAGCCGCCAAGCGCAAACTCGTCCACCGCCACCCCCCGCAGATCCCCATCCCCCCCCCCCCCCACCACCTCCTCCACCACCCCCTCCCGAGCACGGCGTTTGTATAAAACGTCACCGACATCGTTTAAAATGAAGGAATGAAATCACGCGCTCGGCCCCCGTGTGCCGCCGAGCGATGAGAGAGCCTGCGCGGGGAAATGCCGGATTGAGCGCCGCTCGCCGAGCCGGAGTTTGATTCATGGAACCCGCGAGGTCCCCGCGGTTTACCCGGTGGCCCCCATTGAGCAGCAGTGCAGCGATCCAGCGGGTGCAGGCGGTGGAATTGCACCCGGGGCCCACAGCCTCAGGTTCCGGGCTACGAAGAGGGGGGGGGGGTGAGGGAATCGGACAGGAGGGGATTGGGGGGGGGCGGGGCCGGTTTTATTCCTTGCCCTAGGGAACAGTGCCAGGCCGCTGGGTTGGGCGTTAATCACTGCGGCTCCTAGAGCCAGACTAAGGCTGCCAAAGGGTGTCAGTGTTAATTCAGGAGGCTCAGAGAGCCGGACTAAGCCTCCCCCTGGGGTTCAGTCAGCGTGCAAGTGGCGCTACTGTGCCAAGACCCACGGGATAGAGGGGCTAAGGTGCTGGGCTATGAAGGTGGGAATGGGGGGGGGATGGACAGCACGGCCAGAGTGGGAGGGGAGCGATTTCACTCCCACAGCACCCTGAGCGCCCCGACCACCACAGCTCCAACACAACTAGCGGAGAGGGGCCCAGCGTATCAGTCAAAGCCGCCCTCTTGCGGACCCATCGAGGACGTCCGAACCCAGACAAATCGAGGACCATCGCCCCTACGGCCCCGATGGTATGGTCCCCCCCCCCCCCCCCCCGTCACCTTTGCTCATCGAAGCGAGAGAAAAAACACATTTGCGGAGAGGGTTACATCCTTGCTACCACCTTTGCCCCCCCCCCCCCCCCCCCCCCCGCACAACCTCCCCCTTGCTGCCCATGCCCTCCTCCCAGCAACAGACCGCACGGACTGTAACGGCGGAGCGCGTGTGTGCGTGCTTGCGGCTGTGGGGGGTGCGGAATTGTAGTGGGTCAGCGCGCTGCGCTACGAGCCTGGCGACCCGAGTTCGATTCCCGCTTATGGCCAACAGCAGTGACGGATATCTGAACCGGTCACGGGCCTCCCCTAGGTCGACTCAGTCTCAAATGAGCACCTGCTGTGGTGTATAAACATCGCCACTGGGGAGACTAAGGCGGCCGGACGTGGTGTTGGCCACCCACCCCCTCGTGTGCCGTGCCGGCCTTCATAGATGCTCGCTAACAGCACTTGCCCCAGCAGTCTGTTAAGGCTACACGGGGGATCTTTGTCTTTGTTGCCAGCCAATCCCTAACGCGTGGCTCAAGGACGACTCCGCTGCGATGCACGAGACGTGCAGCGGCTAGGCCCCTCCAATAATGTCCTCGGGAAATAATGGGTGGAGTGCCGTGTGTACGCGTGTCTGCTTGTGTGCGTATATCGGCATTTCTGGGGGTGTGTGTGTGCGCGCGCGCGTGCGTGCGTCCGTGCGTGCGTGTGCACAGGCATGTGCGTGTGCGCGTGTGTGCGAGCGAGCGTGTGAGAGGCCGTGTGTGCGTGAGATCTGCCCGGGGCCGCCTTCACTCGCGCCGCTCTTGGCACCTCCAAGTGCTGCCTTCGCGAACGCCATCTGCAGCTGCTGCTGCTGCTCCTCTGGTTCATTTCGTCGGTTGGACTTGTTTCGCATCTTTTCTTCACCTCCGTGTGTGTTCCTTATTTTTATGCGTTTCGTATCCCCCCCCACCCAACCCACCCCACCCCACCTCCCTCCTCTGGCTGCTCTTCGCTGTCGGTCACATGGGTGAGGTGGGGGGAGGTGAGGTGAGGTTGACTTCCATCCCCCTTCCTCACCTTCCGCGTCATCCTCCCTCGTGCGCGATGGGTGTCATGGTGACAATTGGCCTTCTGTTTTTTTTCTTTCTCCTGCCTGTTTTCTGTTCTCACGCTGTCTTTTTTCTCTCTCTCTCTATATTTTTTTTCGGCACCCCCGTCTGTCATTTCATCCTCGTCCTCAGAGTCGTTTGGTGAGTGTACGCGCCTTCATTTCGCTGGCAACGGGCGTTCGTTCGCTCGGTCTGGAACGAGCCCGAGCGGATGAGCGCGGGTCGCAAAACAACAAACAAAAAAACACTCACGGAGCAGACGGAGATGCTCGCGCGTGCGCTCCTAAGATGAGCGAGCTCGGAGTCAGCCGAGCGAGCGAGCGAGCTCAACCGCGGCGTGGCTTTGGTCGTTCACTCTCGCTCGTGACGGCCGACACACAGTTCGCACACATCCTCAACCGCATCCACAAGCACGTCCTCAACCACATCCACAGCGACATCCACAACCACATCCACAACCACATCGTCAACCACATCCTCAACCACATCCTCAACCACATCCACAACGACATCCACAACCACATCCACAACCACATCCTCAACCACATCCACAACGACATCCACAACCACATCCTCAACCACATCCACAACGACATCCTCAACCACATCCTCAACCACATCCACAACGACATCCACAACCACATCCTCAACCACATCGTCAACCACATCCTCAACCACATCCACAACCACATCCTCAACCACATCCACAACGACATCCACAACCACATCCTCAACCACATCCACAACGACATCCACAACCACATCCACAACCACATCCTCAACCACATCCACAACCACATCCACAACGACATCCACAACGACATCCACAACCACATCCTCAACCACATCCACAACGACATCCACAACCACATCCTCAACCACATCCACAACGACATCCACAACCACATCCAGAACCCCATCCACATCCACAAACACATCCACAACCGCATCCACAACCGTAACCGCGTTTCATAACCACAGCCGCCTCGTCCATCGCTTAGCGAGCCTCGCGCGCCACTTTTCCTCTCCAGCAGGACTGACGGCGCTACGCCGGGAGGGGTGGGGCAGGTCCCCGTCTTCCCGTGTGAAGTTGACTCCAGCGCCTCCGAGCAGAGGGGCAACGCGGATTAGCGTCACCGCCGCCGCTGCAAAATTTGCCCGACGCTAAAAAAAACCCCGCGGCATTTCCCGTCGAGCGGGGCACGTGCACACGAGTGTGTGTGTGTGTGTAATTAAGCGACAGCTGACAGCGGTAATTATTAGCTTAGCAACAATCGCCCCCGTCTTCCTGAAGAAGGAGGAGGAAGAGGGAGGCATTCTCGAGAGAAGACGTCACTGTTACGATTGCGAGAGGCGGTTAATATTGAGAGAGGGCGGCCTCGGGAGGGCGGGGGCGGTCGCGAGACACTTTCTGGTTAGAGGTCAAACAAAAACTTTAAAACGTCGATAGACCCCGGGCCAAATAGACCTCCTTGAGAGGATTTAAAAAGTCAAAGTGAGATCCTGCTCAACTGAACATTGAGGCTGTACTCATCTCCTGTTTACAGCCCTGAGCCAGTGCTCGACATTCCACATTCCTGTGGTCGGAACAAGTCTATCCATAGGACAACAACCACTGTTGACTTCCCCACAGAGTGGTGGCACGAATTGCATCGACCCTGGAGTGATGATGAGCTGAGTCAACCCCCATCATCCCCCCCTCCTCCTAACCGAGACTTGACCTCGTGACCTTCTCGATCGCGAGCCACTGGATCTTCCACTGAGCCACCCGGCCGGGATACATGACCTTTCCAAAGTCGTAAAAAAAAAGTCTCGCGTCGATCTACTAAGCGTTAGGCGGAGTAAACCGACGCAAGATGATGAGAAAAAAGATTAAGGTTTCACCCTTTCTGGCGATGAACAGGTGTTAAGATGTTCAAACACCGCGTAAGATACCTTTTGCAAGGCATCGAGTCTGCATTAACCACACATACTCGCCTGCAAAACATACAAACAAACATTCTCTGATGATAATGTACCCATTGTCTTGGAAACTGATTGGCCTACACCAGAGACAGCCTTCTTCATGGTCTTGTCTCACCACCGGTGTGAGTAGACCGGAGCACGCCAAAAGGCGAAGACAATGCAAGTATACTTGATGCATCGCCGCGTATTCTGCGATGTTTTCCTGTCGGCAGGGTTGCGATTCTACCAGTAAGGGGAGGGGGGGGGGGGAACTTGCCACGCGGCTTCCCAATTTATTGACCGACCCTGGCAAGCGTGGACGGTGAGCGCGTTCCACAGGGCACCTGTGATCTCAGAATCAGATTCTGATTCTCAGATTCTGATTCTGAGATCGGGGTCATAGCTGCCAGGCACTCCTTCACTCGCAGTACCAGCTAACCCCACCACCCCTCCCACACCAACCGATCCTACCCTTACCTTCCTCCTTCGCAAGTTCCCTTCCCCGACCCAACCCCCGCACCCGCACTCCCCGTGTCCCGAGTCGTGCGGTCTGCGCTAGGCGCTCGCGAGTTTCCTTCTGCTTGTGTCTCGGGGTTCGGGAGCCAGGGGCGGTCGTGGCGACCGCGGGAGGAGGCCGGGTTCCGTGGAAGTCAAAGGAGGATTTTATTTTCAAAACAATCGCCAGCGGCGATTCTGACGACGGCCCTCGCACCGCGTGTCCACGGCTAATGGCAAGGGGGTGAATGAATAGTCGCGCGAATTGGCAGACGTCCCGTTAATTGCGACTTATATATAGCGCATTTGGAAACTGCGACAATCTTAGAGGTAAATAAACTACGACGGACATAGCCTGTCCAAAAAGGGGATGGGGGGGGGGGCAATGTCCATCACCTGGAGTTAACATCCACGAACTCTCCTCCTCCAGCAGCCACCCTCCCCCTGCCCCCATGGTGGTTGCTAAAGCGACCTCTGCCCCCTAACAATTGTCGAATTGCACTAACGCTCTCTCCTATTTCTGTTTTATTTTTGTTTATTCATTTTCTCTTTCGTACACCCAGGCAGTGGCCCTATCAGAGGTAAGGCCGCCTCCACGCACCGCGTGCTGTCACGTGCCATGGCTTTCGATTCCAACCACAACCACCAACGATTTCGATCACAACCACCACCGGACATCCCTGTGCCCATCTTCCTCCGCCGTGTGAGCGTTGCCGCCACTGAGCGGTTGGTGCAGCTGAGTGCGGTGTGCGTGCGTGCATTTGTGAGTGCATGAGCACGAGCGCGTGAGTGAGTGTGTGCTGGTGAGTGAGCACGTGAGTGAATGCGTGAACGCGTGTGTGAGTGAGTGAGTTGCGTGCGTGTCCACGCTTCCGCGCTTCCTCCCCGTCGTCGTCGCGAGCGCTTGCGGGCCACTCTTTGGTTACCCACGCACACACGCAAACACGCAAACGCATACGCCCACGCACACACACGTTTTCGGCACGCGGCTCGACCCGAAAGTGCATCGCAGAGCGATATGGCACGCTGACTGAAGTGACCTCGACAGGAGGCCTAAGCAGACAAAGACAAATATCCCCAGTATAGCCTTATACAGGCTGTTGGGACAAGTGCTGTTCGCGAGGAACACCTATGAAGGCCAGAAACACGCCTCCTTTTGCACACTGCGCCTGGTAGTCATTTCAGTCGACGTAGGGGAGGCCCAGGACCAGTTCAGATAATCGTCACCGGTGTTGGTGGCCGTTAGTGGGAATCGGAATTTGGGTCGGCAGGTTCGTAGCGCTGCGCGCTAACCGCTGCACCATCACTCTAGGAGGCCTAGACAGAGACCCACACTCACGCCCAGCGGCCCCACACTTGTAGCTCAACCAATAATGGAACTGGCCAAAGGAGGACCCACCAGAAAATGGCCCTGAGCTTCGGCGAAACATTCCTGGGTAAATAATTGCCGATCCCTGGGCCCAGTTCGTGTGGTGGTGGTGGTGGTGGTCGTGACCGTAGTGACATGAAGGTAGCAGCGTCCGGTGATATCGCGAAGAAGTTAGAGCCTTCCGCAACTTCTGTCGTCGGGAAAACTCTGGCACGAACTTTTCACCTCGGTTCATGTCGTTTTTTTTATTTTTTCCAAACGCGTTTTTAATTAATCCTCTCGCCCGAAAACAAATGCCACCTCGCTAAATTGCTCAACTGTAAACGCGGAGCGTATTTCAAGGCAACAATAAAGCAGCGCGCTTTCCGATGTGCATTACCAGTTTATTTTTTGGGAAGCGATTGATCGGCCGTGGCATCGATTTTTTTTGCATGCTTTTTTCCTTGCCACGCATGATTCACGTGGGGGGGGGGGTGGCGAATTAAACGTGCTTATGTTATAAATGTGCACCCATCGCCCTCTACCCCCTCCAACCCCAGCTACCGCCCGCCACACATGCCAGAAACCTCCCTGGTGCTTGTAAGTTTAAAAAAAGAAATCATCGTCAACTTTTAAAAACCAATTTCCCTATCCCTGTTGAATGTGACCTCCACCGCTTATAATCGCCGCGTTGCTCAGTTTTCATGAAATGGATTTTTAGCAATGGCCACTCGGAAATTAACCGATTTTTTTTGCCTGCATCGTGCTGACTTTTTTTTATTCCGTAAAAATATATATATGGAATGTGACATTAGTTCCAAGGGTAGCTTTTGCACATATATACATCGAGGCTTTCACATTGCCTCCAGTCTCCAGAAATTACTTCATATATATTTCGCAATCCCCCACAACCCCAAACCAATTTGTCCTGCACGTTTCATTAAAGGAGAAGTACAGCGGGGGGAAATATAATGTTCATCTTTAGAATCCCATTTCTGGGATGCGTACGACAATAATTGACAAATTCACAGAAAAGGCCTCGGCTATTTCATCTTTTATTACAAGAGGAAATGAATTGCCCCACGCGGATTTCTTTGTTAGATTTCTTTTTTTTCAAAATGACTTGCGCGGAGGAAATGTTCGCATTTGTTGATTTACGTGCCCCGTGTTTTCCGAATGGGGGTGGCGGTGTGGGATTATTGTGACCATTATCATCACGACTTTAGAGAGGGTGCCATGAGACAATCAGTAGCCAAGTGCCCTGTGTGGCTTCAGAGGCTCCGAGCATGGCCCCCCACCCACATCCCCCCTCCCCCCAGCCCCTGTCACTCACGACGCTCCATCGCTGCAACCGCTCAACGGCACATTTACCCACTCACATTCAATGTTTCTCCACTTAATTTAGCTAAAGTATGGCTGTGGGCGTTAAAAAATAAAAAAAATACCCGCTTGCATATCCATTGGATGAACATTGCTTTCTTGGACCGAGTGGGTTGGGATATGTCTGCGCCTCTGCCGTGTTGACCATGAGTCTTTTTGACCGTGAGTCTTTTTGAAGGGTTCTCGGAGGTAGCTCTGTGACATCCGCCTCCGTTGGCCATTCTCTAGCACGTTAGACCTGCACTGGTCCGCACTGGATTTAAATGGATATCTTAAGTCTCGTGGCTTTACGCAGATGTAGCGGGGCGACGAGGTAGCGGGGCGAGGAGGTAGCGAGATCCGGAGCGTCCTGTCTTCGCCACCGCCAAAACGTCTCGTTAAGCGAAGGCCACCCAGCGTCGCACTCCTCTTAGCGGCGGCGAGCGCGTCGGCAGCGCGGAGACCACGGGAGGCTGCCAAAATAAAAATCGTTTAAAGAGGGAAAAAAATGGTGAAAGAGAGTGAGAGCCAGTAAACATCTCTCGGGGAGCTCAGAAACAAATAATAATAGCGCGGGTGTGCTGTGTTCCGCCAAGCTCCATGCTGCGTTTCGCCAAGCTCCGTGCTGCGCTCACGGGAAATGTTTAAAATTGTTCGGACGGAAGGCGCGGGGACACGCGCCGAGCAGAGCACGTGCCTCGCCGCTCTGCACTTTTGACTTCCCTTTTCATGAGGCAAGCTCGGTCTCGGAGCGAGCGCCGGGTGGCCGACTGCTCTCCCCCCCCCCCCCCCCCCATTCTCCCCCCTCGTCGTAGCAGCCCCGCACCTTGACCTTGAAACTCTTGCAAGAGTGGTGCAGCCCCTGTTGACCTCCGCGGGGTGGGGGGGGGGTGGTGGGAACGTCCCGGTCGCCTGCTCTGCTTCGCTCTCTCTGCCCTGCAGCCGAGTAGGCTCATGGAGACGGGGCCCACTCTGGGTAGCGTGCCCCGTGTCCCCCAGACAGTTGGCGTAGCTGTGAAGTGTGCGGGCAATGCAAATGCACCGGTGCCCACGGACTGTGGAGGAGCCTAGGCGGGAGGCTATGGAGGGCGGGGGTGGGGGGGAATTGGACAGGGGAGGGGGGAACTCCCATTCTATTGCTCCACGTCACTGACCGTTCGATGACGACGACGGTGAACGCGACGCCGCCGCCATCACGCGCGATACCACGCTGACCCCGAAACCCCCCCCACCCCCTGCACTCTTGACCCCGTTACCGTCCGCGACCCGCAGGCGCCCTGCAGATTGACCTGAGCGAGGACTCGGACCAGGGCAAGTACGAGTGCGTGGCGTCCAATGACGTCGGCACGGTCTACTCGGCTCCCGCCAACCTCTACGTGCGAGGTATGGAGCCCCTCCGCCTTGACCTCCCCGACCCCGTCCGTTGCCCCCCCCGCCCCCCCGCGCGCCCCTCCCCCACCCCGTCGCTCTCTCGGCCGATCGGGGAGAAAGGGAATGGCAAACGGAGCCGCCGCAAACCACCGCTGCTCTAACTGCGTCGGTCGATTGGCCTTGGCGTCGCTGCTTCCGCGCGCCATGTTGTTTGCAGCTCCGCCGCGAGCCTCGCCGTGGAGGGCGGTGACCTTTGCCGCGGGGCGAGACACGAGTGGGGCGAGTGCCACCGACGACGCCTCGACGCTTGTGCACGCGGTGGTGGTTGTGATGATGGTGGTGGTTGTTGTTGTTGTGGTAGTCGGTAGTGGAGGGGAGGAGGATTGAGGGCAGTATCGCGGGGCCTGCGACTGTGTACTATTTCAATGTCAGCGCGTACTCCAGCCCTCCTCCACGCGGCCACAATCACGAGCGCTCGCTCAGCAGACACGATCTCAAATTGTATATTTCTCCCTAATTTCCTAAATGTGCTCTTTCGCACGGCGGCAGCAATGGAGAGAGAGAGAGGCACTCATGAGTTGATAAACTACGCACCGCTGACTAAATCCGGTAATGTTCAGCTTTGCCGACGGAGCGAGCTCCGATCTCAAATACACACACACATCTCAAACACACACATCTCAAACACGCACACACATCTCAAACACACACACACATCTCAAACACACACACACATCTCAAACACACACACACACATCTCAAACACACACACACATCTCAAACACACACACACACATCTCAAACACACACATCTGAAACACACACACACATCTCAAACACACACACACACACATCTCAAACACACACACACAGCTCAAACACACACACACATCTCAAATACACACACATCTCAAACACACACACACATTTCAAACACACACATCTCAAACACACACATCTCAAACACACACACACACATCTCAAACACACACACACATCTCAAACACACACACACACATCTCAAACACACACACACATCTCAAACACACACATCTCAAACACACACACACATCTCAAACACACACATCTCAAATACACACACACCTCAAACATGCACACACACACACATCTCAAACACACGCACACACATCTCAAACACAGACACATCTCAAACACACAACTCAAACACACACACACAACTCAAACACACACACACATCTCAAACACACACATCTCAAACACACACACACATCTCAAACACACGCACACACATCTCAAACACACACACACATCTCAAACACACACACACATCTCAAACACACACACACACATCTCAAACACACACATCTCAAATACACACACACATCTCAAATACACACACACACACACATCTCAAACACACACACACATCTCAAACACACACACACACATCTCAAACACACACACACATCTCAAACACACACACACACACACATCTCAAACACACACACACACACACATCTCAAACACACACACACACATCTCAAACACACGCACACACACACACATCTCAAACACACACATCTCAAATACACACACACATCTCAAATACACACACACATCTCAAACACACACACACACATCTCAAACACACACATCTCAAATACACACACACCTCAAACATACACACACACACATCTCAAACACACACACACACATCTCAAACACACACACATCTCAAACACACACACATCTCAAACACACACACATCTCAAACACACACACACAACTCAAACACACACACACATCTCAAACACACACATCTCAAACACACACACACACACACATCTCAAACACACACACACATCTCAAACACACACATCTCAAACACACACATCTCAAACACACACACACCTCAAACATACACACACACACACACACATCTCAAATACACACACACATCTTCTTTGGTTCTTTCGGTAAAGTCACGTAGAATGAGAATAAAATAATAAATTGATAAAATAAAATAACACAATAATATTCTCACGACGTTTCGGCCACAACACAAGCGGCCTTCATCAGGTGAAGGGAGCGAGACTGTCTGGTAGGACATCTCAAACACACACACACACATCTCAAACACACACACATCTCAAACACACACACACATCTCAAACACACACACACACATCTCAAACACACACACACACACATCTCAAATACACACACACATCTCAAAAACACACACATCTCAAATACACACACACATCTCAAACACACACACATCTCAAACACACACACATCTCAAACACACACACATCTCAAACACACACACATCTCAAATACACACACACATCTCAAACACACACACATCTCAAACACACACACATCTCAAACACACACACATCTCAAACACACACACATCTCAAACACACACACACATCTCAAACACACACACACATCTCAAACACACACACATCTCAAACACACACACATCTCAAACACACACACATCTCAAACACACACACACACACATCTCAAACACACACACACATCTCAAACACACACACACATCTCAAACACACACACACATCTCAAACACACACACACACACATCTCAAACAAACACACACACATACACACACACACATCTCAAACACACACATCTCAAACACACACACACATCTCAAACACACACATCTCAAACACACACACACACATCTCAAACACACACACACACATCTCAAACATACACACAAACACACACACACACATCTCAAACACACACACACATCTCAAACACACACACACACATCTCAAACACACATCTCAAATACACACACCTCAAACACACACACATCTCAAACACACACACACAACTCAAACACACACACACATCTCAAACACACACACATCTCAAACACACACATCTCAAACACACACACACACATCTCAAACACACACAAACACACACACACATCTCAAACACACACACACACACATCTCAAACACACACACACACACATCTCAAACACACACACACACACATCTCAAACACAAACACACACATCTCAAACACAAACACACAGACACACATCTCAAACACACACACACATCTCAAACACACACACACACATCTCAAACACACACACATCTCAAACACACAGACACACATCTCTTAGAGTGCCTAATGAGGCGCCCCACCCCCCGGCGTGCCGACTCGCTGTCACGCGTGCAGCTCGCCAAGGCACGTTGGGCATCACGGGGGGGTGCGGGGACAGCGTTGCGCTCACACGTGGCATAGGGCAGCATGGGACAGCATGGGAATGATAAATAGCATGGGGTAGCGTGGAACAACTATAAGACACAGGGCAGCACAGAGCCAATGACAGCATGGAGATCAGAGTTGACGGCGGACAGCATGGAGTGGATTAAGGTGTGGGACAGCATGGAGTAGATGGATGAAATGGGACTTGGGGGGGGGGGGGCACTGCGCAGGCAGCTGGTGGAGGAGGGCACAGAACGGAGCGAGAGCCCCGCGCGCGTTTGTCGCGAACGAAGCACGCGCCGGGAGCCCTCGCGTTCAGTTTCCCCGATCGCCGCTCGGAGAGACGCGCGGCCAACGCAGCCCCCCGGGGGCTGCGTTAGCCACGCGGGGAGGGCGGTGGCGGCGGTGGCGGCGCGCGGATGCGGATGCGGCCGGCCCGTCTCTCCCCCGAATTTCCTCGACGCTCCGAGGTCTCCCCTTCGCTGCCCGCGATCTTCCTTAAGACGATCTCCTGCAGGGTCTCCCGTTGTCTGCCGTGCACGCGCTGCGTAACTCCCCCACCGCCACCGCCACCCCACCCTCAAGAAAATCGGGCGACGAGTGGCGAGCCCAGCATTGTGCTAGCGCTCCTCGACCGTGATCTACCAACGATGAAAAATGCATGGCTGCCTTTCTCCCCCCCCCCCCGCCGCCATTCGCGCTCACAGTGCTGGCCGCAAAATATAACAAAGAGCCGAGCCAATTAAATGTATTCGGTGCAGCCGCTGAAGGCAGCAAACCCCCCCCCGCCCACCCCGCCATCCCCACCGTCTCCACCTTACCCCCACCTCCGCCAAACCACCGCACCGCCGGCTCTAGCAAGCAGAGAGCGCGGGCGTCCGGAGAGATCCGCCGCTTTGCTGCGCGAGAAAATTCAACACTTTGGCCTTGAGCTTGACCTGCCAGCTTCGTTCGCCCTGCCGGCCGGCGGCGTCCGCGGGGCCACTCGCCGGTGCGGTTTAGGGGGTCGCGGGCCAGGCAGGCCGCGGTGTTTGTAAAACGAGGCGCGGGTTTTCCGTGACCGACCGCGCCCGCGCACTTCCGATTCCGCTCGCGACCGCCCGCCGGCGTCGTCATTTGAGCGATGGGGAAGAGCGGTGGCGGTGTGTCGGTGGAGGAGGAGGTGGTTGGTGGTGGTGAGGGCACCACACTGGGTTTGTGCCCTCGTTGGTTTTGAGAGGAGATGCATAAAAGTTAATGATGACGGCGTAACACTGTACTCTTCTTTTTGTTCTCCATCGCAAGGGTCAGTTAACAAAGAGAGACGAGGTTTCTGGGATTAATGGTTGGGTGGGTGAAAGTGTGTGTGTATCGGTGTGTGTGTGCAGCGAATTTCATCATGTAGCAGACGTCCAAAGTTTAATTCCCAGCCGTGGCTAACGTTACCATCATCAAGTGTTCTATCCGTGGACAGATCGAAGGTGCAATTCTTTCCTCCGACCAGCATCAGTGATGCGTTTATCTGAAGCGGTCTTCGGCCTCCCCTTAAAGTATTACCCAGTGCGGTAATTATCAGCACTGGGGAAGCAACGGCGGCCGGGCGTCGTGCTGTGGGCACGCCGCGGCCTCGTTGCGCCGTGCCGGCCTTCATAGGTGATACTCGCCAGCAGCACTTGCCCCGACAGCAGCACTTGCCCCGCCAGCCTGTGGCGACTATGCGGGGGATCTCTGCCTGTGCGTTCGTTGAGGCGAAATCGCACGTGTGAACGGAGCTCTGCTGTGTTTCTGCTCAGAGGTATCTCAAGTGATGCGGAATGGAATTTGCGATGCTGGTTTATTTAGGGGTTTTTTTTTAATCGCCTCTGCCCGAAATGTTTAAATTGGAGACGCGTGGGGGTGGGGGGGACGGGTACGCGCGGGGAGACATCGCGATCATCCCCGCTCCGATAGCACCCCCCCCACCTCCACGACGATCGCCCCACTCCTTTAGAGGCGGCGCGAAACATCTGCAACCATAACAGCCCCAGACAGCGCTGGAGGTGCGTTCTGACGTCCCGCAAACCTTCGGCGCTCCCTCCCGACATTATCAGAGGGGCGCCGCCGCAGCTGCGCGATAAGAAGGAGGCCCCGTCATTATAAGTTCGACAACATTGCTGGTTTTTTTTCTTCCACGAAATGAAAAAAAAACTTGCCTTATTGGTTTAACTACCTTGCCGTGAGATGTAATCAAACTGGCAATCTCTGGATTTGAAGTCCAGGATTGCAATTCCAGGCTGCCCATTTGGACCAAATGGCTCGAGTTGCCCTTATTAGGCTCTGTGTGGACGTGCGTTCCTGTCCATTCATTGTTCACAGTACGGCTAACCGGCTTCGTGCAAAATGACGAGTAATGAGACATTCCCATTAGGCCGACTTTGCCTGCGCCTCTCATTTTGGTGCCCTCTCTACTCCTGTCCCCCACGCCGCCATCACCACCACCATCACCACCATCACCATCACCACCATCACCGTGCCTCCAATTAGCACAGTTGGCGACGTGGGGTGCGAAAGAAGTTCAACAATTGTACAACATATTCTTGGTTATTTCGGTAAAGTCACGTATAAGGGAAACAATAAAGTAATAAAAAATATAAAACAATAAAATTCTCACGACGTTTCGACTGCAACACAAGCAATCATCATCGGGTGTGAAAACCACAGCAAGAAAAAAAACCGCCACTTTTTTCAAATTTTCTTGCTGTGGTTTTCACACCTGATGATGATTGCTTGTGTTGCAGTCGAAACGTCGTGAGAATTTTATTGTTTTATTTTTTTTATTTTGTTGTTTCCGTTATACGTGACTTTACCGAAAGAACCAATAATATGAATCCCTGCAGTCACGAAAGCTTTAAATCAAAATTGTACAACAGTCTCCAACCATCGCCGCCGGTGCCAACCCCCGTCTGCACGGCTCACCGAATGTGCAGAGAGGAGAGAGGGGGTAACCCACTCTGTAGGGGTCTCCAGGGCTGTTACTGTACGAAGCGTCTGTCTATGCGTTGCGTTATCGCGTTGCTCCACGCGCCCCCCACCCACCGTGCCCCCCACCCACCGTGCCCCCCACCCACCGTGCCCCCCACCCACCGTGCCCCCCACCCACCGTGCCCCCCACCCAGTTACCAACCGCGTCCAACGGTTTGCTCCGCGCATTTCCGTTCCTGAAGAAAGCTGCCAGCACGCGGAGCAGGATGCCGGACGGCCCGAAAACCACGAGCGCACGCGAGGATGATGATGATGATGACGATGGTGACGGTTGTGATAATGTCGATGATGGTGACGGTGATGATGATGATGTTGTTGATGATGTCGTAGCCGTGTGGAGCCGGCCGGCCAGGCCTGGCTGTGAGGGCCGTGCCGGCGTGGCCCCCACGTGCGATGTGCCCTGTTATCGGCCTGTTTTACTCTCTCTGTTGTTTCCCCTCTCTTTCTTTCTTTCTTTGTTTTCCTCTCTCCTCTTTTTATTTCTTCTCTTCCTTGCCCTTCCGTCATTTTCGTTTCGTTGCGCATTCAATCTTCCCGGCCCCGTCTCCCCCCCCCCCCCTACTGCCTCCCTCCCCCCACCACCATCACTCAACAACACTCACAACCCCCCCAGAGCTGCGACCAGGTTGGTGTGTTTCACCCTAATCTTTGTTTTCCTTCCCCCTCCGTCACAACAACGCCGTGAGAGAGAGAGAGAGAAACACACGAGCCACGTAGACAAACAAACAGGCACACTAAAGTGCCACACCCTCAAAGAGTCGAGGTACCCACTCCACTACCCCTGCCCCCCCCCCCCCCAGCTGCCCCCCATTCCCTTACCCTGCGCTACCCACACACGCGCGCACACCCACCCACTCACCCCACTCACCTTACCCACACGGTGAGCGCTATCGCTTACTTACCCGCCCAAGTCGCCTAGCGGTAGTCTCGTGCGCCTGTTCGCCTTGCCTGTGGCCACCACCGCACTGTTGTACGTGCATGAGCCCGCCCGGTGCTGTTCGTGCGCATGCCGTACGTACGTGGTGCACATACCGTGTGTGTGTGTGTGCGCGTGTTCGTCCACCCCCTCCCCCCGTCGCCTCCCCCCACCGCTGCATCCGAGCCTCCTCCTCGCTTTGCACCAACGTGGCCTCGGCGATTGAGACCCGACGCTAATTCACGCGCTAACGAGGTCGACTCGTCTCACGATGACTTACGGGGGGAGAGGGGGGTGGCGAGGGGGGGGGGGCAAGGTGGCTGGACCCCCCCCCCCCCCCACCACCGCCCCCCCCCACTCCACCACCCCACCTTTGTCTTACTTGGCGAGAGCGCCCGCACCGAATCCGCTACGCAGCTGCCCACCAGCCCCGGTCCGCGGAGGAGCTACACTTTATGATTATTACTTGAGCGAGTTGAATGAAGCTCTTTTATATATAGTTGTATTTTTTTTACTCGCTATTTAAATATACAAAGCGGCGCTAATTTGTAATGCGTGCGCAATAAGCGCTGCTTGCCGTGCCTGGCGGCATAAACAGCCTCCTTGTTTGGCAGCTCCCATTAATAGGTAATGGAACAGTTGCTCTGTTAAACACGAAGCAATTGTCGTGACTCTGTGATCAAGCCGCGCGTCATTAATTCATGGCCTCGTCCGTCGCCGTCGGAGCTGCGGGGTGGACGGGTTTCTCCGGTGTCTCTGGTGGCGCGTCGACTCCTGGCGAGCGTGACGCTGCTGCCGCCGCTGCTGCTGCTGCCACAGCTGCGCATCTGCTCCCTGCCTACCGTCCGGACACATCCCCTGCTTGCGCTCCCACATCCCCGCTCTCTCACCTTGCCGTCTTGAACCCTCTACCCACCTCGTCTCTTTCAACTTTTCATCGAGCGCTCCAAGGGGGAACGTGCACCCCACGCACGGGCACCCGCGTGCAGCCCCAGCGCCACCCACGTGCCACGCGTGTCACGTGGGTGGCGCTGTCACAATCGTTGGTGGCGACAGCAAAAAAATATATTATTGTTGGGATGTGGCGGGGTTGGGTTTTCCGTCCAAATTTAATCTCCCGAAAAAAAATATCGTGCCCACTAAATTATTTTTGTTCTTTCACAGTTGGGATTGTATGGTGGGGAGAGAGAAAAAAAAATGTGCACGGCACACAGGGTTTGCCGGGTACATAACTGTGGCCGTAACGACCACCGTGACGCGAGGCATCTTGCGCCGGGCCAGCGCCGGCGCGTAAAACGTGAAACACGCGTCGAGTGGACGGCGCTGCTGCAGAGCGGCCGAGGGATAGTAACGAGCCGTCGCACGGGTTCAGGGATTCGCCACGCTTAGCCCACATTGGCCGCGCCGCTGGAAGAAAAAAAAACATCTCGACTGGTGTCGGCCCCGGGCGAGATTCGCGAGAACCCCGGAGATTATAATTCACAGACGGAGTGCTTTTAAAAGTCTGCCCGTGCGTGCGTGCACATCCCTGGGACGGGCATCACCGCCCCGCCTCTCCCCACCACCACTGCCATGTTGCTGCCCCCTTTCATCAACCGCGTGCTCGTGACAGCCCTCCTCCTCCTCCATCGCGTGGGATCGTTTCAACAGCCACTTGTGATCTTAGTTGTTGTAGTTGTTGTTGTTGTTGTAGTTGTTGTGGTTGTTGTTTTTTTCCTGACCTGTCGAGTCGGAGCCCTCCGGTCGCCGTGAATCACGTTTTGCTTGCCGCGCCTGCAGCCCCTCGCCCCTCCTATCGTGTTGCCCCCCCCCCTCCTATCGTAGTTCCCCCCCCCCCACCTCCTCGTGCCTGCAGACCCCCCTCACACCACACTTCCACGGCCCATGATGCCTTCTGTCTGACAGGCTGCTCCTTCACAGCCAGGTCATTCGAAGCCGGGATTTTCTGACGAACTGACTCACTGAAAGCCTGGGGACTCAGATTCTGGTTTCCGAGTCCAGTTTTTCCATTGCCCAACCGAGCCACGCCGGGGCCATACCGAGCCAGCAGATGCCATCGATATCACGCGTGTAGACGAGGCGGTGACGCCGCGGTTGAGTTGTTACCGACCGGCGTCGCACGCAACGGACACGTCCGCAGCCCCCCGCCCCCTGGCCCTGCTTGGCAGCGAGCCAGACTCGGACGTCTTCCGGTGAGGCCGGAGTTTTGTTTCTGGCTCGGCGTGACAGCCGCCACGTACCGCGAAAGTCCCCCTGCGCGCTGGCTCAGCTCGGTGGCGGCAGTGGAAAAAAAAGTGGCCACCTAAGATCTTAAGATCCTAGTCTTTGAATCTGGGTCCTTGAATACCAGGTCACTGGATTCTGAGAATCTGATTTCCGAGAGCCTTGTTTGACCTGGCTGTCGACGAGAACCAGATTGTTGAGGGTCTTGGACTCTTGAGGGTGCCAGATCTTCTGGGACCCTGGCTGCTGCTGCTGCTTGTTTCTGCTGCTGTGGCTGCTGTGTGTGTGTGTGTGAACGCTGCACGGGGGAGCGACGTCACAGCCATGATCTCCGTGCCAAAGACGCGGCGAACGCCCGTACGACAGACACCCGCGGGGATTGACTTTCCTCGTCGAAAAACGCACATTTCCTGCTCGAACGAGCATATCAGGCACTTTCATATTCCTATGGTGGGACCGAGTCTCTTAATAAGACAACCACCACTGCCTTCACCGTAAAGTGATAGTTATTTTAGCAGCCGCAAAGGGATGATGATGGGCAAAGTCACCCCCGCCCCCCAAACCAGGATTTGAATTCGTAATCCTTCCGATTACGAGCCGCTCCATCCGCCATCAGGCCACGTGGCCCATTACAAGGACACTACTTATGAAGCGTAAATACTACGGTATCAGATAGGCCGCCGTGGTATTGGATAGGTATCTTTGGATTTGATGGACGGTATCGCTTTCAAAATACACCGTGGGATGTGATATCTTCCATAAGTATTTGATAGACGTAATATTTGATGGCTGTCGGATGCCATGATGTCTGTCAAAGGCTCTTACGTGTGTCAAGTTCAATGTTAGAACTCATATTTTATAGATTCCAAAGTATTCGATAGTTGTCATGCTATTTGATAGACACCGTGGTATTTGATAGGTGCCGAGGGCTCCGGAAGGTGTTCCGTAGGACGGCGCGGTAATTTCGCGCGGCTATCGTTCACCGCGTTTTGGGGGTACTAGCGACGGTCTCCCGCCGGCACGGAGCTCCTCTGTCCTCGTCCCACCCTCGCGATGACGTCCGTCGTGATAAACGGCCCACAATTCTCACGCAAAAAAAAAACACAAAAAACAAAGGACGCAAATCCACAGCGGATAAATCAGCCGATCCTATCAAATCCGCTCGGCGTAGAATCGCGGGTAATGAATGAGATGCGGAGGCATCGATCTAGCGGACGTTCGCGACCTTGTGCGCGAGGCCGTGCATGTTCCTACCGCCGCTGCTGCTGCTGCTGCCGCTGCTTCTGTCTCGTGCTGAATGCTTGCGCTATCTGTCCCCCCCAGCGGGAAGCGGAACGGTGATCCCTGCCTGCTGCTCCCCTTGCTTCCTCGGTCCTCCCACTGCTGCTCCCCCCCCCCCCGCCCCCAAACCCAGCTCCTAGCCCCCCCCCTCGCCCCAACTCCCCCCCCCCCCCCCCCCACCGCCTTTTTCCAAAAAACCCTCTCGTTTGTTCCCCCTCTTTCCCAAATGTTCCGTTCCTCGATGGCATCGTCCCCGGGAGGAGCGCCCTTCCCGAGCGGCAGAATTTGGCGGCAACTCCGCACGTGGATCCATAACCCTGACCTCTAACGCCCCCCCACCCGCCACCCATCCCACCCACCTCTTCCCCCACCACCACCCCTGCCCCCCCCCATTAATGGCAGCTCGCGTTAAATTATGGAGACAAATTACCTAACGCACCTGCGTGTCGATACACGCCAAATAGAGATTTCAAATTTGGCGTTTACATTTTTTTATTTCAGTTTAATTTGTCATCTTAGGGGGACGCGGTTCGATTCCGCAACGTTGAGCTGAGCCTCGAGGAAATAAAGAATACAATTTTCCCCGCCGAAAATTCACGGCATTCGAAAAGCGACGACGAGACGCCCGTGACCACGGGAATGCCAGAGGGAATCTGGAATCTTTTAATTTTTCAACTCCATGTCCCCCCCCCCCCCCCCACGGCGGCAAATCTGGCTCCACAAATTGGGAAGCGGCCTCGCGTTCCCGCGTGGGATGAACACGAAGGTGGAGACGAGCGGCCGCAAAGCGAGCAAGCGGCCTTGTTCAATCTGCAGTCGTCCCTCCTTTCGCGGTCTCGGCTCCCCCCCCCCCCCCACCACCACTCCTCCTCCATCCTCCCCTCATCCCCCATGACCTTCGCCGTCTCGCGTGCCCCTCGCGGCACGAAATCTGCCGCCCGGGCTGGGGCGTCTCTCGAGGAGAGGGAAATGTCACTCAGGACGGAGCGGCTGTGGTTGCCAGTCCCCCCCCCCCCCTCCCCACGACTCCCCTCGCCCCCTCCAGCCCAACCCCCCCCCCCGTCCCCCTGTTACCCGACTCCAGCAGTGATGTGACAATGTGGGGGATTCACATTCACTCACATCGACCCAGCGATTGCTTCCCATCGTTTCCCGCGTCTTTTCGTTTTGCGTTCCGAATCTTTCTTACCCCAGGAGCCCAGCGCCCCCCCCGACCCCCGCTCCGACCCTGCCAAACCCCCCCCCACTTTCCTCCCCCACCCACCTACCCCTACCGCCCCCCCCCCTCATCATGACGATGTGCATGGACCATCTCTCTTTGTTCCTCCTACGACTTCCTTTCCTCTCTGTCCTTCCGGTCCCCCCCTCTGCATGCCAGCAGTCTCAAGTTCGCCCGCTGGGAAATGTTTTCTTCAGCTTCAACGATTCATCGCGCACAATAACGGATCAATTGATTGGGTAGCCCTCGATGGTAGTGCAAGAGGGAGGGGGGGTGGGGGCCGCGTGGTCGGGGGGGGGGGTGGGAGGTCACAGGATCCCCCACAAATGATGGCACCGGGAAGTCTCCCACCGAAGTCAATATTGGATTGAAAATTACGACGACGACAACAACAAAAACTACGTAACCGATACCTCTAGGGTGAAACCGCGACAGAATCAATGGATCCATTATTTGCCCACAATAATCGTTGAAGACGTGCCGGTTATGGAAGTGACGAGGCAGTGCCTACGATAGCGTGTGGTGTCTCCTGTGATCGTGATGACAGGAGGAACTGGGGGGTCGGGGAGGGGGGTGGGGTGGGGCGGCGGGGGGGGGGGTCCCGTTACTCTTTTTCCACGACATCGATTATACACCTGCCACAGTGGGGGGCAATCTTCTCGTAATATTTATCTGTAACGTAACGAGCGAAAGTGTTGGTCCCGTAAGAATTTCTGATTTCCGAAGCTAACTTGAAAAATTATAATGAAAAAAAAATCAGCCCTTTACGAGTTCTGTACGTTTACCCGACAATACAGTACCGAAACGGTCCAATTTCGGATGTAACTTGCCAACCTCGATGCGACCGCACCTCCGGATCGCCGAGGCGACGGAGCCGACGCGACCACCGATTTACATCGCGATCGGCGGTGCCACTGCAGTGCGCGTGCGCGCCCGCCGCATATGCGCCCGCGTACATATCTGTATACGCTTCCGCCGTATACACATACGTATATTGCATATCGCGCGCGCGTGCACTCGCATCAGTGAACCGTGGGGGGCCCCAAGCGGCGCCCCGCCAATTGCATGGATATCACGGCACTGCCTACTGCCCCGCCCCCCACGCCCTCCCCTCTCCCCTTCCCGTAAACCTACCCCCCACCCCCCACCTTCAACTCGTGCCCCCCCCCCTCCCCCGAAAACCCCCTTCACACGGCCCCCACCCACCGCCCCCCCCCCCGCTCCCCCCCCCCCCCCCATTCCAGTGAGGCACGTTCCTCCGCGGTTCTCGATTCCGCCCAAGAGTCAGGAGATCATGCCGGGTGGCAGTGTGAACGTGTCCTGCGTGGCCGTGGGGTCGCCCATGCCCTACGTCAAGTGGATGTCGGGGGGCGAGGACCTGACCCCCGAGGAGGAGATGCCCATCGGGCGCAACGTCCTGGAGCTGAGCAACGTGCGCGAGAGCGCCAACTACACCTGCGTCGCCATGTCCTCGCTCGGGGTCGTCGAGGCCACCGCGCAGGTCACCGTCAAAGGTGCGTTGCGGCCACGGAGTCGCGCGGGTGTCGCGCGGCGTGCGACGCGGCGTTGCCGTGATGTGGCGTGGGTCGTGGTTGTGGAGTGGCGCGGTCGCGGGTCTTAGGACGCAAGTGCGGCCGGAGCATTCCGTCGCGGCCTAACCCCAACAAAATAATCGCTTACGAACGACGGCGACGATGACGACGCCGCCGTTGGTGCTCCACGCCTGACCCCTCTGCTCGCTCCCCTAGCGCTGCCCCGGCCTCCGTCAATGCCGGTGGTGACCGAGACGACGGCGACGAGCGTGACGCTCACGTGGGACTCGGGCAACGCCGAGCCCATCACCTACTACGTGCTGCGCTACCGGCCCGTCACCGGCGGCGGCGGCGGCGCGCCGGACGGCCGCGGGCACTACCAGGAGATCGACGGCGTGGCGACGACGCGCTACACGGTGGGCGGGCTGGGCCCCTACTCCGAGTACGAGTTCCTGGTGGCGGCCGTCAACAACATCGGGCGCGGCTCGCAGAGCGACGCGGTGCTGACGCGCACGAGCGAGCAGGCGCCGTCGAGCCCGCCGCGCAACGTGCAGGCGCGCATGCTCAGCGCCACCACCATGCTGGTGACGTGGGAGGAGCCCGAGGAGCCCAACGGGCAGATCCGCGGCTACCGCGTCTACTACACGACTGAGCGCGGGCAGCCCGTGAGCGCGTGGCTCAAGCACAACCTGGAGGACAGCCTGCTCACCACCATCGGCAGCCTCACGCCACAAGCCGACTACACGGTGCGCGTGCTCGCGTTCACGTCGGTGGGCGACGGGCCGCACTCCCCGGAGCTGCACGTCAAGACGCAGCAGGGAGGTGAGGGTCCTCCTTGTCTCTCCCTCGCTCACTCTCTCCTCCTCCCTCCTCCTTCCTCCTTCGTCTGCTCTTTCCCAAACTCCTCTACCTCCTCTCCTTCCTCACACTCTCTTCTCCTGCTGCTCTGCTCTTCCTCCTCCAACATCTCTAGCCTTTCCTTCTCCTCCTGGTCGTTCGTCCTCCCCTCTCTCCCTTCCTCTGCTCATCCTCCACCTCCTTGTCCCCCTCATGTTGCTTGACCCCTCTTCTGCAGGTGCAAGACGTCCGTTTGTGCATTCCACGGGACGGAGATTATTTTCCGTTCCTCAACGCGACCTCTCGCTCGTACACAGTCTGCGGCGGTGCCGCATTGATCAAGGGGTGGTGGTGGGGGGGGTGGGGGGCAGGTCGGGGGGGGGGGAGCTTGAGGGGGGGGCCGTTAGTAAGTCACATGACCCAGTGTGAATGCGCAATGACCCCGTGTGACCTGGCTTGACGATCGACGTTATCGATGCCCGCCCGCTCCTCGCGCGCTTGGCTAACGCATCACACCTCCGTGAGCCCCCCCTCCCCCTGCTATGTTTTATAAATCCCACGATCAATCAGTTCGGCCGATTTATTGGGGATGGGGGGGGAGGAGGGGCGGGGGGGAGGAGGGGCGGGGGGTAGGAGGGCGCCATCCACACATCCCCCGACTTATGTCGTGGGCCATTTATGAGATTTTTCTAAAACGTGAAATTGTAAAATGAATCATGAATGATTATTGACGCCCTTTTCAATTCAGATACCGTTAATATTAGGGTAATGAAAGCTTTGCAAATTATAACGTGGTCAATTTTGTGCTCAGATATGATGAGTTACTTTGAATTATGGTGGAAGACCGCTCAATGCGAATTTGTAGGGCCTGGATAAAAAGGTTTGTGCCATCCAGCTCTTGTGTTTACTGAAATACGTACGATGTTTATGTATTCGTGCATTTAGTTTAAACTTTCATATATACGAGATTTTCAGATTAAGTAAAAAATGTTTCAATCGGGCCAAGATTAAATACAAAGGTTTGGCCTGATCTGAAAGTTTCACTTCACAAGAAGTGATGTCCCTTCATTAATGTCACGTGACGAAAATTTAGCTTTCATTAATACAACATTAACACGTTTACATGACACTTACCATTTCACTGTTGTAACGATTTTGTAAAAAAATCGAGTAAATTCATTAATGTAAAACATTTCACAAAGTCGTTAGTGCGTAAACAATGAACGTTATAATTAAAATCCAGAAATCACATGAAGTCTGAAATTGGGCATTAAAAATAGGAAAACACGACACCTCATAAAATTTAATCTCACACTGATCCCTAATAAATACAAACCTACGCATTGCAAGCACAATTTGGGCAAAACTATATCTAACTTTTGCTAGCAAAACAATTCCCCCCACCAAAATAAAAATCTCCGTACGCCATCGATACGCGTGCGCGTGTTTGCGTGGTGTACTGACGTGCGTCATCATCGTCGTCATCGCCATCTCCTCGCCGTCCCCACCGTTAGTGCCGAGCCAGCCGATTAACCTGAAGGCGGAGGCCGAGTCGGCCACCAGCGTCCTGCTGTCGTGGATCCCCCCGCGGCAGGACTCCATCATCAAGTACGAGCTACTTTACCGGGACGGCCCACTCAGCAAGGAGGTGGGTCCCCCCCCCATCCCCCACCCACCCATCCCCCGCCACCCCCATCCCCCACCCCCCGCGCGTGTGCGTCTGTGCCCACTCGGCCAAGTGGCTTCTTTCACGAGCGTCATTAAAGTGCGTAGCTCCAGTGGCTTCCTCAAATCGGAAGGTAGAGCGTTCCAGATGGCCGCAGAAGCGCATCTGAAAGTGTGCGATGCGTCGACCGTCTTTGTTCGATGGCGAGCCAAAAGCCGCTGCGAGGATTAGTTATCCAACGTCTCTAAGTTATCAGGAACACGTGGCGGGAAATGCTCCGGACATTTCTACTTGTACAGTACGTGACTGCCCTGTCTTATCGCCCCCCCACCCCCACCTTCACGATCTGCCTCCTCCCCACCGAATCGTCGCCGGATCATCGTCGGCGTGCGTCGAACAAGCAGCAGGTCGTGACCTTTGAACCCAGCATGACGTACCTGCTGGAAGGGCTGCGGCCAAACACGCTCTACCAGTTCCGCTTGGCGGCACGCTCGGAGCACGGCCTGGGGGCAGCCACCTCCATCGTCACCGCCCAGACGCTGCCCTCAAGTAGGTCCTGCCGCCCCCGTGTCTCACGCACCCTCAAATCCTCCCTCACCGGCCCTCTCTGCCCCCCCCACGCCCCTCCTCCGCCATCAACTTAGTATACTGTCACGTATCCCCTTCCGTGTGTCTTGGGTCTCCCCAGAGTCTCCCCGAGATCTCGCATGGGTCTCACCAGGGTCTCCCCTGGCTCCCTCGTGGAGTGGGGAACCTTACAGGTCCATGGGCCACATACGACTGGCTACTCAATTTCACACGACCTGTGCCACCACGAGGCCCCACCACCAAGCGATGTCCATCCGTCACGGCAATGCCACTGATATAAACGTCCACGCTTGCGACGGTTTGACCCCTTCCTTACCGCGTACGGGATTTTCATAGCCGATCAAATGGCGTTGCGAACATTTTTTTCGACGGGGGGGGGGGAATAAAAATGAAATGGCCGAAGGAATATCGCTCTTGAAATCGGAACTCGGACAAAAAGTTCAAAGTGTGCAGCAGCCTTGAATCTGGAGCGTGATCTCAGCTCCACGAATTGGGCACCAGAATAGAATATTTTCGACATGGCCACGACACTTTGTTTCGAACTGTTAGTGTCACGCTCACCTAAAGTGGTGAAACCTCATTAATTCTCACATTTGTGTTATTATTATATAACGCTAAGCCTGTGTGCGTGCGTTAATGTGGTGGCCCCCTGCCAACGGGATTTTGAAAGCCCTATCCAGGAAAATGTCCCCCCCCGCCCCTTGCCCTAGCCGCCTCCTCCCTCACTCCCTCCCTCGCTCACTCCCTCCCCTTCCTGACTCCGTTGCTGCTCCTCACAGAAAAACAAAAGCCGAGTAAATCCCTCTCGTCTCCCTGGGCGACCGCGCTGCTCAGCAGCAGCAGTGGCGGTCGCGGTCGCCGTCCTCCCGGTGCCCGGCGCTGTGCGGCTGTAGGCCAAGGTCGATTGGCCGTGCCGGGGAGGGAGGGGGGGGGGCAGCACATCGTTCGGACGCGTACGCCGCCGCTTTACACCTCTGTTAGATTTTTGTTTTGTTCCTTTTGAAGAGAGAGAGCGCGAGGCAGAGAGAAAAAAATATATATTGGGCGCGTAGTTTTATGTTACCTTGCTATTCGACGGCGCGTATTCGGCATTCCGGTCGGTTTCACACAAGGCTGGCACTGCCCCCGGTGAGCGGGTACGGGGTGGTTCCGGTTTACCTGTGCGGCGGCGGCGGCGACAGCCGGCGGCCAGCCCGAGGGCAGCCAGGACGGGTAAGTTAACGAGAGGAGGGGAGGGCGACCGTCCCGCAGGAGTGTGACCTGTAACCCATCTCGCCATGCTGCTCTTGCTCCCCATTCGCTCGCGGGGGGCCGAGGGGGGGGGCGGAGGAGGAGGAAGAGGGCTGCGGTGGTCGACGCCGGCTGCTCTGCACGGGGATTAAAGAGCGAGTGGGGGGGGGGGGGGGGGGGTGGGGGTGTCGAGGCGGGAGGAGAACGGGGGGATGGAGGGGGGAAGGCCGCCTCCGCTCCCGGAGTTGATTGCTCAGCGTCGCGGGCCGCGCGTTATCGCACCGCTCCGAATCGCACCGTGCTTCCCGTGGCGCCCAGACAATGGCCGCGGCCTAGACGCCGCGGTTTAATTACATCTCCCTTTGTTTCGTGCCACCGCACACTCGCGCCGCGTCGCCCCCGCGTCCTCCCCGCGGCCGTCGCTACCGCGATTCTCCCCGCCTCAGGGGCGGGAGGCGGAGGGGAGGGGGGGGGGGTCGCCCGCGCAGCCCCCGCGGATCGAGGATTGAGACGCCAACTAATCCGGCCGCGATGGCACGGGCAACGGGTCCGCGCCGCCGCGGCCACTCCGCCGCCAATTGCCGTCCCGGCGGGCGCCCGCCGTCAGCGCTGGGCTGCCGCGCGCTTCCTGAAGCGATTCCACGGCAATTAAAGCGACACGCCGCGCTAATTACCACGCCGCCGTGGCGTCCCCCCCATCACGGAGTCACGCGGCTTCAACGCTAGATATGATTTGCGCATCCCCCGCTCCGTTATATCCATCGTCTGACATCCCATGCCGCCCCCCCACCCCCTCCCGCCCTCTATCCATTGCCATCCCCATCCCCTGCTCATCCCTCATCCTCCTTCCACGTCTCGCGTCCACCGTCCACCTCGAACGAACCTCGGCCGCGCGTCGCCAGCCCCGTCGGCCGCCCCCCAAGACGTCTCCTGCTCGAGCCCGGGCTCCACCTCGCTGCTGGTCTCCTGGCAACCACCACCGGCGCACGCCCACAACGGCCCCATCGTGGGCTACGCCGTGCGCTACCAGGCGCTGCCCGACGGGCAGGGCCAGGACGGCGCGACGCGAGAGGAGGCCGTCGAGATGGGGGCGGCCGCGGGCGACGCGGCCGCCCGCGGCGAGCTCCTGTGGACCCTGCAGGGCCTGCAGAAGTGGACCGAGTACCGCGTGACGGTGGTGGCCTACACCGCCGTGGGGGCCGGGCCAGAGAGCCGGGCCTGCACCGTGAGGACGGATGAGGATGGTACGGAGCGCATAGGGTCGTGACTCTTGGCACCGCAGTCATCGCTGCCATTACCGTGGCGACTATCACCACAATCACCACGATCGTCGCCATGATCTCCTCCCCATCACCGCAACCGCCATCGGCATGACCATCGTCATCTCCGTCGCCTCCACAACCATTACCATCATGGCTTCCATCACCACCATCATCAGCACCACCACAATGACCACGGCTGTGATCACTTCCATCACCACCAATGGTTTGTCCTCCTCACATCCACCACCACCATCACCACTGTGGTCACACGAATTACCTCCATCACCACAGTCACCATCTCCCTCTATCACCACCGATTCCACCATCACCAGCATCGAACTCCACCTCCTAAACTTCCTTCAGCATCTCCATCATTACCACGGTGACCTCCCTCGCATCCACCACCATCGCCACCATCTCCACATCGTCGTCACCACCATCCCCAACATCGCCATCACCACCATCCATCGCTTCCCTTATCAGCCACGGTTATTTGTTTGTTTAATGCGCTCCACGTTATTTCATCGCGCCGCGTCGGATTGCAATCCGGAAGATGATTGCAATCACTCGTTGCGAGCACGCACGTGGGTCCGTAGTCGCCTAAACATCGCCCCGGGAATTAGAAAGCGGCCCCTGCAACCACTGCAGAACTGTAAGCATTTTGGGGGAGGAGGGTGGGGCTGAGCGGTCGCCTTTCTGCCAGAATGTTATCTTTATTAACCCCCTCTTTATTAACCAGCTCCTTATTAACCACCTCTTTATTAACCGCCTCCTTCTCAGTCGGCTTCCCTCACGGTGACACCGTCTTATCACCTGACAAGCTTCTCGGTCTCGCGCTCTGTGTGTGTGTGCACGTTGAATTTCTTTCGCACCGTACGTAGCCAAACGTGCTAATCGGAGGTGCGGCGGGAAAGACAACAAACTAAACAACAAGAACAAGCAGCTCCCTTAACCACAGGTGCCGGCGGGTGAACACCGTCTTTGATGGGTGGCTGGAATACATTTTTTTGGACCGACCAAAACATTATTTTGTGATTTAAGACATGGATTATTATTTACATATATGTATTGTTCTAATGTCCCGGAAGCAAGAGAGAGGTTGACCCCTAGCAAAGCCCGTGGTAGGGCGACACGTGCGGCCACGGCGGCGCACTCTGCGGGCTGGGCGCTCGCTCGCTCACTCGCTCTCTCCAGGGATCGTCTAACTCGGGGGTCAGCAAAACCTACGGCTCCGTAGCCGCACGCGGGTCGCTCATTTCAGGAACTACTTCGTGGCGTTATTCATTCGGGGGCCGCCGTCTCGTATTCACCGCATTGCATTGGGGTCTAATTGAACCGAATTGATTGTGCGCGCACCGATTAATTGTCCAGAAGAAGTCCTCGCCACGACGGGTCTCGTGATCCCCTTTTCAGGAGGGTCCTGCCAAGTCTTTGTGTGCAGTGGAGGAGAGGGAGGGGGAGCGGGGGGGGATGGATGGTCGCAATGATTGCTATGTTAAATCTCAACTGAGTCATTTTTCAAGTAGTTTTGACCATTCCTCCGGCACAGAATGGCCTTCTCTTGCGAATGACATCGTGGGATATTTAGCGAACGCAGTGAGGCAGACGAGGAGTAACACAGGAGTAGTATTTTTGCAGTTAATTCACACCGCAGCATTCACCAGGGCGACCGCTTAGATTCGAACCACAAACTTCTGCATCAAATGCCACGCCGATAATTGGTTTGAGTGTGGGGGGCGGGGTTACCAGAGTTTACCTTGAGCCACCCGTTGCCTCCTTAGCAACACAGTCTCCGTGTCCTCCTTAGCAACACAGTCTCGGTATCCTCCTTAGCAACACAGTCCCCGTGTCCTCCTTAGCAACAAAGTCTCCGTGTCCTCCTTAACAACACAGTCTCCGTGTCTTCCTTAACAACACAGTCTCCGTGTCCTCCTTAGCAACACAGTCTCCGTGTCCTCCTTAGCAACACAGTCTCCGTATCCTCCTTAGCAACACGGCCTCCGTGTCCTCCTTAGCAACAAAGTCTCCGTGTCCTCCTTAGCAAGACAGTCTCCGTGTCCTCCTTAGCAACACAGTCTCCGTGTCCTCCTTAGCAGCACAGTCTCCGTATCCTCCTTAGCAACACAGTCTCCGTGTCCTCCCTAGCAACACAGTCTCCGTGTCCTCCTTAGCAAGACAGTCTCCGTGTCCTCCTTAACAACACAGTCTCCGTGTCCTCCTTAGCAACACAGTCTCCGTGTCCTCCTTAACAACACAGTCTCCGTGTCCTCCTTAGCAACACAGTCTCCGTATCCTCCTTAGCAAGACAGTCTCCATGTCCTCCTTAGCAACACAGTCTCCGTGTCCTCCTTAGCAACACAGTCTCCATATCCTCCTTAACAACACAGCCTCCGTGTCCTCCTTAGCAACACAGTCTCCGTGTCCTCCTTAACAACACAGTCTCCGTGTCCTCCTTAGCAACACAGTCTGCGTATCCTCCTTAGCAAGACAGTCTCCGTGTCCTCCTTAGCAACACAGTCTCCGTGTCCTCCTTAACAACACAGTCTCCGTGTCCTCCTTAGCAACACAGTCTCCGTGTCCTCCTTAGCAGCACAGTCTCCGTGTCCTCCTTAGCAACACAGTCTCCGTGTCCTCCTTAGCAACACAGCCTCCGTATCCTCCTTAGCAACACAGTCTCCGTGTCCTCCTTAGCAACAAAGTCTCCGTGTCCTCCTTAACAACAAAGTCTCCGTGTCCTCCTTAGCAACACAGTCTCCGTGTCCTCCTTAACAACACAGTCTCCGTGTCCTCCTTAGCAACAAAGTATCCGTGTCCTCCTTAGCAACACAGTCTCCGTGTCCTCCTTAACAACACAGTCTCCGTGTCCTCCTTAACAACACAGTCTCCGTATCCTCCTTAGCAACAAAGTCTCCGTGTCCTCCTTAGCAAGACAGTCTCCGTGTCCTCCTTAACAACACAGTTTCGTGTCCTCCTTAGCAACACAGTCTCCGTATCCTCCTTAACAACACAGTCTCCGTTTCCTCCTTAGCAACACAGTTTCCGTGTCCTCCTTAGCAACACAGTCTCCGTGTCCTCCTTAGCAACACAGTCTCCGTGTCCTCCTCAGCAACACAGCCTCCGTATCCTCCTTAGCAACACAGCCTCCGTTTCCTCCTTAGCAACACAGTCTCCGTGTCCTCCTTAGCAACAAAGTCTCCGTGTCCTCCTTAGCAACACAGCCTCCGTATCCTCCTTAGCAACAAAGTCTCCGTGTCCTCCTTAGCAACACAGTCTCCGTGTCCTCCTTAGCAACACAGTCTCCGTGTCCTCCTTAACAACACAGTCTCCGTGTCCTCCTTAGCAACACAGTCTCCGTGTCCTCCTTAACAACACAGTCTCCGTGTCCTTAGCAACAAAGTCTCCATGTCCTCCTTAGCAACACAGTCTCCGTGTCCTCCTTAACAACACAGTCTCCGTGTCCTCCTTAGCAACACAGTCTCCGTGTCCTCCTTAGCAACACAGTCTCCGTATCCTCCTTAACAACACAGTCTCCGTGTCCTCCTTAGCAACACAGTCTCCGTGTCCTCCTTAACAACACAGTCTCCGTGTCCTTAGCAACAAAGTCTCCGTGTCCTCCTTAGCAACACAGTCTCCGTGTCCTCCTTAACAACACAGTCTCCGTGTCCTCCTTAGCAACACAGTCTCCGTGTCCTCCTTAGCAACACAGTCTCCGTATCCTCCTTAACAACACAGTCTCCGTGTCCTCCTTAGCAACACAGTCTCCGTATCCTCCTTAGCAACAAAGTCTCCGTGTCCTCCTTAGCAACACAGCCTCCGTATCCTCCTTAACAACACAGTAGGCCGGGGTCCCTGCTTCTGCTCACTTGCGTTGCACGTCATTGTGTTGTTTCTCTTAAGCCCCTCCCTTGGATAACCGATCCGTCCGTGACAATCAAGTCGCCACTAACACCCAGGGGAGGCTGCGCTGTCCAAACTTGCGCGGAATGGCCCCCCAAAATCCGGCCCATGAGCTCGTTTAATCCGCCCCTCGGTGTCGCTCACATTTAGCCGTGAAAGGCGGCTCGCTGCGGCTTTGAAGTTAAATTAGCGAACTCGAATTTTTTTTCACACGGCCCGCTGTGGAACCACGTGGGCTGGGTATGTCGGGGTTGTAATCGCATAATGCAGGCCCCCCTCCCTCTCCGTGGCCTGCAGTTGAGTGGCATTAGGCACTCTTCCCACCCGCTTCATCCACGCATCTCTCCGTCTCTTTCGATTACATCTCTCCCGTTTTTCTCGCACAGCTCTCGCCCGCGCGTGCGTCTCTCCTGAATAATTTGCGACCTCTCTTCGCCTCGCCTTCTGGATCCATCTCCTAACCTCTCATGCTTGTATCTGCCCTCCTGATCAGTCTCAGAATCAGGACATTTATTTGTACCGGAGGAATCCGATGAGCTATAAAGCTTTTTTTCACTGACAGTAGTTTTCACAGATGTCCAGTGTATCTCTGCTGAATGCACCTCCGATCTCACGTCCCAATGCAAACTGCCTCCCATCCCCTCCCATACGTCGTCTGAATGCATCTAGCGTAGTCTCTCTTCTCAATGCGTCTCACCTCTCTTCTTCTCCCCAACATCGCTCCGTCCACGTGCCACGCACGTTCTCCAAAGTGGGCCTCGACGCACACGTACACACAATTTGGACGCCCCGATTGATGCTCGAGCAATCCCATTGACTGTTAACCAAGGTCCTGTATTGCTTATGCTGCCTATAACCACCTGTACTCCCTATAACCACCTATACCGCCCATACCCACCTGTACTGCCTATAACCACCTGTACTCCCTATAACCACCTATAACGCCCATACACACCTATACTGCCTATAACCACCTGTACTCCCTATAACCACCTTACCGCCCATACCCACCTGTACTGCATATAACCACCTGTACTGCCTCTACCCACCTGTACTGCCTATACCCACCTGTACTGCCTCTACCCACCTGTACTGCCTCTACCCACCTGTACTGCCTATACCCACCTGTACTGCCTCTACCCACCTGTATTGCCTATACCCACCTGTACTGCCTCTACCCACCTGTACTGCCTATAACCACCTGTACTGCCTATACCGACCTGCCTGCCTATAACCGCCTGTACTGCCTATAACCAACCACCTGTACTACCTAACCGCCTGTACTGCCTATAACCGCCTGTACTGCCTAACCACGTGTGCTGCCTGTGGTGCCGTGCTGGCGCCCCAGCGTGCTGCACACCTGCACTGCGCTGCACAGCTGCACCGCCGGTTGCTCCTCTGCGCGATCGGCCAATAAAGGAGGCGCTGAAAACGCTTTGCGTGCCGCCTCGTTCTTCCGCAACCCTTCTCTCGCTCTCTCTCTCAACTCGCTGTCTCTCCAAGTCTCTCTGTCTCTGTAATTCATCGTCTCTCCTCTTCCTCCCTTCTTCTTCAATGAATTGAATAATAAACTAATCCATTACAACCGAGCACGTGCCATTTTTTTGGAGAGCTGATATATATGTGTATCACCGTGGCCGCCGCTCGCTGCCGAGTGTGATTCCGTGCCCAGGGGCCAAAAAAAAAGCAATAAACCGAGAGGACTTTCTGGAATCATCCCGGCGAGCGCCGGCGACTTGGCTGTCTCCTTGAACCCTCCCTTCTTTAACCCCCCCCCCCCGACTAACCGGCACGGTGACGTGACCACCGCACTGGAAAGGAGATGCGTGGCGATGGGGAGGGGCAGGGTGAGGGGCGAGAAATTGTGGGTGGAGGTCAGGGCTGAGGACACCCGTCGGTCAAATGCTCGCGCTAGCCCCCGGTCCGAGTTCGATCCGATTAGCCAACCGGCTCCGAGCGCCAGCTCTACCCCTGACTCTGACCGACGAGCCAAACGGCCACTAACTCGAACCAACTATCCAAACAATGTCTCGACCTAACTAATCCTGTGCTTAGCCATCTGATGAACGAAATGCTGGCCCTACTCCCAAGCGACTAACTCACACCGGTAATTACCCTGGTCTAACCAACTAGCCAATTAGCCGCTTGCCTCGCCCTGCCACTGCTTATAGCCCCAAAACAACTTAGACAACCAACCACTTGTCGCAACCCTCCATCTATTTGTAACCAATGATCCACTAGTACGAGCATTACCTCTAACCTATAACAACACTCTGCGTACGAGTTTTCCTCCTGAACATAGCCCTATAAGTAAATGTAGATTGTGATTCTGACTCCCGCCACATTGCCAGGCCCCTTTTTCTATTTTTTGCTCCGCTTTCCGGTGTCCGGTGCTCACGCCGCCGCCGCCAACTCCTTCGCGGTGGCGTCCTTCCTTTGCTCTCCGGTCCGGCTCCTCGGCGACTCTAACTCTCCTGGCAGAAAGTCTCTTTTGCCGGATCCGGCTGCACTGCGGCGCGGTTTCGGCAAACCCGGGGACGGCCGCCGTCGTCCGTCGGCCGTGATGGTAAAAGTTAGTCGGGTCGCTGTGAGCTGGCGGTACCTGCGGTGTATCCTACGATGTGCGATCCAAGGTAATCGTAACATCGTCTGTTACAATGAAGAGTGCTGAAGCTCGCGTTGCCTTGGTGATGGAGCGAGCACCGATAATCGCGAGACAAAGATGTTTTCCTGAAGGCACAGTGCGATCACTGTGGACCTTGCCACGCAATAACCCAAAGTGGAACGGTTTGCACACCGGACCTGCAATCCAGGGGTCACCGCTTTCCCTTGTGTGGCAGTTCAAACATCGAGCACGGTTCCTCAATCGCCCTGCGCCTGTCCACCCAGCGCCTGGGTTAGTCGACCGTGGGTCGCGTGCAGAGGGGCAAAGTGTGGGCACTGCCACCCCTTCTTAGACATCGGATGATCGTGGATCTTGCATCGTGCGATGTCTATCCGCGTTAGCATCGCCGTATTGCGGCGACCCGAGTGAATGGGCACGGGGCGATCGGGCGGTCGTGCGCACGTACGCGGTTTGAGCTGTGCCGTGTTGCCGCCGGGGGATCAGTGCCGAGCGGGCCGCCCCGCCGCGTGGAATCGGAGCCGCTGAACGCCACGGCGGTGCGCGTGTCGTGGCGCCCGCCGGCGCCCGGGCGGCAGCACGGAGCCGTCCGCGGCTTCCACGTCCACCTGGTGCGCGTCGTCAACGGGGAGCCGCGCGGGGCGACGCAGCTGCGCGACGTCATGCTGCCCGACGCGCAGGTGGGTGGCTCGCGTGTGCACTCACCTGTGCGCTCGCACGCACGCTCGCCTGTATGCTCACACGCTCACCTGCGTGCTCGCCTGTACACTCGTTCATACGCTCACCCCGCACACTCGCTCGTACTCTTGCCCCCAACTCAACCTGTGCACTGCCTGCATTCTAACCCCCGCACGTACGCTCAACCGCGCACTGATCGGCATGCACGCCTGTGCATACACACACAAGGGTTGGCCCTGCGCTCTCACCCACACGCACACTCGCCCGCGCATTCGCACGCGCGCCACGCCTCGCACCTGCGCTCACCCGGCGCACTCTCACCACGCGCACGCGTTTCACCGCGCGCGCACGCACGCTCGATGTTTACCACACGCACTGATCTCTCCTCTTCCTCTCTTCCCTCCTCGGCCCGGACGTGCCGGCCGGTACCCAGGCGGACGCCAGCGATTCCACCGAACACGTGAGCACCGCGATTCGCCCGCACAGCCCTCGCACCGCACCTCCCAGCGCCCATTCTCAATCCGCTGCTCGACGGCTTGGTCGATGAGGGCCCAGGACTGGTTCGCAATTGAAATGCGCCACCACTCCCATACCCCCACCCCCCCCCCTCCTCCTCCTCCAATATTTATGTTTAAATGAGATTGGCAATGAGAGATCAACGTGATTGTACAGCCCATGAGCGACTCCCGACGCAGTGCGGGTCGTGGGGGTTGTTTGACCATACATCACCACGCTGGTCAGTGCGCGATGGTCAAGGTGGGGGAGCCCACACAGCGCGGGTTGTGTCCGACTTCTCGGAAGGGTTTAATTTATCATCGTGGAATCTGGCGGGTGGCTGCCGAGGCAAAGCACATTTGTGTCTCTGCGAGTTTTTTGCCAAATCCTTGGGTCAACGTGGCAGTGATCCCCAGTGTTAGTCCCCAGTAGCTACACAACTCCCCACTAAAGTATCGTTCGTTTCGCATCATCTTTATGAGAGTTATCGCCCACCCCTCCCTCCCCGCCACTTTAATTGGGACGCGTGTATAACACTCGCTGCCTTTCTCCCTCTCTCTCTCTCGCTCCTCCCTCTGCCCTTCGGCCCCCTATGATACAACCCAACCCTTGCTGCCCCCATGTCCCGCCACACCCCCCCCCCCCCGCCCCCGTGCACATAGGAGATGATTATCGGGGCCCTGACCCCCGAAACGACGTACTCCGTGACAGTGGCGGCATACACGGCCAAGGGAGACGGGGCCCGCAGCAAACCTCGTCTGGTCGTCACGCTCGGAGCAGGTGGGCACTGCCTCTCCCACTCCACCGTCCGGGTTCAAGCCCCAGCGTTCGGGTCAAGGTTCCGAGGTCGGGGTTAGGGGTCGGTGTCAAGGTCCAGTCCGGGGTTTGGGTCGAGGCTGGAATGTTTGCCCGTCGACCACTTCCCGATTCGTCACCAAACGTGCACGTTTCGTCTGTCTGTTTGCTACAGCTGAGGTGTAGGGAATTCCAACAAGACCTACATCTCTGCTTTATTGACCTGGTCAAGGCCTATGATACCATCAGTAGGCCTGGGCTCTGAGTTGTTCTTTTTGCTTTCGGAGTCCCTGACCCGCTGCTCACGATCATTAAGGACCTTTATGATGGTGAGCAGACCCGGGTAAAACGACATGGCCAGGAGTTGGAGCCATTCCCTGTTCACCTTGGGGTGTGACAGGGATGTTCTCTGGCTCCCACATTATTAAACATCTATTTCGACCACCTAGTATCTGGTACAGAACTAAAGGGAGACTGATCAATGCCCGGGTGCGGTCAACCATGTTACGTATTCCGATGATCTGATGATTGCTGCTCACTCGGAGGAGGCGTTTGAGGTGCTGCTGCCGAACCTAGATTGTGCCACTAACAGGCGGGGCCTTAATCTTGATTTGAAGCTTTCGTGACTGCAGGAATCCATACTCTTTGAGGTGAAACCTTACCATTAGCCCTAGCAAAGCTAAGCACCTGCCTGGGTATTTTGTACTATCAGACACATCACCTCCACAACTCCTAATTGGTGATGGGGCAGTTGTCGAGAGAGGTGGAGAGTTTTCCATGCCTGGAGAGTGTGCTCATGACTGGCTCCGGTTTGACAGCAGAGGTCTCACTCTGAATCAGTCGAGCGGCATTAACTTTTTATCGGCTGTTTAGCGCTGTCTGGAAGCTATCTTGTCTGTCGCTCCACACGAAGCTTTGGGTCTTCTCAGCCACAGTCCTGCTCTCCCTTCTCTACCCCCCTAATGGAACATCTTCGCCGGTTAGAAACATTTAGGCTGGCCTGCCTACGATCCATCCTGTTTTTAAGCAGGCTGTATTGTGTGAGGAGTTCACAAATCCTCGAAAGATGAGCTCCTTCGGCAGGCAAGGCTGTGTTGGCTGGGTCATGTTGCCCACATTACCAGCCACCGCATGCCGAAATAGCTTTTGTTCGGCCAGATAGAGGGAACTAAACAGGCGCGGCACGGGATAGATAATAGATGGAGTGATGTGGTAGAAGAGGATGTGGAGCTGAGTGCACTTGCCGATGACCGGTTCCAGCAGTGTCAAGATCGGCCTCTGTGGAGGAGGCTCGTGAAGGACGCTACTGGGCAGTTGGAGGCAGTCGCCCTCCAGCAACAACAGAGGGCAGAGGAGCTAAAACACAGCAAGTTGGCACAGTAGGGGCACAGGTGGTGCATCGGCCAGTCATCTCAGTCCGTCGACCCATCTCAGCTGAATCTGCCCAGTGACCTCCTGCTTGCGGGTGTACACTTCACGTGGCCTTGGTGACATCACCGCCACTTAGTGGTGAATAGCGGTCATTGTTGTTGTATGTATGTGGAACTTCTTTCGCACAGTAAGTAGCCAGCTGTGCTAATCAGAGAGAAAGACAGCAAACAATGGGTCTCTGTGTGTGTCTATGGGTCTCCGTGTGAGTCGGTTTATGTGTGTGTACGTTGAACTTCTTTCGCACCGTACGTAGCCAACCGAGCGAATCGGGGGTGGGGGGGGGAAGGACAACAACCACTCTCATGCTCAGGGCCGATCAGACGGAAGCCCATGCCCACGGGGGGCAGTGCCACGCGAACACCTGCTGGGCTTTTATTTATCGAGATGATTACTTGGGACAGATTGCCAGATAAACAACTTTGTGGCTGCATGTGGCGGTTTTCTTTCTGTTATTGCTATTATGCCCGAAATTTCCATTTGTCTCTTTAACGACGACAAAACAAGAAAAGTGAAAACTTTTGCCGATTTTATGGCCGAACGGGTTTAATGGAGGACAATAAAATCAGAGGGGAAGTTCCTAATCGTCGCCAGCCCGCAGCTTCGCACGCACGTATGCATTCACGCACACACGCACGCACTCACACACGCACGCACTAACGCATGCACTCACTCATGCACCCAATCACACTCACACACACTCACCTACACACTCACGCACTATCACACACATGCACACACCCACGCACTCTTGCACATACGCACGCACACACGCATGCACGCACACACTCACACACGTACTCACATACTCACACTCACACACGCACGCACTCACACACGCACGCACTCACATTTGCACGCACTCACATATGCACGCACTCACACACTCACGCACTCAGTCTCACAACCACGCACACGCTCACGCACACTCACGCACTCACACACGCTCCTTCTGAAGGCTCCCACGGTTTAATGGATAACAGCGCCACCGGACTTGCAGACCAGAGGTCGTTGGGGCGATTGTATCTCCCGGCGTGGTAGTTGATACAATGGGGAAGAGTTTCTTAAATCCCCCACTCCACCGCCCCTGTACAGCCAGCAGTGGGAATGGATTCCGTGAGAAAGAGCTTCATAGCTCTATCGAATTCCTCCAGTCTAAAAACATATTCTGATTCACCGCAGTTGGTCGACGGTCGTGGAAGAGTAGGCCAAAATACACTCCAAAGCTCCACATAAGCAGAGGCACCTCTGCCAGCAGTGGTGCGAGCAAATAAATGTCAGCGCTGCGCAGACTTGGCAAAGTTTGGACCGTAACGGTAGCACACACACACGTGGCCTCTACTGTATTGAAGTGGTAGCACACACACGTGGCCTCCACTGTATTGAAGCGGTAGCACACACACACGTGGCCTCCACTGTATTGAAGCGGTAGCACACACACACGTAGCCTCCACTGTACTGAAGCAGTAGCACACACACACGTGGCCTCCACTGTATTGAAGCGGTAGCACACACATACGTGGCCTCCACTGTACTGAAGCGGTAGCACACACACGTGGCCTCCACTGTATTGAAGTGGGATGGGAGGGCGGGCAGGCGGGCGCCACGTTACATCCATTGCAGCCGCAAACCCGAGTGGCTGACGTTCCTAACGCTCGTGTCGCCTCTCCCCGACAGTGCCCGGCCGGCCCCGTCTCTCCGTGAGCTACACCCAGGCCAACACGGCGCTGGTGCAGTGGCAGGCGCCCATCGAGACCCACGGCGCGCTGCTCGGCTACCGCCTCGCGTTCGGCCGCGCCGACGGCGACCGCCCGACCTCCCTCGATTTCTCGACGCGCGAGGACCACTACACGGTGACGGAGCTGCACCGCGGCGCCGTCTACTCGTTCCGCCTGTCGGCGCGCAACCGCGCGGGGCTCGGCGAGGAGGCCACGCGCGAGGTCGTGACCCCCGAGGCGGCGCCGTCGGGCTTCCCGCGCGGCCTGCGCGTGGTGGCGGCGACGGCCACCGGCGTGCAGGTGGCCTGGGAGGCGCCGGCGCTCCCCGAGCGCAACGGGCGCGTGTCGCGGTACACGCTGTCGTGCCGCGACATCGACGGCGCCGCCGAGCAGCTCGCCGAGGTGGAGCCGGCGCCGGGCGCCGACGCGACGACGGAGCAGGCGCTCGCGGGGCTGCGCGCCGGCGCCACCTACGACATCCGCGTGCGAGCGCACACGGCGCAGGGCCCCGGGCCCTACAGCCCCAGCATTCAGGCGCGAATTGCGCCATCGGGCACCGGCGACAGGGGTAAGGCCGACGGAGCGTCTACGCCGCAACCGCCCCCCCCCACACCCCCGCCGCTTCGGGCGACCGGTACCACGGTACACGGCACCAGCCAGGTCCCGTGGCCTCCGGCCACTGCCAGGATGAGGAGCAACTCTTCTCGGCGAGAGATGATCAGGAATCAGGTCCGACTCTCCGTAGCCGACGCCCTGGATGCTGCCGCTGCGCCGTGCCGGATGGACTCGGCGTTGGGTGGACTCGGGCCGTTGCGAGCGAGCGAACCACCCAAGCCAGCCGGCCAGCAAGCCAGGGAGCGAGCGTGCTCTGCAACGGAGCTGCAAAGCTGTGGTTGGGGTCGCTGCCAGCAGCCGATGGCAAACCCACGGACGTTCAGGGCTTTGTGTTCGCACAGCCGTGAACTCCACGGCGAGCGGCGAGCGAGCGCGTGCGGCGGTGTCACTCGCTCGGCGCGCGATTGAATCTGATCCGGAATTCAATCGCGAGAGGGTGTCGATTGTTTTCGTTGCGACGGACGCGGCAGTGCGTTCGTTGCCGAAAGGAGCGTGCCGCGATCGCTCCCTGTCGCGATCGCGGGAGCGTCGCATCTCGGATTGTGCTCGGGAGGGACGGTTCCATCTCCTCTCCGACGGTTGCCATCCGCTCATCTGATCGACGAGCAAATCGGTTGACGAGCTTCTCACCTGGGCCTCGTTGTTCTCCCCTCCCTGCCCCGCCGCACCACCTTTGTCTCCCCTCCTCCTCCTCGCCCTCTCCCCTCCTCCGCCCTGTGCCTTTTTGCCTCCAGCAGCTTTCGTGAAGAACTTTGGGGTGAAGTCGGTGAGCCGCTCCTCGGCCTTGCTCACCTGGGAGCTGCCGGACTCCTACAGCCCCCAGCAGCCCTTCAAGGTGGGATGGGGGGGGCACTACCAAGGGGTTACTACCAGGGGATATAACGACACCCCACCCAGCGTGCACTCCCACATGGTCAACACCGCCGGTGCAACCGCCACGCCCCATCGAGCGCTAGCACGGGAACGCTGGAATGGGAGCGGCGCAGGGTTGGTGTCGCGCTCGCTTCACCATCTGGCGCGTTGTGCTCCCGCCCGCGTGTTGTAGACACGGGGCCGCCACTGCTCCCGCTCGCTCCTTCTCTGTCTCTTCTCTCTCTCTCTCCGCTTGCGATACCTCCTGCATCTCTGCACCGCCCGTGCGCTTGCGTCTCTCGCTCAGCGGTTCAACCTCCGCATCACTTTCCCCGCCTTATCGCTTCTTCAAATCTCTCCACCCCCCCACCGCCCCCGTCTCAGCTCCCCGCTAGGGGCCATGCCGCTCCCACGGCGAGCGTATCTCGCCACGCAGGCCTCCTCCCCGTGCTTGTTTCTACTTTGGGGGGGGGGTCAATCACTTTTGTCTGCCCCCCCCCCCCCGCCCAGATAATAAAGCCAGCGACATTATTCACAAAGAAAGGACTCATTCGACCAAATTTGGCCGTTTTCTCATAGCCCGGGCTGCCTTCAGCCTGATTCTCCACGATCTGCCGCCACTCCACCAGCGCCGCGTTGGCCCGGGTGTAGCTCACGGAGAGACGAGGCCGGCCGGGCACTGTCGGGGAGAGGCGACACGAGCGTTAGGAACGTTAGCCACTCGGGTTTGCAGATGCAATGGATGTAACGTGGCGCCCGCATGCCCGCCCTCCCATCCCACTTCAATAAAGTGGAGGCTACGTGTGTGTGCTACCGCTTCAATAAAGTGGAGGCCACGTGTGTGTGCTACCGCTTCAGTACAGTGGAGGCCACGTGTGTGTGCTACCGCTTCAATAGAGTGGAGGCCACGTGTGTGTGTGCTACGGCTTCAATACAGTGGAGGCCACGTGTGTGTGTGCTACCGCTTCAATACAGTGGAGGCCACGTGTGTGTGCTACCGCTTCAGTACAGTGGAGGCCACGTGTGTGTGCTACCGCTTCAATACAGTGGAGGCCACGTGTGTGTGCTACCGTTACGGTCCAAACTTTGCCAAGCCTGCGCAGCGCTGATATTTGCTCACACCACCGCTGGCAGAAGAGCCTCTGCTTAAGTGGAGCTTCGGAGTGTATTTTGGCCTACTCTTCCACGACCGTAGACCAACTGCGGTTGGGGTCTTGGTGTTCGCAGGTACTGTCGGCACTGGGTGCCTCCAGTCGCGCCTTGAGATCAGCTGCTGGAGAACTTCCTGATGGTTCCCGGAAGTCGTTTGCAATCGCGGGGGCGTGGGCCTTTAGTTGCTGTGCTCCTTGCATTTGGAACTCTCTCGTCTAACTCTCGTGTGAGAAATCCTGTTGGCAACAGTCGGATGAGTTAGTGGGCGAGTGGCCGAGTGGGGTGAGGGAGTCAGTGGGTGGTTGCCTAAGTGAGTGGCTGAATGAGTTTGTCGGAGGGTGAGTAGATAGGGAGGTGAGTGAGTGAATAGGGTGGTAGGCATATCAGGAATTCTGCAGGCACAGGTAAATGTAGAAACATACTGGCGTGCTTACGCTGGGTTGTTTGGTATATTAAACCTCAGTACAGGTTGATCCATTTTGGATTCATGTAGCGTCTAAATGCGGCACGCCGCCTCCATCATACATCTCGCTATGGCTTGTGGCTACTCGTCACGTGCCAACTGCTCCAGTCTAACAGTGAGCCGGAACATGTTTGGTGAGCGATTAATCCCTGGCACGAGGTTGGCCTTCGATCGGGCGCAAGAGCAAGCACCGAGACGCGTCTTGTCTGTAGACATTAGCAGGGGTGGGGGGGGGGCACGGGAAGCACAATCGCAGCGGCCGCTCCTACGGCCCTAAAGGTCGGAGGTTAAGTGTGCATGGCGTCACCGGCGCCACGCCACCGCAAAAGGGTTCGCGATCAATCGATGAGTGCCGGGAAAAGGAAACGATATAGGCGGTGATGTTGGTGGTGACAGTGGTGTTGGTGGTGACAGTGGTGGTGGTGACAGTGGTGGTGGTGGTGACAGTGGTGGTGGTGGTGACAGTGGTGGTGGTGGTGGTGACAGTGGTGGTGGTGACAGCGGTAGTGGGGAGCACAGGTGGTGCATCTGCCAGTAATCTCAGTCGGTCAACCCATGGCACCTGGGTCTGTCCCGTGACCTCCTGTCAGCGAGCCTTCGACACTTCACGTGGCCTCAAAGTGCACCTGGCCTGGCACAAGCGCCGTGGTGACATCACTGTCACTTAGTCGCGAATGGTGGGTATTGGTGGTGGTGGTGGTGATGACAGTAACTGTGGGGGTGTCGGTTGTGGTGGTGGTTGTGATGATATTGGTGGTGGTGATAGTGGTGGCAGACAGCCAAATAAAATTGTTCTGCCATTTAATCAACACCTCCTTGGGTGTCATCGTTTTTGTTCCGACAGAAAATAATTAGCAATGGTGATAGTGATACTTAGCCGAGAGCTTAAAAAGTCAGCTATCTCAGCACAACTCTTCAACCTATTTTTCGCTATCTCCCTTCCCCTTAACCCTGACTCTAGAACTAGCCTTAACCTTCATTTCCAACCCTAACTAACCCTTAAACCTAGTCCTAGTCCTTAAGTCTAACTCTGGCCCTATCCCAAACCCACCCCCTGCTCTCATCCTTAACTCGAACGCCCGAACAGCATCAAATAAAAACAAACAACGCATATCTCAACACCTGCCCATAACCCTGATCCTCCCGCTCGTCATCCCTCCGTCATCGGCCGTGTTCAATCTGTCTGCTGGATGAAGGCTTCCCCCCCCCCCCCCAAGTCATCACCTTCCCTCACGGTTTTGCGGTTGTCACGAGCCCATGTGGATCCAGCACACTCGCTGGACGTCCGCCTCTCGGAGCGCCGTCCGCTTCGCTCTGCCCCCCCCCCCCGCCCCACCCCCCAGGATGGACGGATGGACCAACGCACCACTTCGTGGCTAGCCCGTCGAAAATTGCGCGACCCGCCCAGCGGTAGCGAGATGTTAACTCCCTCGCCTGGTATGCAGGAGGCGGTGGGTTCGATCCCGGCCCTGACACCTGCTGTGTATTTGGAGTTTGCGTCTCTCTCTCCGTGGTCGCGCGGAGTTTTCTCCGGGTCCTCCGGATTTTCCCTCCACATTTAGAAGCAACATCTCGCGTTTGTAGTATTTAGTTGCTATACATTTCCACGTGATAAGCCACTTCGTTGGGCTATCATTTGTGGCCCAATCACTTCTGAAAAATAGATACATTCGGCCTCACCTGGTAAAAAAAAAAAAATTGGAGAAAAAATAATGTTTCCACAACTTGTCTCGAGGCTCATGCTCCCATGTGTGCCACCCTCCTCCTCCTTGTGCCCGCCACCCCCTCCCCCCGCCCACGGCAGATCGTGGTGAACAACGGGCAGCAGATCGAGGTGGACGGCTGGGCGACTCGCAAGCGCATCGCCGGCCTGCTGCCCAACACCGAGTACTACTTTGGGCTCGCGAGCCGCGGCGACGGCGCCGGGGGGCTCCAGCAGGAGGTGGGGGTGCGCACGGCTCCCGACCTCCCACAGGGAAAGCCGCTGGCGCTGGGCCGTGTGCGGCCCGACGGCACGCTGCCCACCGAGCTGCCGGACCCACCGGAGGAGGTCAGCTTGAGGTGAGGGGGGCCCTGCCCGGCGCTGCCGATCCCTGCCCGATTCAGGCCACAACTTTGCACGAGGGTGCCGCAGGCATCGGATCATCGTTACGAGAGTTATCGTGATCTTCCCCCCCCTGTTACAGACAGACAGACAGATGCTACAAAGCATTATTAAAAAATCTGTGATATTGATCGATGCATCGTTAGACCCGGAAGAACCCATGTTAATCGTCACACCCCGACTGCCCATCTCTCTCGTCTGCGTACGAAACCATAAAACGGACCGCGTGTCGTCTGCACGTCGTCTGCACGTCGTCTGCGTATCGTGTGCGTGTCGCAGAGCGTACTACGTGGTGGTCGTGCCGCTGAAAAGACACAAGGGCCGCTTCGTGAAACCGGCCGAGATTCCCGACGATCTGGACCTCGACGAGGTGACCCAACCCCCCCCCTCCACCCCCCCCCTCCCCCACCGAATCGCGACGACCTTTCGTCAATTCAATTCACCGCGACCCGCCGCGCCGCGCTTTTTAGATAATCCGGCGAAAAAACGGCGACAACGAGCAGCTCGCCTCCCCCCACCCCCCACAAACCGCACTCCCGCCGCAGATCGTGGACGGCGGCAGCCAGCAGCGGAGGAGGAGACGGAGGCGGCACGGGCCCGTGGCACGTGCAGCCCGGGACGTCGAGGGGCCGCGGCCCTATGTGGCGGCCCGCTTCCCGGGGGGGCGGCTCCCCGCCGACTTCACGCTGGGCGACGGGCTGGAGTACGGCGGGCACGTGAACCGCCGGCTCTCCGCCGGGCAGGACTACGTCTTCTTCGTGCTCTACGAGCTGGAGCCACACGATGCGGGCAGCGTGAGTACCGCCAGCGCCACTCCCGCGCCGCCACTTCCCCCACCTCCAACTTCCTGCCGGTGTGAGCCCGACAGCCGCCCTGGTTAATGCCGCTCCGAGCCGTGCGTCTCGCTCGGGTCGCAGGTCACCCAGATCGTAGGTCACATGGTTCAAAGGTCGACTGAGTCCCGGGTCAGCCGGACCGCAAGCTTCCTGGGTCACGGGTTATCTGGCCATGGTGGCGAGATGCTAACTCCCTCGCCTGGTATGCAGGAGGTCGTGGATTCAATCCTGACCCTGACGCCTGCATATATGGAGTTTGCATGTCTCCTTGTGATCATGTGGAATATTTCTCCAGGTCCTCTGGTTTTTCCCTCCATATTTAGAAATATGCATTTAAAGTATTTGGCTGCTATAAATTTCCGCATAAGCCACTTCCTTGAGCTACCATTTGTAGCCAGGTTTATTCTGAATAAGAACTCTATAGCTCAGTGGGTTTTACCTGGTAAATTAAAAAAAAATGTTTTCATCGTTTTAAAATATGCACCAATCTGCTCTGCAATGGACGTTCAAGATCTCCGTGGGGTTAATTGAGAACGAGTAGGCCAAGTGTTTCCCAGCGTCGTGGTCCACGTTCGCCAAAGTTAACGAGTTACTCGCAAATGGCCAAGTCGGTAAAAGAGCCACAGCAATGCCGCTCCGTGCTGGCAGGCGGATACCCAACTGGTTATCTGCGCTGGCAGGGTCTGCTGCCGCATGGCGCGTCGCCACGTCTGGCATGGCAGGAAAGGTGTGAATATTAAACGAAGAAGAATACGAAAAGCAAGAAGACGATGATGATGATGATGATGCAATCAAAGCCAGGATAATGAGCGTGTGCCGGTTGAGCATCTTTAACCCCTGGGCCAACCCGGCCAGGATGATCCGTGAATCCGCGCGTTGAGTGCATGACCCCGTTGCATCGTACCTCTCTCTCTGCGTCTCTGCGCGCGGTTAGCGGATGTTCGTGGCGAGCCCCTACTCGGATCCCGTCGTGTCTCCCGACCCCGAGCCGCTGCCCATCACGGAGGAGGAGGAGGGCCTGCTCTGGGTGGTGGGGCCCGTGCTGGCCGTCGTCTTCATCATCTGCGTCGTCATAGCGATCCTCCTCTACAAGAGGTGCGGTCCCTTCGTCTTCCCCTCGCCCGCGCCATTCGAAGCGTGCCCGGTTCTGCCGCTGGCGAGGCTCCGATTGTCGGAAACCGCTCCGGCGTGTTTTGCCCATGTCCCACTGATGCTGCCGAAAACAAAATGCGTGCTGCCAAAATGGCCGTGCGGCCGACGGGATATGATGGGGGGCGCCGTTGTCTGATCATTTATTTTTAATATCCGCTATGATAGCCCGCCAAAACACCACCCACGCGCCATCACCCGTCGCCAGCCACCATCCATCACACGGCGCTGCTGCTTGCCAACGGCAACAAGCCCTTCTCTTTCACGTCACGCGGTGCAGCAGGTGGCGTGCCCCGGCGGTAGCACATTCGCCGCCCTTTGTTGCAAAGGCTCACCGTTGGAATCCAGCGGCCACCCTGGTTAATGCTGTAGCGGGCGCTAACCGTGAAGAGACTACGCGCCGTCCGCTTCGCTCTCAGTGGACGTTAAAGATCTCGCCCCCCTTGACAGCCAATCGCAAGAGCAGGCCATCGTGTTACGATTTCAGCGTCCACATTTGCCAATTTCGATATTCTTCCAACCGCGAAATGTTCTCAATTAGGGTCACACACGCGCACACGGAGGTAGCGATCATCCCTGGTCAGCGGACCCATGCCCCCCCCCCTCCCCCCCCGTGTCGCTCTCGTAAAACGCGAGTTTTGGGCAGCGTCGTCGACAGTGGATAACAACGTTTGTGTCCTTGTCCCCTTCTTCTGCTGTCATGGAAACCGCAGCAAACCGGACAGGTAAGACATCGGGAAGCCATCGCTCACCCTGCCGTCATCGGCCACCGTGATAGAACAAAATCCCCGAACGATGCCCAACTATTCGTAGTTTCCTCAGTGAGTTTGTGCCAGCTGTGAACGCGAAACAGCCTGAGCTAGCGTGAACCAGCTGGGAGCGACCAGAGAGTGTGGGCGAGCTGGCAACAGGTGCGAACACTTCTGGGAACCTCAACAATCAGTCATCATCCAGGTGCGGAATTGGCTCTGCGTCCCAGCGAGCGCGTCCCGATTTTGAGTCTTGCTCTGGCTCGTCACTTTTGAGCGTTGGCACCCAGTCCCGGTGGGGGTGGAGGACATGACCCCTGTCAAGCAACAGCCAGGGGTCATGGCGGTGGCGGGGTCAGAACTCCCTCATTGACGAGCTACAATGGCTGCCCCCCCCCCCCCCCCAACTGCCCCGCCCACCCCGCCCGGGCCCCGCAGGAAGAGGAGCGACTCGGACCCGGGGAAGCCGATGCTGCCAGGAGGAGCGAAGGAGACGTCGCCCCTGCACACGTCGGACCCCGTGGAGATGCGGAGGATCAACTTCCAGACTCCAGGTGCCGCCCCCCCCCACCACCACCACCTCCACCCCCCCGCCCCCCCTCCCGCCCACCCCCACCACCCACATCCTTTATCCACCATCACCGCTGCCGCCTCCTCTCCGTGCGTTTGACGCTGCGGGGGGCCCGGCGCGTCAGCTGCTCACTCCGTGCGGAAATCGCTGCCGCGAGCGCCGTTACAGTTGCCGTTATTTTATTTCCGTCGGCGGTTCTCCGTTATTTTTAATTTACTTCTCCCTCGAAATGTGCCCTTGTCGCTTGTCTCCGTGCGTTTTATTTTCATATCTTTATTTGTTTGTTTCGGTTTTTTTTCCTCCCCCTCCGTTATTTTTTTTATTCCTTCTCCGCGCAGGTTTTCCTGCAGGCAGTCTGCCCGGCGAGCTGGCCGCCCCCCAAAGTTAGTCGCCATCCCTCGTCCGCTACCCTCCCCCCCTCTCTCCATCTCACTCACGTTGCCCCCCCCCCCCCCCCCCACACCACCGCCGCCACCTTCCAAACCCCCGCCCTCTCCCATCCGCTCATGGCATGCCAGGCCCGGCAGGGTCCAGGGTGGGTGGGGAACCCAGGGCGTGCAGGCGGCTGCTCTTTTAAGAGTTCGCTGGGGCTCGTTCAAAACTGCATCCCTGCACCCCCTCCGCCCCCCCCCCCCCCCCCCCACTTTATCATAATTATTTGGCTGACAGGCCCCAGCCGAGCCAACGGGCTCCAGCCGATGATGATGCCACCACTACCTCTGTCCTCACCCTGGCCCTTTGCCATTTGTGCAATGAGGGGCCTATCTGCTGTGACAAAAAATGGGGGGGGGGGGGGGCCCTATCCTGTGCTGTTGGTCGCCCACACCCCTCGGCCTAGGGGAGCCGCCCCCCACTCCCCCCACCACCCCCCCCCCCCCCCCCACTTCAGCTGCAAAGCACTGACCTCCACCCTCTCGGCACCAACTCACGTCTCTCCCAATCGGCGTCATTTCTCCAGCCCAGCCTCGTGCCGGAAACACTAACCGCCTCGCCCTTTCTTCCCTCCCTCTGCGCGCTGCCTCTTTAACTGCCAGCGCCGGCGGCGAGCGCGTGTCTATTAAAAGCCATCCATCCGTCCCCGGGCTTCCTCTCCCTCCTCTCTTTCTCTCTCTCTCTCTCTTCCCCTCTCTCTCTCTCTCTTTCGTCATAGGGCGAGAGCCGGTGAAATTATCGGGTCGCATTTTTAACCGCGATCCCCATTCGCCACGACCGCATAGCCGCGTAACCATCCCCGGTCGTTGCCGGCCACGTTAACACGCACGCCGTCCGTTCTCACGGAGGGGCCGAGGCTCCAACGGCTTCTGCCGCCGCCCACCCCCTCTGCCTCCATCCCATGCTCCTGGTGGACACCGGTTGCCACCAGCGCCGTCAACCCCCCTCCTTCCCCCCCCCCCCCCCCCCCCCCCACCGGCTGCCGGCGCTCATACGGACGACGGCACCAAGACCCTCAGCCCGCGATCGGGGAAAAAAAAAGGCCCGCGGCCTTCTCGTGCCCGTTCAATTCGGCCGCCTTGTTACGTCTCGCTCGGGTCGCAGGTCGCTCGGGTCATAGGTCACGTGGTCAGCTCGACCGCAAGCTTCCTGGGTCATGGTTCATCCGTGTCACAGGGTCATCTCGCCACGGTGGCAAAGTGTTGACGTGGTCGCTTGGATTTTTCCCCAGGTCCCTCGTTTTTTCCGTCCTCAACGTGCATTTAGATTTATTTGGCCGCCATAAATTTCCACGTGAAAAGCCACTTCATTGAGCTGTCACTTGTAAGCCAGGTCGCTCCTGAAATATAGCTACACAGCTCAGTGGTGGGCTTTACCTGGCAACAACAACAACAACAAATTGCTTAGTTTACTTTGCTTGCTTTCCTGGCTCCTCGGCCACGGCATCTTCACGCCATTAACCACGTCCGCATTAACACCGCAGCGCAGCGCCGGACGCGCCCATGCACGTGTGCTCTTGTCATGACGACTGCGTGCGCTGCTCTCACGGTTATCGCGTGCGCTGTTCTCACGACGATAGTTGCGCGATTTTCCCACGACGATCGCATGTTCACCATTCTCGCGGTCACATGTTTACCATTGTCATGCCCGTCACATGTTTACTCATCCCATGACGACACATGTTCGACTCATCTAATATCCATCCAATAGCCATTCGATGGCGCGTTTTGCCTGTCTCATGACGATCACACGTGCGTGTGCTGTCTGTCATGTGCTGTGTGTCGTGTGCTGTGTGTCGTGTGCTGTGCGTGCCGTGTGCTGTGCATCGTGTGCTGTGCATCGTGTGCTGTGCATCGTGTGCTGTACATCGTGCGCTGTGCGTGTGCTGTACGCGTGCTGTCTGTCGTGTGCTGTGCGTCGTGCGCTGTGCGTGTGCTGTGTGTGCCGTGTGCTGTGCATCGTGTGCTGTGTGCGGGCTGTGCATCGTGTGCTGTGCGTGGGCCCGGTGGTCCGTCTCGTGTCTCCCCCACCCCCAGGCATGATCAACCACCCTCCGATCCCCATCGCGGAGCTCTCCGACCACGTCGAGCGACTCAAGTCCAACAACAACCTCAAGTTTTCGCAGGAGTACGAGGTATGCGGACGATTCGCGGGCGACTCGGCAGCGACTCGGGGACGACTCTAGGGCGACTCGCGGGTGACTCGCGGGTGACTCTGGGGCGACTCTCGCCCTCCCTGCGGTCACTCTGCGCTAGCCACCGGACCTGTGACCTGTCTGCATAACTCTCCCTCGCAGGCCCGACCGCCTCCTTATCACTCTTTTATCGCTCCTGTCATGGTCACTGGTCCCGTGAACTTAACTTACCGATTCCTGCACCCGTGAATTTCACTCGCCTTCTCTGGCCTCTCTGTGTGCGGTGAAGAAGGGCTATTTCCCGAAACGTCGCCTGTTACATACTTTTTGCTTATCAAGGCCTGCGGTGTTATTGACGAACGTGTTGATTTTTGGTTCGTGCACCATGCCAAGGCTGAAGCCTGCTTCGGTTTTATTAACTCATCGGTGTCACCATCAACCGCATCAGAACGTCAGCAGGCCGATGCGCAACATCTCCTTCACGAACGGAGAGTTCAAGGCACGAACCACAGCGGTGCGACTGCGGCCATGCAAGCGACACCACGGACCGTCCAGTAAACCCACTAGTAACGAATTGGCACGTTCTGTTTACGTGACAAACCTCATCAATTGGCTGTGTCGGGTGGCGGCGGGTTCAGCGACACACTTTTTTTTTATTTACCCAATCTAATCCAACACAAACCTCTGTTCGGGAAATCCACTGTTGCCTGCTCTCCTTCAATGGACGAGGGACGGCAAAGCCACGCAAACTCTCTCCTGAATCCCTCTCGTGACGAGCAGACCTCGTTAGTTGGGTGTCCAAAGCCTCCTGACCACCTTGCTGCTGCCATCTCGCACGAGGATGGGACTCGTTAATTAATTTATTCATGTATGAGCCGTCTCTTTCGGGTTGGCGTGGAGGGGGGCGGGCGGGGGCGACGTCACGTACAGGGTGACGTGACGCACGGCTACAGGCCACGTGCCTTTGTTGTTTGTCATAACGGAATGGAGGTTAGGGTTAGGGATAGCATGTATGCTTGGGAGTTAGGGGTCGCGTTATATGTAGAGGGGTAGTATTATGCTTGGGGTTATGAGACAGGGTTGGGGGGTGAGCAGAAATGTTAGAATTTGGGTGAAGGTTACGGGTAGGGGAAGCTAAGGGTTAAATGTCTGGTTATTGTGGGGTTACGGTTGGACGTAAAGTGGGATTAAACAATGTAAAAATCAGCTCCTACCACTTCAATTCGTAGGGTTGGGACTTGCGTGGAGTAGGGTTGTAGTGGTAGAGGTAGGCATATGGTAGGGGCAGGAGTTACGCCTGGTGCTAGTGTAAGTGATAGCCATTATAGCTCAGGTGTAGTGTTGGGAGTTAGGTGTGCTATTCGTTGGTAGTGGTGGTGTTCGCGTAACTTAGGGAGTAGGTGTAGCGGTAGGGTAGTGTTCCCGTTAGTTGCTAGGCGTAGTGTTAGGGGTTAGGTGTAGTATTCGGGGTAGTGGTGGTTTAGTGTTCGTGATGGGGGTAGAGCTCCCCCAGGTAGCCATGTGATCCTGATTGGGAGTTACGCGGCCCCAGGTTTGTGTGACCGCCGGGGGCATCATCGTCCAATTATTCAGCAGATTTGTCACGCCCGCGTCTCCGCTGAGCTGAGAGAATAACTGAATTACATTTAAATTAGTTCTGACAACAAAGCCTGTTCAAATGCACCCCCTACCCACCCCCCTCGCCTCCACCCCCCATTTTGCCCCCCACCACCACCGCCAACCACCACCACATCTCCCTCCCTCCATCCACTTCACCCACACGGTGCAGTGTGTTTGCACACTCACACGTGCACGCACACACACGTGCGCACTTACGGAATCACACGCACACTTGCACACGCACCCATACGCAAGCGAACGCGAGCATACTCACACATGCACGCACACGCGCACACACTTATACACTCGCACGCTTGCACATTTGCACATACACAAACGCACACACGTGCACCCACACATACACAAGCACGCACACGCGCGTGTCGTAGTGAAAGCCAGGTGTGTGCGTGTGTGCAACGCAGCGCCACAGATGCCAGGAGGCAGAATTCAGTTCCATGCGACACAAAACCTCACTGATGTGACGCCTCCGCATGACACCTGCGTGTGTGTGTGCGTGTGCGCGTGTGCGTGTGTGTATGCGCGCATGTGGGGAGCGGTAGTGTGTTGGTAGCTTACTGCACTACGAGCCCAGCGACCAGAATTCGAATTCCGCTTACCGCCAACACCAGTGACGATTATCTGAACCAGTTTTGGGCCTTCCCTAGGTAAACTCAGCATTAAATGAGTACCTGGTGCGATGTGATCAACATCGCCACTCGCGAGAGAAAGGCGACGTGGCGTGGTGCTGGCCACCCACCCCCTCGTGTGCCGTGCCGGCCTTTCATAGGTGCTCGCTAACAGCACTTGCCCCAACAGTCTGTTTTGCCTAAAAGGGAGATCTTTGTCTTTGTGTGCATGTGTAAGCGTACATGTGTGGCGTAACTGTGTACGAGCATGCATGCGTGCGCTTGTACGAGCGTACACGTGCATGCACGTGTGTGTGCGTGTGCGTGAAAATATCTCGCGTGCAGCCTGAATGCACACACTCGCATGCATCACACGCGCACCCCCCCCCCCCCCCCCCGCACGTACATACGAGCGCACGCACGTCATAGGGGCCACGTACTTGAGTCGCATGTGTCAAGGTCGCACGTGTGCGTCGCTCAAAGGTAAATCCTGCGTAGTCGGATTTGTGTTCCGCGCGCGTTTGATATTATTTCGTCACGAAGGCTGCTTTCAAATCTCACTGCCACGTGGGTTGAATGCGTCTCCATTACATTCTTCTCGGGAAAATCCCCAATAAATCATATTTACTGGTTAACCCTTAATCCATTTATGCGCCATGCAAATTGCCTATCTCCAATCTTATTCTTCATTCTCTCATCACGGATGTACCATTGCGAGCGTATCGCACGGCGCCGCGGCGGATTTATCGCCCCGCGCCCGCTCGCCGCTCCATCACCCCCTCCCTCCCTCCTTCCTCGTGTCATCTGTGTCTTCATCTCTCCCTGCTTTGCAAAGCTCCCAGCTCCGTCCCTCACTTTATCTTCCGCCTCGATCATTCAAATTGTTCCTGCTGCGTCTATTTCGTCGTCGTCGTCCCCCCCCCCCCCCCTTCCCTCCCCCGTGCTCAATTCGAAGAGAATTCACTCTGGGGTGTCCGTTAGGCGATGACTTGGTGCCAACCCGGCACGGCGGTTGCTTACGAGACCATCACAAACCGAAGCCAATTTCCTGCTCAAATGAGCACCGAAGGGCGGTGATCACCTTCCCTGCAGAGGCAGCGGCGAAATTTCGACGTTGCCCTGGTGGGGGCGAGGCTCGGCTTTTATGCCGCGCGAGCTCATCAAGAGCGTGTGTCGTTGGATGGGGTCGCCTTACTTTGGATCTTGGAGGCGTGGACGTCGCCCCGATTATTCTGAGCGCTCGTGCAAAAATGGCTGTGCGTGTGCAGCGGGCAGTGCGTAGTGGAAGAGGCCAGGTGGTGGCGCAGACCCTTGCGATCTTCAGGGTTGGTGGATTACGTAGAGATCTGTAAATCTCCCACCAGCGTCTGGCATTCCTAAGAGAAGTGCTTCCGTTGGAGTTTGCAAATATGACGTGACGATGAATACGATGGTGCTGCAGGGTTGACCGTGGATGCACTGTGCCGGTGTCTGTACGGTATTGACCGTAAGGCTGTGATGCGTGTACCTCCTGGTGGTGCCACTGTCTGTGTGGTTGACCGTGGCTGTGATGCGTGTGCGTGTCCCTCCCTAGTCGATCGACCCCGGGCAGCAGTTCACGTGGGAGCACTCGAACCTGGAGGTGAACAAGCCGAAGAACCGCTACGCCAACGTCATCGCGTACGACCACTCGCGCGTCATCCTGCAGACGCAGGACGGTGAGCGAGCGCGACGCGCCGTGCGACGTGAAGTTGGGGGGGGAGCGTGAATCTTTACGTGTGAGCGTACGCGTTTGCGTAACTGTGGACGAGCACACGATGCCGTGCGCGCCTGTGCGAGCGTACGTGTGCGTGCGCGCATGTGCGCATGTGCGTGCGTGCACACGCACGTGTGGGTGAAACATCGCACGTGTATCACACGCGCCGCCCGCCCCACCCGACCGGCCCGAACCGACGACCTCTGGATGGCAAGTCCGGCGTGATAGCCGTTACACCGCGGCAGCCGTCCCCACGTGCCTCTGCAGCACGTGGCACGAAAGCAGCACATGCTGCTCACAGGGCAGTATGCAAGTCAAGTAGATTTCGCTTAACCCCGGGTGGGAACTCCAGAGACCCGGGATAGAAGTCTCATTCGCACAAACGCGGCCTGGGCCACCAGTTCAGGAAATAAGCGAATAGCAGTCGGTGCAAAAACAACTGCATCGTCACGTGAGAAACGAAAGAAGCATTGCAACGAGCACGGATCCATGTTCAATAATTAATTCCCCGCAGCGCGCGTTGGCTCGGGAATGTTATTTTTAGACCGATCGCGGTGCAGTCGCAACGAATTCAACGTATAATGAGTATCAATCCTAACAATGCGCAGAATTCACTCGCGTCCAGCGACAAAGTCACGAGGCCGAGGCCCAACCCCGTGGCGCAGCTGCGCGCGAAGTGCAGAGGTCGAGACTAAATGGCGACCGATGCGTGAGCGGACGAGGGCTGCGCGCGACGTGCAATTCCAACGGAGGGGGGGGGAGGGAGAGGGGGGGATGGACGCTGTCGCAAAGAATCCACGGCGGCGGCGGCGGCGGCGGCACCGCTCGCTTCTCCCAACGCACCAAAGAACCGCGGGCGGCAAGTGCATCTCCGTGCAAGCCGCGCGATTAAAATTGCAGTGTTCGTGCATAAATCTTGCGGCGCATATAAAGCGCACACCTTGACCGTGCACATTAACATAATCCAATATTTCGCAGGCATCATAATCCAATATCCTGCATTAACATAATCCAATATTACGATATTAACATAATTCAATAAGTCACATTAACATGAATCAATATCAGGGGGGGGAAAGGGCGAGCTGGGGAGGTGTGTGAGGGCAGTGCGTGTGTGTGTCCGTACGTTTACGTGTCCATCTCTACGTGCCCATGCACGTCTGTGTGTACGTGTGTATGCGAGTGTCTGCGTGTGTATTTGGTTTTTGTCCGTGTGTGTGTATGTCTTTAAGGCCATACTGGGGGATCTTTGTCATTTTGGGGAAGCGATTTTCGCTCACGGGCAAACATCGGACGACGAATATCTGAACCGGTCCTGGACCTCGCCTAGGTCGACTCGGCCTTAAATGAGTACCTGGTGCTGTGCGTAAAACGTCGACATCAGTCGAAACAAATTGGCCATTGTCTGCTAGCATCAGGGTCCAAAATTGACCAAATCTGAGAAATTACTCAACGAGTTTGTACACAGCGGCAATCATCACCCCATCCTTGAGTCGCCTCGTGCTGCTCAGGAACAGCTGCCACCGGGGGTGCCCCTTTCAAAATGTTTATCACGTGTTAAATGCTCCGTGACACCCACCGGCTTAAAAAGTGGGGGGGGGGGTCTCTTATCAAAGAGAAATCTCGTCGTCGTCGTCATCGTCTTCGTCATTTTATATCTCCCCGTGCTCTCTTGCTTCCTCCCACCCTGGCTTGCAGGAGTCCCGGGCAGCGACTACATCAACGCAAACTACATGGACGGCTACCGCAAGCAGAACGCCTACATCGCCACGCAGGGCCCGCTGCCCGAGACCTTCGCCGACTTCTGGAGGATGGTGTGGGAGCAGCGCAGCTCCACCATCGTCATGATGACACGCCTGGAGGAGCGGTGCCGGGTGAGAGCGGGCGACGTTGCACCTCCTTCCTCCTCCCTCCCTCCTTTATCGCGATGACGATGCGACGGGGTGGATTGGCGGGCGGTGGCGTTGACTGCATGACAGTCCGCTCGCGCAAAATGCAAGCGATGGGAATTGTTCGGTGTCCGTTCCGCGCGGATAGAGGCGGCCCTCTCGGAACCAGGGAGGGAGGGAGTGAAGGAGGGAGGGAGGGAGTAAATCTGCCACGACGCGGAGGGAGGGGGAGGAGGGGGAGGAGGAGGCTGTGGGGCCAGAGATCAGAGAGGGGTCGGGGCCACAGATGCAGACGAGTTGGGCGGACATGTCAATCAGAGCCCTTGCAAAGGAAGCCACGGGCTGCCACGGGCTGCCACGGGCTGCCACGGGCTGCCACGGGCTGGCCTCCCATGTCCGTGCCATAATGGGTATGCCAGAAAGGGGCAATGTCGCTGCGTGGTTTTACCCAATGAAGTAAACTTGGGTCTTGACGCCAGGCACAGTTGGCCCCCGCTCATTTTCGAATGAACGTCGCGGGCTCTTTGAAGCCCATCGCGGCGAAGACGGTACGTCGTCGTGTTTTGGGTTCGTACACCCGGATGTATGAACCAGGGCGGCCGCCAGATCCGCACCGCGAACCTCTCCGCAGCGAGCGGCGCAGCCGTCCGGGGTGCCCGCCTCCTTCCCCCCGGAACCACACCGCGCGCTTCCGGGCTGCGCCGCTGCGTCGTTCGGGACGCGACGTCCGACGTTTCGGACCCGGCAAGGAATTCTGAGGAAGGGAGCGCCCTTTCGGGTGACCCGTGGCGGTGAAACGTCGGACGTGGTTTCCGAAGCGACGCGTGGCACGGCCAGAAAACAGCAACGCCGGAGGGCGAATGCCAAACAATGATCCACGTAGCTCGTGCCATCGAAAACTCACTTCTTTATAACAGCTTTTTGTTTGTTCTCCTTCCCCACGCACCTTCGATTAGCACGTACAGTGAGAAAGAAGTTCAACATACATACACGCACATACACAGGCTTACACAGAGACCCATACACTCACACAGAGACCCATAGACTCACACAGGGACCCATAGACTCCCACAGAGACCTACAGACCCACACAGAGACCCATAGGCTCACACAGAGACCCATAGACTCCCACAGAGACCTACAGACTCACACAGAGACCCATAGACTCACACAGGGACCCATAAACTCACACAGAGACCACCGGTCTCTCAACCTCCCCAATCGCCATTTCCACCGCCGGCTTCTTCCTCGTCTCCATCGCGCCAACTGATTGACTTCGTCAAATTCATCATCTTTCGCCGGCCGTCGCTGGCGTCACCCGCCACCCCCGCCCGTCATTTCTCCCCATCATCGTCACCATCACCATCAATCACCGCCACCGCCTCTAATTACGTTTCCCATCAGTGCGGCGCTCTGGGAGAAGCTTTTAAATCTTTCATGTTTGCTCTTGATGTCCAATCATGGGGGTTTTTATTTTTTATTATCGAGTCGCCTCAGTCGGTTGCTGTCCCTCCTCCCCTCCCTCCCTCTCTCTCAACTTTTCTGTCCTGCGTTTCAAGTGCCCCCACTGGCCCCCTCCCCCATCCCCCTCCACCCTGCCCCCGCCCCCCTTCTCCGTTCCCTGCCGCGGACGGTCTCTGCCGGTGTCCGTATATTTATTTTAAACACCTGTCATTTACATACGCATTAAAATGGATGAGCCTCTCTATTTGCTCTCCGCTCCTATTCATATTTAATGCCTCCTCGCGCGGATAATAGCGTTGGCGTGACGGCGCTGCGGTGGCGCGTTCCCTGCGCAGCCGCCAGCCAATGGTGCCGTGCCACGCCGACGCGCGGTCACGGGCGTGAGGCCCACCGTGCCCGCTTTCCCCACCCGCGACCCCGTCCGCCACCCCGCGATGATCGCCCGCCCGTGTGATCGCGTGACCACGTGATGATGGAGCGCACTGTGTGAGCGTGTGACCGTGTGAATGCGTGCTTATCTGTTCGATTCTTTAATTCATTCATTCCATCTCTCTCTCTCTCCCTCTCGCTCCCTCTCCATCTTTTCAGATTCAGTGCCAGTCAGTGCTGTCTGAAAAGGCAAGCGCTGTGTGTTGTGCCCCCCCCCCTCCTCTTGCCCACTCCTCTTCCTCCAACTCATCACCCTGCTCTTCCTGCACGAACGCTAATCACCTTCCCCCCCCCCCCTTCCCCCACCGCTCTCTCACCCAGCGTAGATTTTTGTGGTGCTGTGCTTTTTGGGTTGTGCCCGTGTGAAACGAATTCGGTTTCCGTTTCGCTCGCCCCTCCACGCCGAGACATTCTCCGGCAACCGAATCGAGCGTGTACCATGCTGCTATCGCGTCGGGCGTGTTTCGCTTGCTGGAAGGAGCGCACAGCACGTGGGGCGAAACGTCGGACATCGTAACAAACAACGCCACCACGACACAAAACAACCCGAGAACAGAGAGCTAGGGGAGCCCGGTCCCGCCAACCAGTACTAACGCACGCCGTGTGCAGTGGGACATCACGACGTCGTCCCTGTCTGTGTGTGCGTGCGTCTGCGCGTGTGTCCCTCCGATTGTCTCTGTCAGCGTCTCGAGCGTGCGTGGGGAGCGGCAGCGCCGCGGTTAGCGCTCCGCGTTACGAAACCCCGGCGACCCCAGTTTCGATCGCCGCTCACGGCGCTCACGGCGCTCGCCCAACACCGGTGACGATTATCTGAACCGGTCCTGGACCTCCCCTGGGTCGACTCAGTCGATTGGTGTCCAAACCGGTCACTTCCTGGGGGCAATTCGGCACGAACGGGGCGGTGCGCAAACGCCGGCACTCTGTTGCTCGTAGCAACTGGGCGTTGGTGAGCGCCCGCAGGCTGCTCGTGGCAATGCGTGTACCATGATGTCCTGCTGCCAGCAGAGGGAGGCAGGCAGGCAGGCAGCAGCAGCATGGGGATTATTTTTTCATTGGGTCCTCGAGTAGATTGAACAAAATCCATTTTGGTGAGTGTGCATTGGCAGCGGTGACACAAACACACGTAACCAAACAACGCGGCACTTTCACCAAGAGCACTGCCATCTATCTGCTGTGAAGGAGGACCATGTCCCGAAACGTCGCCTATTTTGTATGTTTAAATTTAGAGCTTTCGTGACTGCAGGAATTACTTTTGGCTCTTGCGGTAAAGTCAGCCACTTGATTTTCTTTCTACGTGACTTTACCGAAAAAAAACACAAAGCATTTTTTATATATATTGTGTATTTTATATATATTGTGTATTTTATATATAGTGTGTATTTTATATATTGTGTATTTTATATATTGTGTATTATATATTGTGTATTATATATTGTGTATTTAATATGTATTGTGTATTTTATATATTGTGTATTATATATTGTGTATTTTATATATTGTGTATTTTATATATATTTTGTGTATTTTTCACGTTAATGCAACAGCGTTATTCACAAACGCGTTGAGCCCAGCTCTGCTCGTTCCAATCGGATTACTCTTCCGATTATCACTTCGAGTACCCAACCCATCAGATTCAACGAAAAATAATATGGTAGGGGTCGGGGGAAGATCTCCATGTGTGCCACTGGACGGGAGGTGATGGGCAGGGCTTGGTGACATCATCGGCCGTGTCATGCCGGGTGTGGCTCGTTCGGAATGCAGGGACGTGGGGACGGCCGCCGTTTATGATTCGAAACGTCCAGTCGAGCGGTCAACTTTAATCGGCCAATCGACCGGGCGCTGAAATCGATGTCACGTTCCCAAGCTGCACAAAAATCCTTTCAGGTGACCTGGTGGACACGGCAGAGGGCAGGGCGTTCCGGTGCGACTGCCGCGTGAGTGTAGTGGTCATCGCACGGCAGTGAAACCGGGACGGCTGGTATTTAGCCTAATTCATCGCAGAACCAAAATTGTTGACCGGGCTGAGACCATCAACTCAATGTGCACTTGTTTAATCACAGTCCAGTCTTTGAGTCTCTGTGTGAGTCTATGGATCTCTGTGGACGTCTGTGGATCTCCACGTGATTAACCGTATCATGAACTTGTGACCGCACTGAGACCACCAACTCACCATCGCTAGAGATCCCAGTCACAAATCACAGATGGGCGGCTGAATCCCGAATTTACACTCAGCGTCTCGGCGTCTCTGACCTCCAAGCCAACCCGGCCACCGCTTCTGCCAGCTGACCCCCGTGCCCCCTGCACCCCCCCCCCCCCGCCCACCCACCCCCTCGTGCCCCCCGGCAGGTGAAGTGTGACCAGTACTGGCCAGCGCGGGGCAGCGAGACGTACGGGCTGGTGCAAGTGTCCCTGGTGGACACCCTGGAGCTCGCCTCCTATGCCGTGCGCACCTTCACGCTGCACAAGGTACCGTCGCTCACCCACACCCTGATACACTCACCCACACCAGCCGTTGTTGCCTCCGTGCCCTTTCTCACCGTCGCCACGAAATCGCTGCATCGCGAGACCGCGGACGACGCATTACACGGATGCCTTCATCCAGCAGTGGAGAGAACGTGGCTGACGACCGCACGCACGATGACCAGTGACGACGACGATGTCGACGATGTCGACCCCCACCCCTCTAGAACGGCTCCAACGAGAAGCGCGAGGTGCGGCAGTTCCAGTTCACGGCGTGGCCGGACCACGGCGTCCCCGAGTACCCGACGCCCTTCCTGGCGTTCCTGCGGCGCGTCAAGGCCTGCAACCCGTCCGATGCGGGCCCCATGGTGGTGCACTGCAGGTGCTGCCCCCCCCCCCCCCGCTCTCAACCCTCGCCATCCCCCATCCCCGGACCTACCCCCCCGCCTCCTCCACCACCCCACCCCCCCCGCCCCCCGTCCCAACACCTTCCCCGACCCGACAGTGTTGACCCCTCGCTTCAGGTTTTAGGGCCGCAGTCTTTCCCACTGTAGACCAAACCCAGACGCGATTCTCAGTCAGCCCGGGTCAATCTAAACTGCGCAGTTTTAGTTCACACACGATTCCTGCCACCCGCGGTGACGTCACCGCTGAACTCTTGCCCGCCCGCCCGCGCCAGCCAGCCAGCAAAACTTTTTTGTTCCAATCCCAGTACGAAACCGCACTGCGGGGGTGGGGGGGGGGGGGGTGGACGGACCCTCACCTTCGGCCTTTGTTTCTGTCCGCCCCCTCTCTCTCACTCTGGGCTCGACGCGCGCTTGTGTGTTCCGCAGCGCCGGCGTGGGCCGCACGGGCTGCTTCGTCGTGCTGGACGCCACCCTGGAGCGCCTGCGCTCGGAGCGCACGGCGGACGTGTACGGCTTCGTCACGTGCCTGCGCTCGCAGCGCAACTACACGGTGCAGACGGAGGAGCAGTACGTGTTCGTGCACGAGGCGCTGCTTGAGGCGGCGACGGCGGGCCCCACCGAGGTGCCGGCGCGCACGCTCTACGCGCACCTGCAGCAGCTGGGCACGGCGGAGCCCGGCGAGAACACCACGCGCATGCAGCTCGAGTTCCGGGTGAGTCCCGACGTCCGTTGTTCGGGAGTCCGTCCGGCTAAAAGCGGCGCGGGAGGAGGGCGCCCACGATAAGCCTCGTGAATACGAAGCGATGTGAACGAAACCTTAGGGAAAAGCTGTGATACTGCTGGGGACTCACTCTAAAGACAACCGGACACACTGATCGAAGCGTAGCCCCATCGTTGCCTCCACGGCAGAGGCGCTATCCGAGCCTCAGTGTCAGGCCGCGACCCACGATCACACTGCTTCCTGCGCACACGGCGCGAGCTCTGCCGTCGTGGTCACGACTCCAACACATCCGAGGACAAACCCTCGGATGTGTTTGAGCAGCACAGAATCCTTTGCACGTGCATGATTTGTCTTCCCCGATTTAGACGTGTCCGCAGCGGTTATTCCCGGGCTCCACGGCATCGTCGACGAACCCGCCGTGTGGGCCTGCCGCTCCCGAAGCGAGGTCGCGACCTTTACCCCCCTCGCGCCCGAGAGTTCGTGGCCTGACCCCGCGATGTACGCTCGCTCTCCTGCGTGCGTGCGTGCGTGCGTGCAGCGGTTGGCGCTCGGCAAGTCGAGCCCGTCGCGCTTCATCAGCGCCAACCTGCCGTGCAACAAGTTCAAGAACCGGCTGGTGAACGTGATGCCGTACGAGGCGACGCGCGTGCCGCTGCAGCCGATCCGCGGCGTCGAGGGCTCCGACTACATCAACGCCAGCTTCGTCGACGGATACCGGTACGCGCCGCCAGCCAGCCGCCCACCCGCTAAGCCCACACACCGGTGCCTCTGCGGCCGGTGTTTGTGCCACACTCTGTACCGGCACCTCCGCGGCCGGTCCCACCCCCCCCCCCCCCCGACTGATAGTCTGGAAAACTCATTTCTTTAAAACTGCTTTTTGTGTTTAGTTTGTTGTCCTTCCCCCGCGTCTCCGATTGGAATGGTTGGCTACGTAAGGCGCGAAAGAAGTTCAACGTACATAGGACAGACTAATTCCCCAGGCCTCTCGTGCAGTTGTGACTACACTGTTTCTCTTGAGTTCTCACCTCTGGTTGAACAAAATGATGTTGAACTAAACTAGGCTATCGCTACCTCTACCTTCCTGGCCTCTGTGTGTGTGTGCCATAAAGAAGTGTTATTGCCCGAAACGACGCGTCTAAGGCCACCGCGTTGTTGACGAATGCGCCAACAACGCGGCGGCAGCTGCCGGCAAGTTGCCGGCAAGCCGGTAGCTGCCACCGGGCCACATGCCAGGGTAACCTCCGGCCAGCCGACGGCAACGCCATCCGCTGGACTCGTGCTGTGAGCCTACTGGACATTGAACGGTTGTCGTATTCCATCAATCACAGAATCGCCCTCCCGCCATTCATTGGAAATGCAATTCCGCCGATCGGCCACGAGATCGCCCGTCACGGCAAGTCCCCCGAGCGCCGACGGTTCCTCGTTTGACGCGGCAGTCTGGCGTGCTCGTGAAGCAAAACACGCTTCCGGCGAGGGATTGCCGCGGACTCGGTCGCACTGGCGCTGCGTAGTCGGCCCCGCGGACGTCGCGAGGCTGCGTGACAAACGACCGAGATGAGGGCACGGCCACCGCGTGCTTTATCGTTCCCCCATGCCGCATCACCGTTATTAACGGCGTGCGGTCCGCGTTCGTAAACAAAAAAAAGTGCTCCCGGTTGCCCTGGATGAAAAGAGGTGGTGCGCGTGTCCTTGCCCATTCCTGGCCCAGCTTGGCTCGCCAACTCAACGGGCACTTTGAAGGTGTTGTATTTTAATGAAGAAATAAACACCAACAATCGCGCCACGGTTCTGGGCTAGGGATCGTGGGAATTGGCCAATGGGGCTGCTGCATGCGGCGTACTGACGCGCGCGTACTTGCGTGCGTGCGGGTGTGCACGTGTACGCACGTGAGCGCAGGCAGCAGGCAGCGTACATCGCCACGCAGGGTCCCATGGCTGAGACGACGGAGGACTTCTGGAGGATGCTGTGGGAGCACAACTCCACCATCGTGGTGATGCTCACCAAGCTGCGCGAGATGGGACGGGTGCGGCGCGCACGCACACACACACGCGGACAATCAAGCACGCACGCAAAGACACAACAACAACAACAGCAGCTGACATCACCATCCCGCTTGTGCTACGTGAAGTGAGGAAGGCTCGCTGCTGGCAGGGCGTCATGGCACTGACCAAGGTGCCATGGTTTGACTCGCTGAGATGACCGGCAGATGCAGCACCTGTGCCCCCTACTGTGCCAACTTGCTGCGTTTTGGCCCCCTAGGGCTCCGCTCGTTGTTTAGAGAATCGCTCCTCAGCTCTCTGTCACACTTAGATAGAAACACAATCATATACTCGTCTGAACGCACGGGTATACAAGCACACAAACAACACACGTGCACACTCACTCACGTCATGATAAATGGCAATTCAGACATTGAGGCAAGGTTAGGGTTTTTTTCCGTAGCTGCTATACATCTTTGTGACTGATGTGGGCAGTTGCTTATACATCAATAACATTCCGTGTATCGCGTGTGTCCCCGTGTGTCCCCCGTGTGTCCCAAATGTGTCCCCGTGTGTCCTCGTGTTTGTCCCCTGTGTCCCTTGTGTATCGCGTGTGTCCCCCATGTGTCCCTCGTGTGCCCGCCGTGTGCCCGCCGTGTGCCCGCCGTGTACCCGCCGTGTGTCCTCGCGTGTCCCGAGCGCAGGAGAAGTGCCACCAGTACTGGCCGGCGGAGCGCTCGGCGCGCTACCAGTACTTCGTGGTGGACCCCATGGCCGAGTACAACATGCCGCAGTACATCCTTCGCGAGTTCAAGGTCACCGACGCCAGGGTGAGTAGGAGCTTTCATTCTGCCTGCGCGCCCATGTGCCCACGCTCCTGCGCACTCATGCATCCGTGTGGCCATGCATCCGTGTGGCCATGCATCCGTGTGGCCATGCATCCGTGTGTCCATGCATCCGTGTGGCCATGCATCCGTGTGTCCATGCATCCGTGTGGCCATGCATCCGTGTGGCCATGCATCCGTGTGTCCATGCATCTGTGTGGCCATGCATCCGTGTGTCCATGCATCCGTGTGTCCATGCATCCGTGTGGCCATGCATCCGTGTGTCCGTGCATCTGTGTGTCCATGCATCTGTGTGTCCATGCATCCGTGTGGCCATGCATCCGTGTGTCCATGCATCCGTGTTGCCGTGCATCCGTGTTGCCATATTCCTGGCCGTCTATGTTCGTTTACCGAATTTATTCCCCAAATTCGTGACCTGTTGTGTACCCGACCACATGACTGCACTTGTGCCTGACCGGCTGTCTTGGCCGACTGTCTTGACCGTGTCTGTCGGTCGCCGTGCGCAGGACGGGCAGTCCCGCACCGTGCGTCAGTTCCAGTTCACGGACTGGCCCGAGCAGGGCGTGCCCAAGTCGGGCGAGGGCTTCATCGACTTCATCGGTCAGGTGCACAAGACCAAGGAGCAGTTTGGCCAGGACGGGCCCATCACCGTGCACTGCAGGTGACCCTCGTCGGCAGTACCGCCACCGACTTTATCCGCTCGCCCGCCACTGACTCGCCTACCGACTTGCCCACCGACTCGCCCGCTCGCCCGCTCACACTTCAACACACCTGCTCTCCTGCACAACGAAGCCCATTCGGCCACCCTCGGTCACCCATTCTGTCACCCGCTCAGCCACACTCCACCAATCTCCACACAGCCCACAACGGCCACGCGTCAACTGCAATGCCCCCGTGTGCCCTTCCCTCCATAACTCCCTCCCTCTATTCCCACTTCCTCCATGCTCCCTCCCCCCTCCTCCTCCCCCTGATCCGCCACTCCCCCTTCCTCCCCTTGCTACTCCCTGCTCCCCACCAACCCCTGCTTCCCCCCCCCCCCCCCTGCAGTGCGGGCGTGGGCCGGACGGGCGTGTTCATCACGCTGAGCATCGTGCTGGAGCGCATGCGCTACGAGGGCGTGGTGGACGTGTTCCAGACGGTGAAGATGCTGCGCACGCAGAGGCCGGCAGCCGTCCAGACGGAGGTGACTCGCGCACAGAGACACGGAAACACAGAGGCGTACACGCAGAGACACCGAAGGCACACGACACAGAGACATGGATACACAGAACAACACACACATACAGACACGGAAACACACAGGCATCCACAGAGATACGGGAGACACGCACACATATGGAAACACAGAGACGCACACATAGAGACTTGAGAGACACACACAAAGACACGAAAACACAGATACATACAGACAGAGATACGAGAGACACACACACGCAAAGACACGGAAACAGACACACGCAAAGGCACGGAAACAGACACACAGAGACACGAGAAACACACACAGACACAGAAACACAGAGACACACACACACTTCCTGTGACCCTGTGAACTTACCCATGACTCAGTGACCTGTCTCACCTGTGCCCCTGTGACCGTGTTACCTCTCTCATGTGAGTCTGTCATTTGTCACCTGTGACCCCCATGACCTTTTCAGCAGTCACTTTGCACCTCTTACCTGTGGCCCTATAACCCTGTGGACCTCTTGACACTGCCACTCGTGACCCATTGATCTATCCAACTGTGACCCATCTCCTGTGACCCACCGACCTGTCACCTTTAACCCCGTGACGTGGAGGGACGGGCGCTGCCGTGCATCCCGGTTGAGCCCCCCAAAAAATGTTGCAGGCGTTGTTTAAGCGGACTCGGAGACGCGGGCCACGCTTGCACTAACTTGGCTTTGAGGAAGGGCCGTTGCCCGAACCGTCGTCCGTCACAATACTGTTCCGCTTTGGCATGGCGCGGTTGACGGACGAGTGCTGAGTCGTCGTCATCATTGTTGTTCGCCGTTTCAGGATCAGTACCAGCTCTGCTACCGCGCCGCACTCGAGTACCTGGGCAGCTTCGACCACTATGCAACATAAAGGCCGCGTCGCCACGGCGACCCCACTTACAAGCCTCCTGATTGGCCAAACGGTAAAACTTGAACCCGAGCCCTTCCTCCTCCTCGTCCTCCTCCTCGTTCTCATCCTCCTCGTCGTCGTCCAATCAAAAATTGAGGCCTCCGTTTCCGGCGCAGTGTGGACCTCGGATTTTCCTCGCCCCGGGCGGCGGGGGCGAGAAGACAGGCGGCGCTGGTGAGCACAGGCCGACTCTATCGAACCGCTCGCCCGCCCGCCCGCTCGCCCGCCCGCTCGCTCACCCGTCCACCCGCCTGACCACTCGCTCGCCCGCCACCAACTCTCACCCGTGCCCCCCCCCCCCCTCCCCGTCTGCTGAGAACTCTTGGCGATGTGCCCTTGTACAGAGCAGAAAGAGACGAAGCTATTTTGTACGAAAGAACGGAACACTGGGGGAAGAAGGGGAGGGGCGGATGGGGGGCGGTGGTGGGGGGTGAGGAGGGGGGCGGAGGAGGAGGAGAAGAACTGGCGTCATTAACGCTGCACTCGGTCTGGACTTCGGCACCAGTTTGGGGGGGGGGGGTGGCGGTGGGATTTAGAAGCGAATATTCTAAAGAACGAAAAATCGGAGTTGCAATTTTGTGGAAGCAACAAGAAGCAATGGCAGCAATGGCGGAACGAGAGTCGAGTCCCCGTGAACACAGCAGGACCACGCTTTCCTGTCGGCGAGCCGGGGAACCCCCCCTCCCCCCGCCACGAACGGTATGGTCCGAGAGCACCTTGCCAAGACCACCGCCCTCCACACCCTCCTGCCCCCCCCCCACTCCACTAAACCCCCCAACCCATTGAGCCGCCCCCCAATCTCCCGGCACCCGATTGGATGCAGCGATTCTTCGCGCTGCCAAGTCTGGAAATGGAAATCAACGGGCGACCGCTAAACGATTGAAATTATTTTCTCCTTCTTTCCTTTTTTTAATGTACATTATTATTATAACCAGCCTGTGCTTTTTATTATTGAGAGAGATAAGTAACACGAAAAATGTAAATTTTTAAAGAGGGAAACTCTGTAAGTACACTTTTCCGCGTAGCATCGCCGGAGTGATGAGTTGGAGGTGGAGGGTTTGTGCGTGGTATGTATGGGGTGGGGGAAAGAGGTGGGTAAGGGGGGGAAGGTGGGGGGGGGGGGGCAGGGTTGGTTCGTTAAGTCCCTGTGCCTGTGCGTGCGTTCACTAGGGAATAGAATTCCCCGCAGTGTGGGGCGGGGGTGATTTGGTCTCGGGAGGGGGGGGAGAGGGGTTGGGGTGGGTTAGGGGGGGGGGTCATTCCTGGATGCACATTTTTTCCCGTGCAATTCATCGTAGCTGCCTCTTGTCGAGAGACGGACGCGCGACTCCCGCGCTCTACCCGACCGGTGCATCCGCCGCCGCCACCACCACCACGCTGCGCTGAACACTCAACGACAACACACAAGCGGTCCCTTTTTTTTATCGTTTTATTTTTGTCATTTTGTTACGGTAATTAAGGTGCCCCCCCCCTCCCCCTTACCTTTTAATCATGCAATTATGATCGACGCCGCCATCGTTAATTTTTTTTTTTATCGTTAAACGTCGTCGTTGTCGTCGTTATCGTTTCTCCATTCGTACGGGGGACTCGGGTTAAGGAATTGGGTGTACAGTGACTCGGGGCCCACGTGGGTTCACTCTGCAAAGGTTCGTCGTGGCCGTGGGGAGGTGGGGAGGAGGCCCTCGCGAGTTGCGGGCCACTGCGTCGCGTTGCGGGGCCTCGTACGACCCGGTGGGAGGAGGACGGGCCCTGTGCGTGCGAACCAAACACACCGCAACACCGAGTCACCTTCCCGGCGTGAGGCCAGGCCACTCCATCCTCCCGATAACCACGCCGCCGTCGTTTCTTGGTGCCGGCGGGAGGGGGTGCTACGGTCCCGACAAATCTTCTCGACCTCACGCGGCACCCGCACCGCAACCACCGCCAACCATCGCCACCACCGTCAATCCCCCGGTCACACCATCACCACGAGCCGCGCCGACGTCCGGAGTGGTCTCGCGCCAGGCCCGTGTAAGCCCTGCGTGTGTATAATCGCGTGCAACAACAAACAAAATTAAGTTTGTATTTTTATTTCATATCTCTCTCGCTCCCTTTATTTTTGTACTCGAAATGCTTCGCGCTGAGATTTCGTTCGCGGCAATATTAGCGGGCTACGCTTCTTACTTTTGGAGATTTCCGCGGTCGTATTGGCCTTGCCGCCGGTGGGCCGATGACCCCGATCGGTGGTCCTGCGGTTGCCGGGAGGAGTTTTTGACGTCGCGAGCCACAGCCGGGGGGGTCGCCACCCGCAGCCGGGGGGTCACCCCCCACATCCGGGGGGGTCGCCCGTCGCGTGACCCAGAGAGGTCACCTCGCAGCCCTGGAGCGTGGCCTTGTGGGGGGGGGTGGGGTTGGGGGGGGATGTTTGGGGGGGGGAACATTAACAAACTCAGGGGTGGTGCACAACACGGTCGGAGTGACACAAGCCTGACACACACGTTGAAGTGCTGAACAGAGTGAGTCAATCAAACAACACCCGGCTGTCGCCCCCCTCATGTGTTCTGTATGAAGCTCTGGAACTTATTAACAATTTATATGTTGGGGAGTGTAGTGCTGTGTCCCCTCCAGCCCCCTCCATACCCCCATGCTACAGGGCTGTGGTCTAGGGAAGCAACCCTCGGGGCCCATAGGCCATGCCTTGGGGGATGGAGGGGGGGGGCTTGGCATGTGCCCACTGGGCTTTTATCGCCGAGGCTAATGGGATTGAAGAGGTCAGGGTGATGATGCGAACAGAGGGCACCAGTTCAGTCTCCCGGGGCGGCAGTTGATACCATGGCCCAAGTTTCTTAATTACCCCCCCCCCCCCTCTGTCTCACCGCCACCTCCTCTATCCTCCCATAAGTTGTAGATATAGATGCAACCACAGTTATTCGATCAGCAGGTCGCGTATGGTGGGGTAAAGTGTGGGTACTCCCACCTCGTCTTTAAAGACGGTTTGGCCATCGCGGAAGAGGAGGCCAAACACACTCTCTCGTTGGGGGGGGGGGGGTGGGGGTGCTGTCTTGAGCTCCCTCTCTAGTGGAGGCCTCTTCCGCCAGCCAGTCGCATGAGCAAGGCAAATCGCAGGGCTCCGCCTTCACCTTCTACCTGTGTGTGCGTGTTTTTGTCCGGAGTTTGCGAGCGCCACTCGCTCGCTCCGTGTATTAACCACTCGTGCCAAAAGAACAGGAACTCGTCTTGCGTGCGTGCGTGCGCGCGCTCGCTGCGCCTCGAGGAATCGAGACACAACGCAGAGCTGGGACCCGCCATCCGTTCCACTGCAGGCCCAAACACCCCCCGGCGGGTTTCTCCGTTGGCGCTTGGTCTGTTGGCAACGACTGCAATAATAAAAAAAACCCACAACAGTACACCGGCACTAGATCTTGGTACACACAACAAGCCGATGCCAAGTTTTTGGACTCTTAGGGTGGAACCTGGACCAGGTGACGACCCCACGCAGAGCGGGTCGCGATGTTAACTCGTTTGTCAAGTCGGGTTTAGGCCTACTCACTGACCCCTGACCCTAGCCGACCAGACAACCAGCCGTGAGCAGCAAGCCCCACTCCTGACCGGAGCTCCACCCTAACTCTACATTCATCAATTCGCCTGACGTCGCCGTTTCACCGTCGCTCCGTTGTCACGTCCGGCGTCCAGAGAACCCACAGCTCCAGCAGCGGCGCTGAGTTCCTCGCTCAGGGGTGGTGGGCAGGCAGAGCCCCTGCCAGGGTACCCCCCCCCACCACCCCCCGCCCACCGAGCCAGGACTCATTCAAAGTAGTTTTCTACGGAAAATCGATGTTCAGGGTCTCAAAGTGGAGGGGAGGGGATGGGGGTGACAATGCCCCCATCCCCTCCCCCCCTACACCCCCCATACCCACCCCCTTGTTGGTTCCACCGTTGAATCTCAGAGGCCGTGCCGCAGTTATGGTGGCGGCGGTGGCTGGCCCGGCTGCGTGGTGTTGGCCGCGAATCGGGTTGACCCCCCGAGCGATAACCGCCCCACCCCCCCCCCCCCCCAGTCCGTGCAGCCGCGGTGGAGATGTAGGTGCCAAACCGGCGGTGATCCGGTACAGCGCGGACGTTCGGCTGGCGCAGGTACCAAGCCGCTCTCGGGCTGCGACGCAGCGGGTTCCGGAAGGGGGAAAACGTCGCTCGATCGCGTGGGTTTTTCGCGGTCGCGCCACGCGCGCGTTTATCGGCGAGGGGGCGGTGGGGGGGGGTCCGGTTTTGGGAGAGGGTCATGCTGCCCAACCGACGTTTCGGTCCCCGCCCCCCTGGGAGCTTCTTCGGAGCCCCCGGCTAATTCTGCGCGAAGATACCGCCGGGGCACCAGCAACCCCTGCGGTTGAGACGTGCCCATCGTCTGCTGGGTGAAAATTCAGGGTTCTGACCTTTCTGACCTGGGCCCAGTGGCCTGTGTGTCAGATGAAGTGGGGGGTGGCAGGGGTCGGGGGCTTTGGATTTGTCCAGCGGGGGCGGGCAGGGGATACGTACGGGGTTGGGGGTTTGGTCTGCGAGGGGGTAGACCGTGGGGGTCGCGGTGGGGACTGCGGGGATGGATGTCTGCCGCACGGGTCATTCCCTCTTCGTACCCCTGCCACCGGCAAGGCCTCTGACGCCGTCTGACTCCTCGCCTCCGTCGCTGCGTGCCATGCGTCCGATCATGATTATAACGATTATTATTATAATGATTCAGTTTTTTGTATAAGGGACGAATCGTTTTTTGTTTCTGGTATCAATATCGGTTCCGTTTATATTCACGACGAGTACCTCTTAGACAGGTATATTTTACCCTGATCATCTCTCTATTTTTTTTATTTTAGATTTGCGCTATCCCTCTCTCTCTCGCGTACAAGTGTTTATTTGTTAGCCAAATATTCTAATAAAGCCCGAGGTGTTAACATCTCCCCACCGGCTCCCGTCTGCCTCTTCGTCCCTGTGCATGGCAAACGCGCCACGCACCGGCACTGTGTCAGGTGTGTGCGGTGTCACTGTGTGAGGTGTCACTGTGTGAGGTGTCACTGTGTGAGGTGTCACTGTGTGAGGTGTCACTGTGTCAGGTGTGTGAGGTGTCACTGTGTGAGGTGTGTGCGGTGTCACTGTGTGAGGTGTCACTGTGTGCGGTGTCACTGTGTGAGGTGTCACTGTGTGAGGTGTCACTGTTTGAGGTGAGGTGTCACTGTGTGAGGTGTCACTGTGTGAGGTGTCACTATGTGAGGTGTCACTGTGTGAGGTGTCACTGTGTGAGGTGTCACTGTGTGAGGTGTCACTGTTGAGGTGTGTGAGGTGTCACTGTGTGAGGTGTGTGAGGTGTCACTGTGTGAGGTGTCACTGTGTGAGGTGTCACTGTGTGAGGTGTGTGAGGTGTCACTGTGTGAGGTGTCACTGTGTGAGGTATGTGAGGTGTCACTCTGTGAGGTGTCACTGTGTGAGGTGTGTGAGGTGTCACTGTGTGCGGTGTCACTGTGTGAGGTGTCACTGTGTGAGGTGTCACTGTGTGAGGTGTCACTGTGTGAGGTGTCACTGTGTGAGGTGTGTGAGGTGTGTGAGGTGTCACTGTGTGAGGTGTGTGAGGTGTCACTCTGTGAGGTGTGTGAGGTGTCACTCTGTGAGATGTGTGAGGTGTCACTGTGTGAGGTGTCACTGTGTGAGGTGTCACTGTGTGAGGTGTCACTGTGTGAGGTGTCACTGTGTGAGGTGTATGAGGTGTCACTCTGTGAGATGTGTGAGGTATCACTGTGTGAGGTGTGTGAGGTGTCACTCTGTGAGATGTGTGAGGTGTCACTGTGTGAGGTGTCACTGTGTGAGGTGTCACTGTGTGAGGTGTATGAGGTGTCACTCTGTGAGATGTGTGAGGTATCACTGTGTGAGGTGTGTGAGGTGTCACTGTGTGAGGTGTCACTGTGTGAGGTGTGTGAGGTGTGTGAGGTGTCACTGTGTGAGGTGTGTGAGGTGTGTGAGGTGTCACTGTGTGTGGTGTGTGAGGTGTCACTGTGTGAGGTGTCACTGTGTGAGGTGTCACTGTGTGAGGTGTGGCGGTGTCACTGTGTGAGGTGTGTGAGGTGTCACTGTGTGAGGTGTCACTCTGTGAGGTGTCACTGTGTGAGGTGTCACTGTGTGAGGTGTGTGAGGTGTGTGAGGTGTCACTGTGTGAAGTGTGTGAGGTGTCACTGTGTGAGGTGTGTGAGGTGTCACTGTGTCAGGTGTGTGAGGTGTCACTGTGTGAGGTGTGTGAGGTGTCACTGTGTGAGGTGTCACTGTGTGAGGTGTCACTGTGTCAGGTGGGTGAACACATCACAGCTGAGAATCGGTAACAGGTGAGGTCACAGCACAGATATCTGGTCCCGTGACTGGTGAGGCATTGACTCACAGGAGCACAACGAGGGTGAGTCTTTGCAGGTGAAGTCACAATACCTGACACCTGCACAGGTGACTTGACCTTACCTGACCGGTACCTGCCTCACGAGTTCAACTAAAATCTCAAGAACATGTGCTCCGTTGATTTTTTTTTACGTGAAAATAAGTTGAGAAATTACTCCGCGAGCCCATCAAGAGACTCGACACCATTGGTTGTTGTCGGTTTAACGAATCCTGAATTTTCGGAATTGTTGGGTTTTGTAGCGGTGGTGCAGTGGTTAGCGCACCGTGGAACTGTTTCACAAAGTCGGCACACCTGCAGCCATCTGCCAAGGACTCATCCATCCAGAGCGGCGTTCTTCACGAATTTTCAGAGTTGGAATGGGGGGGGGGGCATTTTCGCCGATAAGACATCATCAGTGTGAGGGCCGCCACACATTTGAAACCATTGGGGGAGGCTTGACAGCAGCACGATGATGATGATGATGGGGGTTGTCATCACCATTTGTTCATTGTCGGTGGGCGGCAGATCGCTCGAGGCCACCGGGTCACCGCCAGTGTCCCCCTGACCCAGAGAAACGGCCACGCAGCCTTGCACCACCCGTGACCCACCTGTAAAATGATGATCATGTCGAGTCTCACGTGTCGGCGTTTAACAAAAATCAAGAAGTGGCAGTAGCCAGGGGCGGTTTTTCCGACGATACCGACAATTGCCCGAGTTTTGGGGGTCCTGGACATACTCGGATGTCAGTCGGTTTCACGAGCGTCCGTACTCGTGGGGAGGAAGCCGGAGCAACCGGAGAAAACGCACGCGGTGCGAACGAGAGGGGGGCAACACTCACACACACACACACACGCACGCGCGCGCGTGCAGGTGGTACAGATGAAGATGAGCCCGCACCTTGCTGGACCGCCGACTCGTGGTGAGCCAGGACAACATGTGTGGCTCTCCTCCTCGACGCCCACGGGGGAGGGAGTTTCACACGACATACATTCCGTGATCCACTAACCCTCGCCTGGCTTACAGGCGCGCGCGCTCCCATCCGCTCGGCTCGAACCCCAACCCCCGCCTGCCCCCCTCCCCGGGTTTTTATTTTGTATTTTATGATGGATCGACTGAGCGGAATGTTATACAATTCATCTCGATGATCGATGCACACTGAGCATATATTGGCACATCTCTGATCGGTGATATTGTCGGGTGTACGATTTTATCGCTATATAGGGGCTCCTCTACTTACGAACGAGTTAGATTCCAGAGGTATGTTCGTAAGTCGAATTGTTCGTAAGTCCAACTTTACTCCGGTCGATTCCAAACACGTTGTACGGCATGTACACTAAACACGTGGAATGGCTTTAAAAGTTGTATAATAATGTAGATGTTCTGCAGATGTAGATGCGACCACCGCCACCTATTGCACGGCAGCTAACTTACGAGTCTCGGGTCCGAACGGCAAACTGGACATACGGACCAGGTTTGTTCGTATCTCTGGAAGTTCGTAAGTCGAATGTTCGTACGTAGAGGAGTCCCTGGATTAAAGCTCACCTGCCCCCCCCCCCCCCCACGCCTCACGCTTCATGCCATCACGCGCCGCCGCACACAGACCGCTTTGTGATCCATCATCGCTCGCCGTGATTTGATTGCGACCGCCTCTATGCTGGCATCGTGAAATACAATCTAAACCTAAATAAATATATAATCGGATATACTTGAAATAGTTTACTGTTTTTGTGTGTGTGTGTACAGACAGGGTCATTGTGTGTGTGTGTGCGTGTCTCTTGTGTTTCTATAAACACGACAATGTGTGTCGTACCACCCGTCTCATTAGAAAAACTGAAGTTAGCAGTGCCATTGAGCGCCACCCTCCCCCCTCCTTGCTGCTCGTGGGTTCGTCTCCGGGTCGTCGTGCCCAACGTCCTTGCCGGCGGCGACGTCGCGCTCCGCGTGGTGGCCACCAGCGCGCAGTGGAGCTGTACACGTGGCACACGCGATGTGTGTGGGGGCGAGGTAGTAGATGCGTTCCAAAGGAACGGGCGCAGCGCGAAGCGAAATCGCACGCCTAAGACAGAGCCGCCGAGTAAAGGGCCGTCCATAAATGACGTCACGCACCTGGGGTGGGGAGGTCAGACATTTGTGACGATGTGTGAAGAGGGGGGGGGGGGGGGTTGAGAAATGTGACGTCACGTAAAAATACGCACCTTTAGATAAATATAGAATTGTTATAACAACACTCCTACAACATCAGAGTGCAGCGCCACATTAAACACACGCTACAATGACAATAGTCTAAAGCGATTTGAAGCATATTTTATTTTCAAAATGGAAATGAGGTTGAGGGGGGGTAGTCTGACTTTTTGTGACGCCGTGTGACGCGGGTTGGGGGGGGTAAAAAATCGTTCAAAATCGCGTGACGTCATTATGGACGGCCCCTTAAACTTGGACGTGCGATTTGCACATACTTGCCGTACGCCAGAGAGAGAGATCATCACCTGCACCGCTTGGCATCAGGTCTTCCCCTACGTTCGTCTGCCCGTCTTTCAAAGGCGTTGCTTTGAATTGAAGTTAACTTAAAATTCGATAGGATGGATACAAATGTAAAGAGGAGATTTGAGCTGGTTAAGAAGGATCTTTATTTCCAAGACGGACTCACACCACGCGCACGTCGTCTGGGCTTTGATTGCTGAACGGCGTGCGGCGAATTTGTTTGGTGGGGTGGGGGGAGGGTAGGCGGTAGGGTTGTTGGTTCGACGCGACATCGCACAAACGGATCACGGCCACGAAGCGAGGTGAAAGCTGCGCTTTACTCTCCCTGGCGCCGTGTGTGCTCCCCTCCCTGCCCAGCACCACCTCCCTCCATCCCCACAGGCCTCTCGCCACGCCGGCATTCGGGAAAATTCGTCAAAACCCACGCTGACCAGCGCGGTGAAGTATGGTCGAAATGTACCACCACCACCACCCGCACAGGTACGGGGAGGGTAGAGGGGCCTCATTCAGCAGTGGACTGACAAAACAGGACCTCATCAATCGATACGAACGACACCATAACAGCGGTCATTCACAACCATTTAGTCATTGACAACAATTTGCCAGCCAGTGCACTGCTCTCTGCACGCTGCGTCGGCTATGCATGTACTGGATGTTGAACTCCTTTCGCACCGTGCTAATCGGAGGTGCGGTGGAGGAACGACAACAAACTAAACACAAAAAGCAGTTCTAAAGAAATTAGTTTTCAATGCATATCATGGGGGTGTGTGTGGTGGTATTTTGACCATACCTCCCCGCGCTCGTCAATTACGACCGCTGGGCGTTGGGGGGGCTGACCGGGAGAGGTTCCGATTTTGTTTTGATTGCCTGTGGCGCCACAGGTGAAAGCCCATCGGACAATGAATGCCCCCATTTCCAATTGGGGGACCCCGGTTACCCCTCAGAAACCCCGGGGTTACAGAGGGACGCGTGAGCAAGTTCAAAAGACGGTGTTGCGTGCACACAGCTTCCGAGAGGCAGGGTCGTGCATCAAGTTTGGTGAAGGCAGCACCGGGGATTAAAGTGTGCGAGGCTGGGTAGAACCCTACGGAGCCCTACGCGCGTTGAACTTTTTTCGCGCCGTACGCAGCCGACCGCGCGAGTCGGAGGTGCGCCTCTCGTCCGCGAGGCATTGGGTGGCCCCGGTCGGTGAGATTGTTCCGCGACAATAAACAAGCCCGCGTTGATAACCCAAGGGGTCTCGCCGAGCGGAGCGATCAATGGGCGCGTGCGAGGAAAATCTGAGGTCCAAGGGTGAGTCACGGGAGGACGACAGTGGTGATTTGGTGGTGGTCCGAAACGTTGTCCCTCGCGAGATTGGGAGCCGCCACACGGAACATATGTATGTGTATGTATGTGTGTATATATATTCTGTCCGTCTGCTACAGCAGAGATGTAGGGAATTCCAGCAAGACCTACAGCTCTGCTTTATTGACCTGGTCAAGGCCTATGATACCATCAGTAGGCCTGGGTTCTGGGTTGTTCTTCGTGCTTTTGGAGTCCCTGACCCTCTGCTCACGATCATTAAGGACCTTCATGATGGTGAGCGGGCCCGGGTAAAACTACGTGGCCAGGAGTCAGAGCCATTCCCTGTACACCTTGGGGTGCGACAGGGATGTCCTCTGGCTCCCACATTATTTAACATCTATTTTGGCCACGTAGTTCGTGAAGCCTTCAATAGCTGTACCGGGGGAATCTCCATATGGTACAGATATAATGGGAGGCTGATCGATGCCCAGGTGCGGTCAAGGGATGGCTCCCTATTGCTCAACCACGTTATGTATGCTGATGATTTGGTAATAGCTGCTCATTCAGAGGAGGAGTTGGCGACGCTGCTGCTGAGACTGGAGCGTGCCACTAAGAGATGGGGCCTTACCATCAGCCCCACCAAAACTAAGCACCTGCCTGGGGATTTTGTACCATCGGACACTCCACACCTACAACTCCCAATCGGTGATGGGGCAGTTGTGGAGAGAGTGGAGAGTTTCCCATACCTGGGCAGTGTGCCTATGGCCGGCTCCAATTTAACAGCAGAGGTCTCACTCCGAATCAGTCGAACAGCAATATATTTTCATCGGTTGCGTAACGCTGTGTGGAAGCTACCTGGTCTGTCGCTCCGCACTAAGCTTCAGGTCTTCTCGGCCACGGTCATTCCCTCCCTTCTCTACGCTTGCGAAACGTGGACCCCCCTAATGGAACATCTTCGCCGATTAGAAACATTTAGGCTGGCCTGCCTACGATCCATCCTGGGTTTAACCAGACTGGATTGTGTGAGGAGCTCACACATCCTTGAAAGATCTCGGCAAGATCCCATCGGTGAGCTCCTCCGGCAGGCAAGGCTGCGTTGGCTGGGTCATGTAGCCCGCATGCCCAGCCACCGCATGCCGAAACAGCTTTTGTTCGGCCGGATCGAGGGGGCTAAACGGGCGCGGCACGGGCTAGAGAAGAGATGGAGTGATGTGGTACAGGAAGACGTGGAGCTGAGTGGACTTGCCGATGACTGGTACCAGCCGTGTCAAGATCGGCCTCTGTGGAGGAGGCTCGTGAAGGACGCTACTGGGCAGTTGGAGGCAGTCGCCCTCCAACAACAACGGAGGGCGGAGGAGCGACGCTCACAACAACGAGCGGAGCACCGAGTGACTAGGGCACAGCAGGTTGGCACAGTAGGGGGCACAGGTGGTGCATCAGCCAGTCATCTCAGTCAGTCGACCCGTGGCACCTGGGTCTGCCCCGTAACCTCCTGCCAGCGGGCGTTCGACACTCCACGTGGCCTCAAGGTGCACATGGCCTGGTACAAGCGTCGTGGTGACGTCACCGCCACTTAGTGGCGAATGGCGGTTGTTGTTGTTATATGTGGAACTTCTTTCGCACGTTACGTAGCCAACCGTTGCTAATCGGAGGTGCGGGACAAGGACATCAAACTATGGGTCTCTGTATGAGTCTATGGGTCTCTGTGCGAGTCTACGGGTCTCTGTGTGAGTCTGTGAGTCTCTGTGTGAGTTTATGGGTCTCTGTGTGAGTCTGTGGGTCTCTGTGTGAGTCTATGGGTCTCTGTGTGTATGTGGGTCTCTGTGTGAGTCTGTAGGTCTCTGTGGGAGTCTATGGGTCTCTGTGTGAGTCTATGGGTCTCTGTGTGAGTCTATGGGTCTCTTTGTGAGCCTATATATCTCTGTGTGAGTCTGTAGGTCTCTGTGGGAGTCTATGGGTCTCTGTGTGAGTCTATGGGTCTCTGTGTGAGTCTACGACTACCTCATCAGTGATCGTAATAAACAATAGAATGTATCCAAGGAATGTTTCGCCGAGTCTCAAGGCTCGTAATTCAGGGGGGTCCTGCTGCCCGCGGATGTTTTTTTTTGGAGGCAGTACCAGAAAACAGATTTTTGGCTTCGCGATCGGAAGAGGAAACTGTCCCCCCGCAACACGAGGGCAGCGGACTCCCAAATGAATGCTCCGCACAAATAGATTCAATAATCCATTGCTCTACGTGGCATATCCTGGTCGTCACTTTGCCGAATCGTATCCCAGCCATACAAGTACAAGTACGCAACTAGCCAGGCTCAACCCCGCTTAGCTTGCAAGGTCTAACCAGGTGACACGCGCTGCCACGTGAAGCGAGAGAGAGAGAGAGACGTGAACCTGACAACCGAGACTCTCCCTCCAGGCAGAGTCGGCTGGGACCGGCGCTGTGAAGTATGGTCAAATGAGGCACAGCGGAGGTCACTGTCTGGCTGAATGCCATTCCAAACGGTCCTTACGCAGAATCACGAGGACTGGCCATCATCCTGCGTTAGTCGTGACCACCACGAGGCCCTGTTGAGGTGGGGTGGGGAGGGGGTGCGAGGAGAGGGAGGGGGGCTGAGGATTTTAATCCTCATCATGCGCTCTCTCCGAGTGATCACGGGACACGTCTGCTTCTTAAAGGGACCACGCACACGCCTGCCGGCCTTTGTCTCTCTCTCTCTCGCTCTCTCTCCCTTACTCTCTCTCATCTTGAGAGAGTGCACTCAACCCTCAGCGCTCGCTCGCTCTCTTCGCATTTCCTCCTCCTCTCTCCTCGCATCAGCAGAGTCCCATCCACCAAAGTCTGAGTCCCATCCAACGTCTGCGTCCCATCCCACGCCCGAGTCCCATCCCACGCCCGAGTCCCTCGTCCTCTGCCCCATTGCGCCGCGCGCTCTTTACAACCAAAAAAAAGTCGCTCCGTCGATACGCGCGTCCCGCCGCTCAATAAAGGGCATCTGGGGTGGACTAAAAGGGCCACTGACGAGTGCCGCGCGGTCTGTGTTGAGTTGTCATGACGCCGCCTCGCCCTCACCCGGAGCCTCCTCGCCTGCTGCTACCGTCGCCGCTGCTCCTGCTGCTACTGCTGCTGCTGCCGATCTCCAGTCGCGCGCAGTTCCCCAGAGTTTGCGCCACCGTGGAGGCGCTCAACTCCGGTGATTGCTGCCCGCCGATGCCAGGGGCAGGGACCGGGGACCGATGCGGAGACACCGATGGTCGAGGTTCCTGTCAGGTACCCCCCCCACTACCCCCCCCCACTACCCCCCCCCCCACTACCCCCCCCCCCCACTACCCCCCACACGCCCCCTCTCCCACCACCTTCTCCGTCCTCTCGTCGTATATTTATACGGCGCTTTTTATCCGAGGCGCTTTACAGGGGTTGTGAGTGGCACAATGAGAGTAGCTAAAGGCGATGCGGTGAATAGGGGATTGGGTATGGGAGGTTTAGTGGGTGCGGGAATTACGGCGGGTGCCTAAGGATGGGTGGGGGGGGCTGATGGGCCCAGGGAGAAGATGTTGAAGGTCTTGAAGGAGGAGCGGAAACTCTTCCCGCTTCATGCGGAGGGGAAGTTTGTTCGAGTGCAAGAAGGGGACAACAAGTTGGGAGAAGGAGCGGAAACGGGGCTTGTGCACAAGGTGAGAGGGGGCGGTGAGAAGTAGAGCGGGGGGGGGGGGAGAGAGATTGAGAGCGGAGCGGGCGGGATTGGACGTCAATCGAGAGCAGGGGATGCGAGTTGCGGTGGGGCCAGGCAGCGGACAGATGTCTCAACCAGCGTAAGGAGCTTGAACAGAGGCCGCGAGTGTATGGGGAGCACGGTGCATTTCCATGCGAGGTGCTTGAGCGACGTGGGAGTTTGTAAACGAATCGTGCAGACGCACTGTGGAACTGTTGGAGTAGAATGAATGCTATGGGCTGGGAGACCGAGTAAAGCTAGAGTTGCAGTAGGCTCACCGAGTGAAAGATGAGCGAGTGGATTTGTAGTTTGGCGGTGGACTGAGTGATGAGAAGGGCGCATGTTGCGAATGTTTTGCAAGGTGGAATCGACGGGTGCGGGTGATGGCGGAGGTGTGAGAGCCGAGGGGTGAGGGGGGAGTCGCAGTGGAGAATCGAGGTTGCTGGCAGAGGGCACAGGGGGTTAGTGAGAAGGGTGTGGGGGTGATGGTGTGGGTGGGTGAAGGGAGAAAGAGTACCGGGGCGAAGGAGAAGGTTGGGTTGTGGAGGGGTTGATGGCGAGGAAGTGGAGCGACATCAAAGACTGAAGGACGGCTGGGCAGACTGAGATGCAAGAAGAGCGGTCCGGAGTGAACGTGGACAAAGTGAGTCCAGGGTCCACGGGGAGACGGTGATGAATGGCGATGATGCTGATCGATGCTGGTGGTGGTGGTTGATAATGATGATTGATGTTGGTGGTGGTAGTTTGATGATGATGATGATGGGAGAAAATGTATCGATCTTTTCAAACAGATTCCATTATCCTCGTTAATTTGTGTGTAGCAACGAAGTGATTAGCGGGCTGCACTATTAACCCGGCGAACCAATGTTCGATTCCCGGCCATGGTTAACATCAGTGACGAGTGATATCAGAACCAGGTGCGGGGGAAGGACAACAAACTACGGGTCTCTGTGTGAGTCTATGGGTCTCTGTGGGTATCTATAGGTCTCTGTGTGAGTCTATGGGTCTCTGTGGGTGTCTATAGGTCTCTGTCTAAGTCTATGGGTCTCTGTGTGAGTCTATAGGTCTCTGTGTGAGGCTATGGGTCTCTGTCTAAGTCTATGGGTCTCTGTGTGAGTCTATGGGTCTCTGTGTGAGTCTGTGTGTTTCTGTGTGAATCTGTGGGTCTCTGTGTGAGTCTATGGGTCTCTGTGTGAGTCTGTGTGTTTCTGTGTGAATCTGTGGGACCCTGTGTGAGTCTATGAGTCTCTGTGTGAGTCTATGGGTCTCTGTGTGAGTCTATGGGTCTCCGTGTGTATATTGAACATCTTTCGCACCGTACGTAGCCAACCGTTGCTAATCGGAGGTGCGGGGGAAGGACAACAAACTAAAGACAAACAGGCCGTCCCAAAGAAATGAGTTTTCAATCTTGATTTAAAAATCCAGATTGATCGTGGCTGCGTTCACGACAGCGTGTGTGCTCGGCTGTGATTATGGTCGCTGTGTTTATGGCCGTGCGAGCTCGGCGGTTCGATAGCCCATCGTGTTTCCAATCATCTCATTCCATCCCCAAATGGTAGGGCATTCCCCAACAGGCCGTGTCCATGCGTGTGTTGCCGTGCTTTGGCGTCTTAACTGCGCTGCTCTCTGTGGCTCGTTGTGCCTTTTGACGGCTCGTTTACGGCTCGTCGAGGCTCGCTGAGGCTCGCTGTGGCTCGTTACGGCTCTCGTCAAGGCTCGCTGAGGCTCGCTGTGGCTCGCTATGGCTTGTTACGGCTCGTTACGGCTCGTCGAGGCTCGCTGTGGCTCTTCGTGGCTTGTGCGTAAACGCGTCTTGCGGCGCTCTTTTTTGTGATCGCACCGTGGGTTTTCGCGGTTGCTCTGTGCATCTCTCCGATGCGTGACCAGGGCAGTGCCGAGTGTCGGTCGGCAAACCAGCCCGACGTTTCGCAACCACGCGACGAGATGCCATCGGTACGATGAATCTGCGGGGTACCAAGTATGCAGGCGATGCGGGGGCTTTTTCATGGCTAGGACTCTGGCTGGAGGCGTGTGCGGCTTTACTGGTGGTCTTAGGCACTGAGGGTGGACCCAGGGATCGCCAAGAACCGGGGCCTTGGTCACTGCCGGGCGTCATCGTTTCCCCGTGGTAGCCCCCGACGTCTGGAACGCGGCCATCATCTTCGTGGTCGTGCCGCTGCTGCTGCTGCTGCTGCTCCTGTTGCACATTCGCAGCAGCAGCAGCGTTCACTCTACACGGATCTTTGCAAGAGACACTTAAATGCCCAATCTCTTTCTTGAAGGGCTCTTTCTGCAGGCTTTCGAGTGACGCAGAGCCTCGGCTCCGCGCTCCAAGACTCACGGCCATGTGTCTGTGAAATATCGTGCGCGGTATAAATCACCTTGTGACAATAATAATCATCCATCCATCCATCATAATTATCGTCGTCTTCATTGGCTTTGTTCATCAGCCCGTCGTGGTGGAAGACCTCCCGCACGGCCCCCAATTCTCGCTCGACGGCCGCGACGACCGCGAGCGATGGCCCCTGCGCTTCTTCAACCGCTCATGCGCCTGCGCGGGCTCCTTCTGGGGCCCCGCGTGCTCGCGCTGCCGCTGGGGCTGGACGGGCGCGCGCTGCGAGCTTCGGAGCCCTCCGGTGGCGCGCCGCGACATCGCGACGCTCACGGGGGCCGAGCGGGAGCGGCTCGTCGCGACGCTCGACCTCGCCAAGCGCACGCCGCACCCGGAGATCGTGATCGCCACGCGGACACGGGATGAGATCCTCGGTGAGTGGGGGGGGGCGGAGGTGTGCGAGAGACGGCGTGGAGGACACAATGTCACCGTCATGTTGGTGATCTTTATTGTCGTGGTTGTCTGTATCTCACCGTGCACTGTGGCATGGTGTGCGTCTGTGGTGTGGCGCGCTATGGCGTGGTGTGTGTGTGGGGTGGCGCGCTATGGGATGGTGTGTGTGTGGTGTGCTATAGCATGGTTTGTGTGTGTGGCGCGCTAAGGCATGGTGTGTGTGGTGTGGCAAGGCATGGTGTGTGTGGCGCGCTGTGGAATGGTGTGCGTGGTGTGGCGCGCTAAGGCATGGTGTGTGTGTGGCACAGCAAGGCATGGTGTGTGTGTGTGTGTTGCGCGCTATGGCATGGTGTGTGTGTGGCGCGCTATGGCATAGTGTGTGTGGTGTGGCGCGCTAAGGCAAGGTGTGTGTGGTGTGGCGCGCTAAGGCATGGTGTGTGTGGTGTGGCGCGCTAAGGCATGGTGTGTGTGGTGTGGCGCGCTAAGGCTTGGTGTGTGTGTGGCGCTCTAAGGCGTGGTTTGTGTGTGGCACGGTAAGGCACGCAATGGCGTAGTGCGGAGTTACATGGTTTGGCGTGGCGTGGCACTATTGCTTGGTGTGGCATTATACAAGGCGTGGTGCAATAAAGTTTTAAAGCTTTCGTGACTGCATAAAATTGCTCATTGTTTTTTTCGGTAAAGTCACGTATGTAGAAATACAATAAAAAATATATATAATTTTATTGTATTTTTACATACGTGACTTTACCGAAAAAAACCAATGAGTATTTTTATGCAGTCACGAAAGCTTTAATAATTTATTATCACACTTCTACGGGGAAGTTACCGTTGTAATTATGTGTAAGATGTGCCCTTTTTTGAGCTGCCGTTTTGTATTACAAGAGGTGGTCATTTTTTGAGCTGCCGTTTTGTATTTACAAGAGGTGGTCCTTTTTTGAGCTGCCGTTTTGTATGTGTAAGGTGTGCGTGTTTGAGCTGCCGCTCTCGCTCTGCCCTCCCCCCCCTCCAACCGTATTTCCTATTTAAGCTTCTGTTCATCCCTCCGCCCCCCCGTCTCTCTCTCTCTCTCTGCCTCCCTGTCCGTCTTTCCTCCCTCCTTACTTCTTGGTGGACTTGTATATGTATTTCTACTGACCGTGTACCTCGTATTTTTCATTCTATCTATGCTGGTATGTGCAATACAAAGGTTGAACACAAAATTTAACACTCTTCTGAAATTCGTGGTCCGCCAGGAAGTGTCTAACTGTGTTGTTGGCCTGACTGGATGTCCTTCACATAATGTTTTTTCAGGTTTGATGAATTCTCGTCTCTCATCTTTTTGTTGTATTTACCTCCGTGATTTGTTCTTGACACCTGATGAAGATCGCTTGCGTTGTGATCTAAACGTCGTGATTGTTTTTTGTTTTAATATAATTTCATTGTATTTCTACATACGTGACTTTACCGAAAAAACCAATGAGTAAGGCGTGGTGCAGTGTGGCATGGTGTGTATTGTCGCGCCGTGGCGGTGGTGTGGCGTGAACACGTGGTGTTGCGTGGCACTATTGCGTGGTATGGTCTGACACGTGGAGTGGTGGCGCTATGGCTTTGTGTGCGGCGTGAACACGTGGCTTTGCGCGACACGTGGCACGTGATGTGGTGCGTCACAATTGCGCGGTGTGGCGTGAACACGTGGCGTCGCGCGGCACGCGGCACGTGACGTGGCGTTGACACGCGGCCGTGGCTGTAACGCGCACCCCAGGCCCGGACGGGGCCACGCCGCAGGTGCAGAACGTGAGCGTCTACGACGCGTTCGTGTGGACCCACTACTACTCGGTGCGCCGCACCTACCTCGGCAACGGCACGAGCAGCGCCGAGGCGGACTTCTCGCACAAGGTCGGGGTCGCTCAGCACCGGCCCGTGGCCACTCTCCAACCCGAAAGAGCCCCACGCCTCGCGAGCCTTCCATTCCGACGTGCATCGCGAGCACCACGCGCAGAAACGATCAAGGATTAATATTATTAACGTGTTTAAGCAAACAGATAGCCTACCGCCGGACTACCTATGCGTACGCATATTGTCAGTATAGACCCCACCCCCATACGCAAGCGTACGCATTTGGGTTAATCCCCCTCACCTATCCCTCTTCCATGCATACGTACTAAATGGATGGCCCCTGATGAGTGCATGATTGAATGAGAGCGTGCGTAATTGAGTTTGTGAGTGAGAGCGCGAGCCAATTAGTGAGCGATTGAGTTGGAGCGCGCGCGAGTGATTGAGTTGGTCACTGAGCGAGTCAATGAGTAAGTTCGGGAGTGGTTGAGTTCGGGAGTGGTTGAGTTCGGGAGTGGGCGTGCGTGCGTGCGCTAGAGCGGGCGATTGAGTTCTGTGGCTAAGTAAGCGGATACGTTCGTGAATGACAGTGTGAGTGAATGCGTGCGTGAGTGAGTGAATGAGTGCGTGTGTAAGTGAGTGAATGTGTGCGTGAGTGAATGAGTGCGTGTATAAGTGAGTGAATGAGTGCATGAGTGAGTGAATAAGTGCATGCGTGAGTGAATTAGTGCGTGTGTAAGTGAGTGAATGTGTGCGTGAGTGAGTGAATAAGTGCGTGCGTGAGTTAATGTGTGCGTGCGTGAGTGAATGTGTGCGTGAGTGGGTAGGTTATCGAGTGATTCGGTGCGTACTTGATTGGTCAAGTGAGTTGGTGATTGAACAGCTGTATGCTCCGGTAGGTAATTGGGAAAATTAATGATTGAGTTAATGTGTCATCGTACACATCACACATATTAAGACGCATGCCTAGAAACATCTTGGCAGTTTAAGCGAGCCTGGCTGCTGCTACTGATGAAACACTAAATGTCCAAACCGGTTCAGAGTTGGAGCTTGCAATGAACCGACGATGCTGGAATAATAATGCACTCCTCAGAATGCCGTGAGCCTGATGGGATGTGTAATGTGTGCGCACAATTGCTGTCATTGTTTTACGTGGAGGGATATATCTGTGAAGGAATCGAAATGCGTTTGGTTGGTAAGAGCGTCCGTACCAATCACACTTCCCTCCGTTATCCACACAAAGACCCCCCCGTATAGTCCTAAAAGACTGTTGGGGCAAGTGCTGTTCGCGAGTAGCACCTATGAAGGCCGACACGGCACACGAGGGGGCGGGTGCTCGGCAACCACGCCCGACCGCCTTTGTCTCACCAGTGGCGATGTTTTTTTTTTGTTAAACACAACACCGGGTACTCATTTGAGGCTGAGTCTATCTAGGGGGAGGCCCAGAACCGCTTCAGATAATCGTCACCGGTGTTTGGCCGCGAGCGGGAAATCGAACTCGGGATCGCCGGGTTAATAAAAGCGCTACGGGTTAACCGCTGCACCACCGCTCCTCGTTGATCCACACACACGCCCACAGGGTCCCGGATTCCTCACGTGGCACCGCTACCACCTACTGGCACTGGAGCGCGACCTCCAGGAGCTGCTGGGGGACCCGGCCTTCGCCATCCCCTACTGGAACTTCGCGCGCGGCGGAGCGGAGTGCGACGCGTGCGACGACTCCCTGCTGGGCGCGCCGCACCCCCAGAACCCCTCGCTGCTCAGCCCCGCGTCGCCCTTCTCGCGGTGGCGCCTCCTGTGCAGCGACAACGTCTACTACGACACGACGGGCGCGCTGTGCAACGGTGAGGCCCCAATTCGCCCTCCCGCTCGCCCTCCCGCTCGCCCTCCCGCTCGCCCGCCCGATCGCCCTCCCGATCGCCCTCCCGATCGTCCTCTTGCCCGCTCGCCCGTGGCTCCTAGTCGTCCACCGTGATCTTGTGTGCAACGAAAAGTATTGCTCACTGGATGGATGGCTGGCTGGATAAGCTGGCTGGCTGGACGTGGAAGCGACGGGCGGGCGGTCGGACACGTCCGAAGTACGTGCGGGGTGCTGTATTAGAGACAGACGCATTGCAAGCTGGTTGGCTGGCTAGAGGCATGGACAGACGGACGTCCAAAGGACGTGAGAGCTGCTCGTAGTACTAACAATACTAATACTTGACTTAATCATAATAATGATCATTTACTTATTTATCCAGAAAATCCACGCTGAGCCTTCGGACTTTTTTCAGGAAGGTCTTGCATTTTTTTCTTTATTTTAATATTTTCCCAGCCAATTGATGATGAGTCGTGTTCATTGTACACTTGGGGGAGAGAACCGAAGCACCCGGAGACAACTCACGCCACGCTCGAGGTTCGCCACAACACCCTATCCCCCGTACAGATGGACACAGATGGAGATCAGTCAACTTCCTGTACCACCTTCACGTGGCGAGTCATTGGTACGGCTCCTCCTCGACGCCCACGGGAAGGGAGCTTCACAACATCTCTGTGCGATCCACCAATCTTCGCTGCGGCCTCGGCTGCGCTGGGTTACCTGCAGCAGCAATAGCAGCAACAACAACAGCAGCAGCAACAGCAGCAACAGCAACAGCAGCAACAGCAGCAGCAGCAACAGCAACAGCGTAGCCGACACCACCGCCCGACTCGCTCGCTCGCCCTCACACCTCTACCCCCCGCAGGCGAGGTCGATGCCACAGGTGTGCCGTCAAGGTCACACCTGCCAGGTGTGGGCTATGCTGCTGCACGTGACCTCTAGCCCCAGTGCTGTGGAGTGAGCGGGATGGGGGTTGGTGCATCGCCGCGCAACAATGATGCGGAACTCCCTATCCTGCCCCCCGTCGAGGGAGAGCTGTAGCCGGAGAAGGCGATACAGCAAACATGTAGACTCTGCCATCCGTTCCGCCGGTATGGGATAGAGCGTTTCCCCACTCGGGTTTTCTCCCGCTGCTCCGGTCTTCTCCCACACGTAAACACACGTGCATCAATTTGCCGATAACACCTTCATATATAGAGGACTGCAGAGCTCGCGGGGAAGTTTGGTACCAGCTCACTGGCTGCTTGCTGCTGCTGCTGCCTTCCCGCTCGTCTGTGATTCCTCCTCGTGCCGCTGAGCCGTTCTCTCCGTACGAGAGCGAGCCGACACTGCGGTGGCAGCGCGTTACAAAGTTTACATTATTGTCGCTTCACCTTCATTCAGCAGTAGATTGAGCATGGCTGATGCTGCTGCTGCTGTTGCTGCTGCTGAAATGATGATGACGATAACGGCAGCCCGTCACGATGAAGCACGCTCCCCCCACCCCACCCAACCCCCTCTCTACCCCCAAATCAAAGTGCTCATCTCAGCAGAAGCTGCGGATCTTCTACCCGCGGCTGATGTGACACAGATGTAATAACAACGACACGAACGACGACGGCCCCTAACGGCGCCGTGGCGTTATCTCTCCACCGCTCGCAGCCGGAGGCCGAGTGCCGTCCCGTAAACAAACGGATGCCAGAACACAAACAGCAATATCGACGGCTGATATGTTGTTCTTTCGCGTAGAACGAACGAACGATGATAGGTTGTGGTGTCCGCGTGAAAGGCCGAGGTCAAAGAGGTCATTGTTGGTCATTTCCGTCGAGGCTGCTGTGCACTCGCCATCGCCTCCTCCCTTCTGCCAGACCCCTGCAGCTGCGGTGATGTTGACCCCGTGACCTGAACGGACAACTCGTGCAGTGTTTGCCGGCGGCTCCTGCACCATCGCCTGGCATCAGGTCTTCTTCTCGTTGTCACACGGGACGGTCGACCCATCATTCAAGGACAACTCTTACAGTCATCATCATCATCACCACCACCACCACCACCACCGCCTGCCTTCAGTTCTCATCCTTGTTGTCACACGGGACGGTCGACCCATCATTCAAGGACAACTCTTACAGTCATAATCATCATCACCACCACCACCACCACCTGCCTTCAGTTCTCATCCTTGTTGTCACACGGGACGGTCGACCCATCATTCAAGGACAACTCTTACAGTCATCATCATCACCACCACCACCACCACCGCCTGCCTTCAGTTCTCATCCTTGTTGTCACACGGGACGGTCGACCCATCATTCAAGGACAACTCTTACAGTCATCATCATCATCACCACCACCACCGCCTGCCTTCAGTTCTCATCCTTGTTGTCACACGGGACGGTCGACCCATCATTCAAGGACTACTCTTACAGTCATCATCATCATCACCACCACCACCACCGCCTGCCTTCAGTTCTCATCCTTGTTGTCACACGGGACGGTCGACCCATCATTCAAGGACAACTCTTACAGTCATCATCATCATCACCACCACCACCACCGCCTGCCTTCAGTTCTCATCCTTGTTGTCACACGGGACGGTCGACCCATCATTCAAGGACAACTCTTACAGTCATCATCATCATCACCACCACCACCACCTGCCTTCAGTTCTCATCCTTGTTGTCACACGGGACGGTCGACCCATCATTCAAGGACAACTCTTACAGTCATCATCATCACCACCACCACCACCACCGCCTGCCTTCAGTTCTCATCCTTGTTGTCACACGGGACGGTCGACCCATCATTCAAGGACAACTCTTACAGTCATCATCACCACGACCACCACCTGCCTTCAGTTCTCATCCTTGTTGTCACACGGGACGGTCGACCCATCATTCAAGGACAACTCTTACAGTCATCATCATCACCACCACCACCACCACCGCCTGCCTTCAGTTCTCATCCTTGTTGTCACACGGGACGGTCGATCCATCATTCAAGGACAACTCTCGCAGTCAGCAAGACAACTATGGTGCTCCATCAACCGTTTGAGAACAGCAAAAGGTCGCTGCGAACACCCCCTCCTCCGCAAGTGGAGACGTAGCGACAGCCCACGGTGTGACCGCGGCCACCCGAACGATGGACCACGTTGCGAGCAACTGCACCCTAAGCTCGCTCTCCGGCGGACTACCGCGAGGGCTCACACACTTAGGGGCCGTCCATAAATGACGTCACGCACCTAGGGGGGGGTCAGACATTTGTGACGATGTGTGACGAGGGGGGGGGGGTTGAGAAATGTGACGTCACATCAAAATGCGCAACTTTATGTAAATATACACAACACGTTCTACTTAATTAGACTTTTTAATACATGTTTTCTCCTACAACATCAGAGTGCAGCGCCACATTATATACTCACTACAATGACGATAGTTGAAAGCGATTTGAAGAATGTTTATTTTCAAAATGGAAATATGGTTTTGGGGGGGGGCAGAGCTTTGTGACGTCATATTTGAGGGGGGAGTCTGACTTTTTGTGACGCCGTGTGACGAGGGGGGGGGGGTAAAAAATCGTCCAAAATCGCGTGACGTCATTTATGGACGGCCCCTTAAACTTGGACGTGCGATTTGCACATACTTGCCGTACGCCAGAGAGAGAGAGATCATCACCTGCACCGCTTGGCGTCAGGTCTTCCCCTACGTTCGTCTGCCCGTCTTTCAAAGGCGTTGCTTTGATTTAAAGTTCACTTAAAATCCGATAGGATGGATACAAATGTAAAGAGGAGATTTGAGCTGGTTAAGAAGGATCTTTATTTCCAAGGCAGACTCACACCACGCTTACAGTCGTCATACAACAAGAAACAACCCCGAACCCTCCAGCTCCGTTCCCTTTCATAGCCGCCCCCCCACCCCCCCCCCCCCCCCCCATTTCCACCAATCTCCTCTTCGGGATTTCCCGTCCTTTTATAATCCTTCTCGCACCAATCCGATCGAGGTGTCCTCCACTCCTGGCCCCGTGACCCCCCCCCCCTGACCCTTAACCCGTGGTTGCGTGGCGTTTGTGTGCGAGGATGTCCCGAACATCCCTCTACAAATGTAACTCTCTTTGTAAGCCCATTTGTCAAAGATATCGGTGATCGTGGTCGCCCCACATTTAGCTTCGTCCGTGATATTCACTCTGTCACTTGGCATCGGCCGCTCTCGGTCGCAATCCAATCGTTCCGTCTGCATCTGTCGCTTCATTCACTTATCGCGGTAACCTCCAAATGTCCCCCCGGTAAAAAAAAAAACACATTCCTACTCCGTCTCTTGCGTTCTCGTGGAACCCGTCCAAGAAATCGAGCCCCGCCTTTCTCTAATAATTATTCTCGTGAACTCCCCTTGTTGCGCACCCTGCTGTTATCCACAGCACGCGTGCGTACATCGCTCGTACTCATCTTGTGGAACGTTTAACATCAAGCCCTGTTAAGGAACCACAGTTATGCTGTTTCGCTGTGTGCTCTCTTGGGGCCTTTGTAAACGTATACGTCCTTCAAAGACAGCAATTCTGTTCGCGAGCGAGATGGGAATTCGCGTGAACGTGACGAAGCGTGCCAGTGAATTGCTTAATTGGAAGCGCAATTCGTGCAGAGGGGACTTCTTCATGAGTCATTCCAAAATAATCCAAATCTGAAATATCGATGGATGTTGCCAACTCTCGCGCGGTAAGGGTGGCGATTGGCACACACAAGCACGCAAACAAATACAAAGACCCCCCGTGTAGCCTTTGCCGGGCTGTTGGGGCAAGTGCTGTTTGCGAGTGGCACCTACGAAGGCCGACACGGCGCACGAGGGGGTGGGTGGCCAGCACCACGCCCGGCCGCCTTTGTCTCCCGAGTCGCGGTGTTTACACATTCCACCTAGGGGAGGCCCAGATCAAGTTCAAATATTCGCCACTGACTGATTTAGACAAATGATCCTTGTGGCGGTACCCCGGGGTGCCAAATAAAACTAAATGGCCGAAACAATTAAATATTTTATTTCTGGGACGTTTTTTTTTTGTCCAGGGGTGTTACTTAACTCCGAGACTGGGGTAACCAATCAATCCGAAATCGGTGCCACACTCCGCGACGTCGAAACGCAGCGAGGACGATTTTACGCCTAAACCCTGAACGCTCGTACGCACCGTAGTGGTGCATCGTGTACAGCTCGTCGGGATGAGTCGATTGCCGCATGATCGAACATCAACAGACTAACAAGGACTGCATCACGGACATTGTGCGAGAACCGGGGTACTGTGGTACCCCGGGGTACTGTGGTACCCCGGGGTACCGCCATAAGGTTCATTTGCACTCGCGCACACACACACATATAGCCAACACACAATGACACTTCACACATATTTAAAATCTGTAACTCGTGTAAATTCCTATGCATTCTCCCAGTCAAACACATATACAAAGACAAATTTCCCCCATATTGCCTTTATCACTCCCGGTCGCCTTTATCTCCCTAGTGGCGATGATTACACATCACACCAGGTACTCATTTGAGGCTGAGTCGACCTAGGGGAGGCCCAGGACCGGTTCAGATTATCGTTACCGGTGTTGGCCGTGAGCGTGAATCGAACACGGCTCAGCGCCGTGTTCGCAACGCCACCGCTACACACGAAACACATGGACACGTAGTGCCAACACACACACGTATACACGTGGTGCCCACACACACACGTGGTGCACACACACACGTACACACGTGCTGCCCGTACACACACGTACACACGTAGTGCCAACACACACACGTATACACGTGGTGCCCACACACACACGTGGTGCCCACACACACACACGTGGTGCCCACACACGTGGTGCCCACACACACACACGTGATGCCCACGTACACACACATACACACGTGGTGCCCGTACACACACACACACGTACACACGTGGTGCCCGTACACACACACACACACGTACACACGTGGTGCCCATACACACACACACACGTACACACGTGGTGCCCGTACACACACACACGTACACACGTGGTGCCCGTACACACACGTACACACGTAGTGCCAACACACACACACGTGGTGCCCACACACACACACGTGGTGCCCACACACACACACGTGGTGCCCACACACACACACGTGGTGCCCACACACACACACGTGGTGCCCACACATACACACGTGGTGCCCACACACACACATGTGGTGCCCACACACACGTACACACGTGGTGCCCGTACACACACACACGTACACACGTGGTGCCCACACACGCACACGGCCGGTTCGTAAAGACACACTGCAGAAGAACGCGCGCACTGCGCTGTAACCGTTTGTTGTTGTTCAAGTGAGTTTGCGCGTGAACTATATCAACAGGGCTGAGACTGGCCGCGCAGTACCCGCGTGTCTGGAAGGTCGTTCGTCCCACATTGCACGATGTTTGTAACGCTGCCTTTGTAACTCGTTTGGACTTTAGGACCTGGCCCGCTGCCATGACGTTTATCCAGTTGTTCACAGCAACTCCAAACCACCCGACTGCCGTGTGGGAGGGGGGGCATGTGTATGCGCCCGAAACGTCGTGATTTTTTTTATTTTATTTTATACCTACGTGACTTTACCGAAAGAACCAAAGAGTATGGTGGTATAGTACTATAGTAATAGATCAAGTGCAGAATCACTGAGCCGGAATTGATAGCTTGAAAGCATTTAGCGCGGGGGCCCGTAGCATTTGTAGCTACTTTTGCTACGAGGATAATTAATCCGACAATGCCCGTACATTTGGCTGGCACGATGCTCAGTGTGTCTCACGTTGCCCGCAGAATTAAACATCGCAGCCAGATGGCAGAGTTGCTACGTCGCAGGATCGTGAAAGGTCGCCGGGACGGAGGCCTTCATCCAGCAGTGGATCGACCACGGCTGATGATAAAGATGCCGCTGCTGCTGCTGCTGCTGAAAATGAAATGTGTCTCGTTAATGAATGCACTGCATGCGCTTGCTTCCACACCACGTGCTGGCAACTCCGACACACGACACAAAACCAATGTCGCCACCGCCCCCTCCGCGACTACTCCCTTTTTCACCAAAGGCAAAGATCACCCGTATAGCCTAAACATACTGTTGGGGCAAGTGCTGTTAGCGAGCGCCTATGAAGGCCGGCACGGCCCACGAGCGATGGAGGGGGGCGGGGGTGGGTGGTCAACACCACGCCCGACCGCCTTTAACTCCCTCGTGGCTATGTTGACACACCGCACCAGGGATGTACTCATTTGAGTCTGAGTCGACCTAGGGGAAGGCCGCGGACCGGTTCAAATAATCGTCAGCGTTGTCGGTGGCCGTGAGCGGGGGGAATGGAACGCGGGTGGCTGGGCTTCGTAGCGCAGCGGCGCGCTAACTGCTGCACCACCGCTCCCCCCCCCCATCCCGTACCCCTCTTACACTCACCGTCACCCCTGTTGGCGTAACCACAGACACGGTGGGGGGTCCGATCCGTCGGAACCCGGCGGGTAACGTGGACAACCCGATGCTGACTCGACTGCCGGAGCCCGAGGACGTGACCCAGTGCCTGCAGCTCGGAGCCTTCGACACGGCACCCTTCTTCTCCAACTCCGACGGGAGCTTCCGCAACTCCCTCGAAGGTCGAGAGAGAGAGAGAGCGGCGGTGGCAGCGGTGGCAGCGCACACGGCAGAAGGGGAGACGGGGTCGCGGGGGCCATCGGGAAGTTCTGTCCTTGCGCGCGATGGCAGTAGTAGCACTTTGGTTCAAGGAGCGCGATGTCAATGTCGAGGTGCTGCTGCTGCTGGCCACGACGAGAGGGCTTCGGCAGAGAGAGAGAGTTCGTGTGGTGCTGCTGTTCCTCCTCCTGATCCGTTGAAGGAGCGCAGAACACAGTGGGTTTACTGTGCGGTTCATAAGACTTACATTGCCCATAGGCTTTCATTGCCTATATACTTTAATTCCCCATAGACTTACATTGTCCATAGACTTACATTACGCATAGACTTACATTGCCCATAGTCTTACTTCACCCATATACTTTCATTGCCCATATACTTACATTACCCATAGAATTACATTGCCCATAGACTATTATATTATTGAGTATGGTGACAGTGGCAGCGATCTGTCCAGCGATCTGTCCAGGAGCTCGATGCCAATGTGGAGGTCCTCCTGCTGCTGCTGCTGCTGGCACGGCCAGAGGGCTTCAACCGAGTTCGTGTGGGGTTTTACTGTGCGGTCCACAGTGTGGGTGGCATGGCCACGATCGTTGTCTTTAATGTTTAACTCATGAAGGAGATGTGCGGGCGGGCCTGTTGACGTGCCGGTGATGGCTCCACCACCAGTGTCACTCGAGGCATGTTAAAGCGAGGAGGTGCAATGTTTGGCGCTATTCCCGAAGTCCGCGCTGAGCCACTCTGCTCGCCAGCGGTCTTCCGAAATCCCAGGCGAGATTCTTGGATGGTGACAGCGGTAAGATCCCAGAAGCGGAATTGGGACTTGAGTCGTCAGCGAGAGATACATTGTTGAGGTATTTGTCCAATCGTGGGCAAGATATTTGGTTGGACGCTCGGTCCGATGGAGTGAGATGGCGTTGACATTAGGTGGCTTCCGAGACACTGTCGGCAGCCTCTGTACCCCCATGACCCCGTGTCTACATCCTACATCTGCAAGCTCGCCACGTGTCTCGGTTGAGCCTCCCAGAAATGCGGTGGCCTTGCGCCGGTCTCTCTGCCCCATGCCCCCTGTGCCCTTTATCTCGTTCCCCCCTGTCTCTCACTCTCCCCCTGTCTCCCACTCTCCCCCTGTCCCCACTCTCTCCCTGTGTCCAACTCTCCCCCTGTCCCCACTCACCCCCTGTCTCTCACTCTCCCCCTGTCTCTCACTCTCCCCCTGTCTCCCACTCTCTCCCTGTCTCCCACTCTCCCCCCTGTCCCCACTCTCCCCCCTGTCTCCCACTCTCCCCCTGTCCCCACTCACCCCCTGTCCCCACTCACCCCCCCCCCCGTCCCCACTCTCCCCCTGTCCCCACTCACCCCCCTGTCTCCCACTCTCCCCCTGTCTCCCACTCTCCCCCTGTCTCCCACTCTCCCCCTGTCTCCCACTCTCCCCCTGTCTCCCACTCTCCCCCTGTCTCCCACTCTCTCCCTGTCTCTCACTCTCCCCCTGTCCCCACTCTCCCCCCTGTCCCCACTTTCCCCCCTGCCCCCCCTCCCACTCTCCCCCCTGTCTCTCACTTCCCCCCCCGTCCCCCACTCTCCCCCCCCTGTCTCCCACTCTCTCCCTGTCTCCCACTCCCCCCCCCCCTGTCTCCCACTCTCCCCCTTGTCTCTCACTCTCCCTCCTGTCTCCCACTCTCCCCCCTGTCTCCCACTCTCCCCCCTGTCTCTCACTCTCCCCCTGTCTCTCACTCTCCCCCTGTCTCTCACTCCCCCCCCTGTCTCCCACTCTCCCCCTGTCTCTCACTCTCCCCCTGTCTCTCACTCTCCCCCTGTCTCCCACTCTCTCCCCCCTGTCTCTCACTCTCCCCCTGTCTCTCACTCTCCCCCCTGTCCCCCACTCTCCCCCCTGTCTCCCACTCTCCCCCTTGTCTCTCACTCTCCCTCCTGTCTCCCACTCTCCCCCTGTCTCTCACTCTCCCCCTTGTCTCTCACTCTCCCTCCTGTCTCCCACTCTCCCCCTGTCTCTCACTCTCCCCCTGTCTCTCACTCTCCCCCTGTCTCTCACTCTCCCTCCTGTCTCCCACTCTCCCCCTGTCTCTCACTCTCCCCCTGTCTCTCACTCTCCCCCTGTCTCTCACTCTCCCCCTGGTCCCCCACTCTCCCCCCTGTCCCCCACTCTCCCCCTGTCCCCCACTCTCCCCCTGTCCCCCACTCTCCCCCTTGTCTCTCACTCTCCCCCCTGTCTCTCACTCTCCCCCCTGTCTCCCACTCTCCCCCTTGTCTCTCACTCTCCCCCTTGTCTCTCACTCTCCCCCCTGTCTCTCACTCTCCCCCTGTCCCCCACTCTCCCCCTGTCCCCCACTCTCCCCCTGTCTCTCACTCTCCCCCTGTCTCTCACTCTCCCCCCTGTCTCTCACTCTCCCCCTGTCTCTCACTCTCCCCCCTGTCCCCACTCTCCCCCCTGTCTCTCACTCTCCCCCTGTCTCTCACTCTCCCCCTGTCCCCCACTCTCCCCCCTGTCCCCCACTCTCCCCCTGTCCCCCACTCTCCCCCTTGTCTCTCACTCTCCCCCCTGTCTCTCACTCTCCCCCCTGTCTCCCACTCTCCCCCTTGTCTCTCACTCTCCCCCTTGTCTCTCACTCTCCCCCCTGTCTCTCACTCTCCCCCTGTCCCCCACTCTCCCCCTGTCCCCCACCCTCCCCCTGTCTCTCACTCTCCCCCTGTCTCTCACTCTCCCCCCTGTCTCTCACTCTCCCCCTGTCTCTCACTCTCCCCCCTGTCCCCACTCTCCCTCCTGTCTCCCACTCTCCCCCTGTCTCTCACTCTCCCCCCTGTCCCCACTCTCCCCCCTGCCCCCCCCACTCTCCCCCTGTCCCCCACTCTCCCCCTGTCTCTCACTTCCCCCCCGTCCCCACTCTCCCCCCTGTCTCCCACTCCCCCCCCTGTCTCTCACTCTCCCCCCTGTCTCCCCCCCTGTTCCTACTCTTTCCCCTGCCCCCCCCACTCCCCCCCCCCTGTCCCCCACCCTCCGACAGGCTACTCGGAGCCGTCTGGCCGCTACGACGCCCGTCTCCGCAGCCTGCACAACCTGGCGCACCTGTTCCTGAATGGCACGGGGGGCCAGGTCTACCTCTCCCCCAACGACCCCCTCTTCGTGCCCCTGCACGCGTTCGTGGACGCCGTCTTCGACGAGTGGCTGCGCAGACACGGAGCGGGTGGGTGCAGGGAAGGGGAGGTGAGGGAGGGAGGGAGAGAGGGGATGGAAGGGAGGGAGTGGAGGGAGGGAGGGAGTGGAGGGAGGGAGGGAGTGGAGGGAGTGGAGGGAGGGAGGGATTTGAGGGAGGGAGTGGAGGGAGTGGAGGGAGTGGAGGGAGTGAAGGGAGGGAGGGAGTGGAGGGAGGGAGGGAGTGGAAGGAGGGAAAGAGTGGAGGGAGGGAGAGAGTGGAGGGAGGGAGTGGAGGGGGGAGGGAGGGAGTGTAGGGAAGGAGAGAGTAGAGGGAAGGAGTGGAGGGAGTGGAGGGAGGGAGTGGAGGGAGTGGATGGAGGGAGGGAGTGGAGGGAGTGGAGGCAGGGAGTGGAGGGAGGGAGTTTAAAAAGAGAGGCAGGGATTCGAAGAGGGTGGGTAGGAGAATGTGAAGATGGGACAGAGGGATTGAATGTGAGATTGAAAGCCGGAAGAGCGATTGGGAGGGTTGCAGGCAATGCAAGGAGGAGCTCAGGAGAGAGGCGGAGAGTGGGGGTGTGGAATTGAAGAGGGATGAGAAGCCCCCCCCACCCTCCCAGCGCTGGTGAGTGCAAGGCAGGTTGGCAAAGACCGGCACACACGTGACCGATTCAGACACCGCTCGCCACCGATGGGTCGACGCGTTCGAGACGTCCTCCACCGGGGAGAAAGGAGCGATGTGAGCATCTGCTGGATAGATTTTTACCCATCACGAGATCACTCAGCAGTTTATTGCTCACACCTCCTCCCTCCACTCCCTCCCCGCCCTCCGTCCGCGAGTAGCCCTGACGGCGTTCCCGCTGATGAACGCTCCTCTGGGGCACAACCGCGGCTACCACATGGTGCCCTTCTGGCCGCCCGTGCGCCACTCGGAGATGTTCGTCACGGCACCGGAGAATCTCGGGTACACCTACGAGGTCACCTGGCCAGGTGAGTGCCCCCCCTCCCCCCCCCACCCCTTGCACCGGGCGACCCACGTGTGCCTCAGCACTATCTCAGGTGTGCCTCGGAAGAGCCTCATTGAGACTCCCGACTCTGTTTCAGGAATGTCAATGAGGGTGGTGGTTCAGGTCGGGGGGAGGAGGGGGGCGATGATTGTGTAATTTGTGAGTAGTTTAATATGACGATGATGCAGCTCTCGATGACTCGAGGTGAGGACCGAGATGACGACGCCGATGCCGCTGACGATGCCGATACGAACCAAGATTAACGTTGCATTGCTGATGACCCTGATGATAGCGATGATGATGATGATGATGCTGATGATGACGACAATGAAGATGCCTAAGAACATGATGATGAAGCTGCTTGCCCCGCCTCCCCCTCCCCCCACCCACAGACCAGCAGCTCTCCCAGCTGGAGATCTCGGCCATCTCGGTGCTGTGCGCGCTGTGCGGCGTGGCCCTCGCCTCGGGCTTCCTGGCCCTGGCTCTGCGCGCGCGCCGGAGGAGGAGGGCGGCCCTCCAGGAGAGCCAGGACCCCCTGCGGCCCCTGCTCACCGACAGCGGCTACCAGCGATACGACAGCGGCACCGTGGGCGGCGGGGGGGCGGAGCCCGCACTGCGGAGCAAGACGCACACCGCCGTGTAGCGGCCACGTCGCTCTGGTGGTGGGGGTGGGGGTGGGCGGGTGGGGGGCTCCCGCATGATTTGGAGGGGTGGCGTGATATAGAATTGGGGGGGGGGGGGGGGCAGCGCGCACAAGCATCGAGGTTTCTCTTACTCTTCCCCCCCCCCCACCTCCTTTTTTTTCTTCTAGTCCGGCGGAGAGCATCCGTTGTCTTCCGGACGGACGCGTGTTGTTGAGAATTCCTTTTGCTGAAGACGGGCAGTAGCAGTAGTAGTAATAATAATAATACTTCACATGCATACTGCGGCGTTCCATCTTAGGATTCCCAATGCATGAAAAGCAGAAGAAATTTTTAAAAAAAACAGAACCAGGGACAACCGACCGAACTAAAGAGGGAAGGGCACTTTCAAGAGTTGGGGTTTCAAAGTGCTCCGCATAGCGATGCAAGACCGCTGAGAGGACAGGAGAGACAACACCGCCACCGCTGCAAGTAGCGCGATCATCGTCCGGGACGCCGCGGCTCTCCAAATGCCATTTCGGAATATGTCACGAATTCACGATAGTCCCGGGACACGTTATTTTTCCTTCTGAAATGTCACGTGATTGCACCGCAAATTGCTGCGTTGTGTCAGGGTAGCCGAGAATAATCTTCCACGGGATAATCTCTCCAAATTCGCAAGTAGTGGGGGTGTTCAGAGTCGTCTCAGTATTGCTCGCACTCGTTCTCGGCAATATTGCATGGTGTTGTATTTTTGTTTGTATTGCTGCTGCTGCTCACGGCACCACTGGTCTGCCGTGTGAAACAACCGGGCAACAGGCGGCTAAACGGGACCTTCCGTGCGTAGCAAATCAAAATAAACTAAATACAGTGCACCAAGTCTCTCCGCACGAGTACAAGTACCGTATTGTCCAGATTATAAAGCACGGTTCTCTTTTTTTCCCGTTCCAAGATAATCCCAAAAGTTTTGGGGTGCGTCTAACTTTTGGGAGCGTCTTATAATCCGGAGAATACGGTAAATATGAGAAGGATAGGGGAGGGGGGGGAGGTCCATTATGGGGGGGAGAGGTGGAGGAGAGCTCCCCGCAAACGCTAACCGCTGGGGGGCGGGGGGGCACGAGTGAAACATACTTCCGCCACAAGAGGCCGCTGTCTTCAACATAATTAAAAAATATTATTGAATTAAATTGCTACCAAGTCTTGACGATTCCTCGCATCACATGGGGGGTGGGGGGACCTGGGTGGGGGGTGTCTGGGTGGGGGTGTCTGGGTGGGGGGTGTCTGGGTGGGGGGTGTCTGGGTGGTGGGGGGTGTCTGGGTGGGGGGTGTCTGGGTGGGGGGGGGTCTAGGTGGGGGGGGGGGTCTGGGTGAGGGTCTGTCTGGGTGGGGGGGGTCTGGGTGGGGGTGTCTGGGTGGGGGGGTTGGGTGGGGGTGTCTGGGTCGGGGGGTGTCTGGGTGGGAGGGACTGGGTGGTGGGGGGTGTCTAGGTGGGGGGTGTCTGGGTGGGGGGTGTCTGGGTGGGGGTGTCTGGGTGGGGGGTGTCTGGGTGGGGGGTGTCTGGGTGAGAGGGGGGTCTGGGTGGGGGGGTGTCTGGGGGGGGGGGTGTCTGGGTGGGGGTGTCTGGGTGGGGGGTGTCTGGGTGAGAGGGGGGTCTGGGTGGGGGGGTGTCTGGGTGGGGGGTGTCTGGGTGGGGGGTGTCTGGGTGGGGGGTGTCTGGGTGAGGGGGGGGTCTGGGTGGGGGGGTGTCTAGGTGGGGGGGTGTCTGGCTGGGGGGTGTCTGGGTGGGGGGGTGTCTGGGTGAGGGGGGGTCTAGGTGGGGGGGTGTCTGGGTGGGGGGGTGTCTGGCTGGGGGGTGTCTGGGTGGGGGGGTGCCTGGGTGGGGGGTGTCTGGGTGAGGGGTGTCTGGGTGAGGGGGGTCTGGGTGGGGGGTGTCTGGGTGGGAGAGACTGAGTGGTGGGGGGTGTCTGGTTGGGGGGGGTCTGGGTGGGGGGTGTCTGGGTGGGGGGTGTCTGGGTGGGGGGTGTCTGGGTGGGGGGTGTCTGGGTGAGGGGGGTCTGGGTGGGGGGTGTCTAGGTGGGGGGGTGTCTGGCTGGGGGGTGTCTGGGTGGGGGGGTGTCTGGGTGAGGGGGGGTCTAGGTGGGGGGGTGTCTGGGTGGGGGGGTGTCTGGGTGGGGGGGTGTCTGGGTGAGGGGTGTCTGGGTGGAGGGTGTCTGGGTGGGGGGTGTCTGGGTGAGGGGGGTCTGGGTGGGGGGTGTCTAGGTGGGGGGGTGTCTGGCTGGGGGGTGTCTGGGTGGGGGGGTGTCTGGGTGAGGGGGGGTCTAGGTGGGGGGGTGTCTGGGTGGGGGGGTGTCTGGGTGGGGGGGTGTCTGGGTGAGGGGTGTCTGGGTGGAGGGTGTCTGGGTGGGGGGGTGTCTGGGTGAGGGGTGTCTGGGTGGGAGAGACTGAGTGGTGGGGGGTGTCTGGTTGGGGGGTGTCTGGGTGGGGGGTGTCTGGGTGAGGGGGGTCTGGGTGGGGGGGTGTCTAGGTGGGGGGGTGTCTGGCTGGGGGGTGTCTGGGTGGGGGGGTGTCTGGGTGAGGGGGGGTCTAGGTGGGGGGGTGTCTGGGTGGGGGGGTGTCTGGCTGGGGGGTGTCTGGGTGGGGGGGTGTCTGGGTGAGGGGTGTCTGGGTGGGAGAGACTGAGTGGTGGGGGGTGTCTGGGTGGGGGGTGTCTGGGTGAGGGGGGGTCTGGGTGGGGGGTGTCTGGGTGGGGGGTGTCTAGGTGGGGGGGGTGTCTGGGTGGGGGGTGTCTGGGTGGGGGGGGTGTCTGGGTGAGGGGGGTCTGGGTGGGGGGGTGAATCACGACACATGTCTCACTCCCACCGGCTCCTTTATTTGCTATCCCTCCAATTGTTCCGTCTCTTTTGAACAGTTATGTTCGGGCTCAAGTGTCACCCCGAACGGAACGCCGGCGCACGGCCTGCGTGCGACGAGAGTCGCGTATCGAGTAGTAAATCGATTAATCCCGTGCAGAGGGAGCGGCTGCGACCCGGGGTACCAGACCGGATCAGTGCCACGTGTCGGTTCCACCTCTGTGCAATCTCACGAGCGCTTCTCCTTGACCTCTCTGTGGCCAACAACAATGAGTGTGTGTATCGAGTAATTCGCCATTTACTGGCCACGTACAGTGAGGGAAAAAAAGTATTTGATGCCCTGCTGATTTTGTACGTTTGCCCACTGACAAAGAAATGATCAGTCTATAATTTTAATGGTAGGTTTATTTGAACAGTGAGAGACAGAATAACAACAAAAAAATCCAGAAAAACGCATGTCAAAAATGTTATAAATTGATTTGCATTTTAATGAGGGAAAAAAGTACTTGACCCCTCTGCAAAACATGACTTAGTACTTGGTGGCAAAACCCCTTGTTGGCAATCACAGAGGTCAGACGTTTCTTGTAGTTGGCCACCAGGTTTGCACACATCTCAGGAGGGATTTTGTCCCACTCCTCTTTGCAAATCTTCTCCAAGTCATTATGGTTTCGAGGCTGACGTTTGGCAACTCGAACCTTCAGCTCCCTCCACACATTTTCTATGGGATTAAGGTCTGGAGACTGGCTAGGCCACTCCAAGACCTTAATGTGCTTCATCTTGAGCCACTCGTTTGTTGCCTTGGCCGTGTGTTTTGGGTCATTGTCATGCTGGAATACCCATCCACGACCCATTTTCAATGCCCTGGCTGAGGGAAGGAGGTTCGCACCCAAGATTTGACGGTACATGGCCCCGTCCATCGTCCATTTGATGCGGTGAAGTTGTCCTGTCCCCTTAGCAGAACAACACCCCAAAGCAAAATGTTTCCACCTCCATGTTTGACGGTGGGGATGGTGTTCTTGGGGTCATAGGCAGCATTCCTCCTCCTCCAAACACGGCGAGTTGAGTTGATGCCAAAGAGCTCCATTTTGTCTTCTTTGGTTCTTTCGGTAAAGTCACGTAGAATGAGAATAAAATAATAAAATAAAAATAAGACAATACAATTCTCACGACGTTTCGGCCACAACACAAGCGGCCTTCTTCAGGTGAAAGAACAGAACTGTCGGGACGACAGTGCTTCAATGAGTGCTGCTAAGATTCGTGGCGTCTTTAAAGCTCGGTGATAGGTGTGAATGACCTAGAAAGCAGGAGAATTTAGCATTGAAATAGCTAGGGATTAGCTTGTGACAAAAAATAGCTGTGTTAAAGTCAAAGTTTACATATCAACAGAGGCATTTAGTATATGGACGCTAAAGGGCCTCCAACTACCAAATTTAACCAGCTCCATTTTGGTCTCATCTGACCACAACAGTTTCACCCAGTTGTCCTCTGAATCATTCACATGTTCATTGGCAAACTTCAGACGGGCATGTATATGTGCTTTCTTGAGCAGGGGGACCTTGCGGGCGCTGCAGGATTTCAGTCCTTCACGGCGTAGTGTGTTACCAATTGTTTTCTTGGTGACTATGGTCCCAGCTGCCTTGAGATCATTGACAAGATCCTCCCGTGTAGTTCTGGGCTGATTCCTCACCGTTCTCATGATAATTGCAACTCCACGAGGTGAGATCTTGCATGGAGCCCCAGGCCGAGGGAGATTGACAGTTCTTTTGTGTTTCTTCCATTTGCGAATAATCGCACCAACTGTTGTCACCTTCTCACCAAGCTGCTTGGCAATGGTCTTGTAGCCCATTCCAGCCTTGTGTAGGTCTACAATCTTGTCCCTGACATCCTTGGAGAGCTCTTTGGTCTTGGCCATGGTGGAGAGTTTGGAATCTGATTGATTGATTTCTTCTGTGGACAGGTGGTTTTTTTATACAGGTAACAAGCTGAGATTAGGAACACTCCCTTTAAGAGTGTGCTCCTAATCTCAGCTCGTTACCTGTATAAAAGACACCTGGGAGCCAGAAATCTTTCTAATTGAGAAGGGGTCAAATACTTATTTCCCTCATTAAAATGCACATAAATTCATAACATTTTTGACATGCGTTTTTCTGGTTTTTCTTTTTGTTATTCTGTCTCTCACTGTTCAATTAAAAATTATAGACTGATCATTTCTTTGTCAGTGGGCAAACGTACAAAATCAGCAGGGGATCAAATACGTTTTTTTTCCCTCACTGTAAATACAACTGCTAAAGTTTTGCTAACTTAGATAAAAATTATACTTCTTTTCATTTTAAGAGGTAAGGTCCACAATGCTCTTTTTTAGTAGCGATTTTGGCTGTCACAAATGATAGCTCAAAGAAGTGGCTTATCATCACGTGGGCATTTATGGAGCGTAAACGTAATTGGGTGTGCTTACCTTGAAACGAATTGGCATGTTTTATTTACGTGACAAACCTTACTAATTGGCTGTGTCGGGTGGTGGTGGCAGGTTTAACGACACATTTATATGAAGGGCATCGAACCCAAAACTCTCTGTTATGGAGTGTCTCATCAGCAGTGAGAGCTTTGTTTGGACTGAATCAATGCTGCTAAAAGAAATCACTCCCAGAATGCCACAAGGCTGATGGGATGGGTAAAGATTACTTTGATTTTTTAATATGGCAGATATGTGGAAACATTTTTTACCTATATGTCATTATATTCCCAATCACGACACAAGTATTTTGAGTTATGCACTATTATCAATATAATCTTACATATCATCGCCATCATTTATTGTCGTCATCATCATCGTTATCAACAAAAGCGCCATCAGCGTGAACATCGCCATGACCAATAATTACTGACATCCCTGCCATCGTCATCTCAGCAGCATCTCAACCACAAGCATCACGTCATCAACATGATCACGATCATCACCCACGTCATCACGATCAGCAGCATCCTCATTACATTATCACTGCCATCATCGCACTCAGCACCATCACGTTCATGATGAGGATGGTAATGATCATCATCATCAGCAGCAGTAAGATCCTCCCATCGCTATCATCATTATCATCATCATCTCCTCTGGGGTTACTGTATGAACAGCACGCAATCGTTTATGATGCACTCAGCTTTAAACCGGTTTAACGACACTTGGGTCATGCGTAAATTGATTTTTTTTATTTGGTATGTTGTCTATTAATCCGTTCGCATCTGCCTAGTAAAAGAGACAAAGATCCCCCGTGTAGCCTGCACAGTTTGTGAGTGGCAAGGGCTCGTTGACAAACAACCGAGTAGCCCTGGCACGGCGCAGGAGATGGCGTGGCCAGCGAACACGCATTCAAGGCTGAGTCGACCTAGGGGAGGCGCACAGGACCAGTTAATCAATCCTGACCCTGACGCCTGCTGTATATTTAGAGTTAGCGTGTCTCTCTCCCCGTGGTCGCGTGAAATTTTTTCCGGGTCCTCCGGGTTTTCCCTCCACATTTAGAAACAACATCACGCGTCTAGAGGATGTGGCTCTTATACATGTCCACGTGATAAGCCACGTTGAGCTATCATTTGTCGCCAGGTCACTTCTGAAAACGAACCATATGGCGCAGTGGGGGCCTTACCTGGTAAAAAAAAAAATATGCAGTCAGGGCATGGTCTACCGAATCCTCAACATGGAGGAATTAATGAGTGAAGTTCAGGGAAACGGTAACCATAATAGTCGCGATAGAAGAGTGGCAGAGATGCGACTGGCCGCTGGTGAGTGATTTGAGTGCATCAGGGAGTGCTGCACCATCAGTCGGCCTGGCTGGACTACTTTGTGTTGGAGTGAGGGAGTGATTGGAGTGCATCAGGGAGTGCTGCACCCTCAGTCGGCCTGGCCGGACTACTTTGTGTTGGAGTGAGGGAGTGAACGGAGTGCATCAGTGAGTGCTGCACCATCAGTCGGCCTGGCCGGACTACTTTGTGTTGGAGTGAGGGAGTGATTGGAGTGCATCAGGGAGTGCTGCACCCTCAGTCGGCCTGGCCGGACTACTTTGTGTTGGAGTGAGGGAGTGAACGGAGTGCATCAGTGAGTGCTGCACCATCAGTCGGCCTGGCCGGACTACTTTGTGTTGGGGTGAGGGAGTGATTGGAGTGCATCAGTGAGCGCTGCACCATCAGTCGGCCTGGCCGGACTACTTTGTGTTGGAGTGAGGGAGTGATTGGAGTGCATCAGTGAGCGCTGCACCATCAGTCGGCCTGGCCGGACTACTTTGTGTTGGAGTGAGGGAGTGATTGGAGTGCATCAGTGAGTGCTGCACCATCAGTCGGCCTGGCCGGACTACTTTGCGTAGAAGTCTACCGCACTGCAGTGAGGTAGCCGCTGGGCGCTCCACCCCCAGACGTGACAGCGGAATAAATAAATATCCTCCGCTGAAACGATCACCGAATCTATTTCAAACAATGAAGACCCCCCCCCCCATGCGGTGCGCGCGTGTTACTAAACGCTGTCCAATCAAATGTTGAATTTTTCAAGAAGCACAAAGCCCTGCCTTCACTCGGCGCGAATTCCCAAAAGGGTTCTGCTCACATTGCATTTGCATTGCATTATCTTGACGTGGGTTATCGTGACCCCCCTCTCCTCTCTCTCGCACGTGACAGACGATCAAACAGACGGAAACAAATAAATCAGAAACGTTCTCAACTTTAGTTGGGAGGGATAAAACAACAACAAGACCACACAGAACCAAAGTTTTAGTTTCATGGGTAAAAAAAAAATAATGTGTGTTAAATAGTTTTAAGGTCCGAACGAGCACCCGTTTCTAACGGAGAGGGGACATTGCCTATACACATCTGGGCAGTTCGTTAGCATTTGCTCAAGCGAGTCTGACTCCGTTGATGACGCAATGTAAGTCAAAATTGGTCCAGAGTTTTGTTTGTGTTGAGCCAATGCTACTCATATGACACACTCATAAATGACCGGGTAGCTGAAGGGATGTGTTTTATTGAGTGATTTAAGCATACAGTACTTTTATTATCTTGTATGTGGAGGTACCGATGCGCGTGTTTGAGGGGTGGTGTCTAGTGGGTAATGGCACGAGGAGTGACGGATGAAGCTAGTGCGAGGCCTGTAGCATATGTTATGAAGGGGCCCTAAATAAAATAAAAACACGTAAATATTAAAACAATGTTTAACTTGCACAGTAAAGTAATTGTATTTTTTCATTTGCTATAGAACCAGATAATACGACAAATCGCTAGCCTTAAACATCCAGTCTTTCATGAAAGTTGAAGGCGGTATAGTACTATAGTAATAGAGCAAGTACAGAATTGCTGAACCGGAATTGATAGCTTGAAAGCATTTAGCGCGGGGCCCTTGAATGTGCGGGGCCCGTAGCTACTATGTAGTAGTTACATATGTAGTTACATGTGTAGTAGTTACATGTGTAGTAGCTACATGTGTAGTAGCTACTACATGTGTAGCTGCTACATGTGTAGAAGTTACATATGTAGTAGCTACATGTGTAGTAGCTACATGTGTAGTAGTAGCTACTACATATGTAGTAGTAGTTACTACATGTGTGTAGTATTAGCTACTACTACATGTGTAGTAGTAGCTGTTACTACACATGTAGCTACTACACATGTAGTAACTACTACTACACATGTAGTAGCTACATGTGTAGTAGCTACTACATGTGTAGCTGCTACATGTGTAGACGTTACATATGTAGTAGATACATGTGTAGTAGCTACATGTGTAGTAGCTACTACATATGTAGTAGTAGTTACTACATGTGTGTAGTATTAGCTACTACTACTACATCTGTGTAGTAGTAGTTACTACACATGTAGCTACATGTAGCTACTACTACACATGTAGTAACTACTACTACACATGTAGCTACTACATATGTAGTAGTAGTAGTTACTACATGTGTGTAGTATTAGCTACTACTACTACTACATGTGTGTAGTAGTAGTTACTACACATGTAGCTACATGTAGCTACTACTACACATGTAGTAACTACTACTACACACATGTAGTAGCTACATGTGTGTAGTAGTAGCTACATGTGTAGTAGTAGTTACTACATGTGTGTAGTAGTAGTTACTACATGTGTGTAGTAGCTACATGTGTAGTAGTAGTTACTACATGTGTGCAGTTACTACATGTGGGTAGTAGTAGTAGCTACTAGGATAATCCGGCACTGGGTGTGTGGTAGGGCTCAACGATTTAGGGAAAATCTCTAATTGCGATTTTTCTGACAGATATTGCGATTTGATTTTTTTTAAGTCAAGCTTCAGTTCAATATTCAGTGTAACAGATGTAAAACACGTGATGGAGCATTACCACGTGATTCCATCAAAATATGAACTGCTCTATATATTATAATGCAAGGATGGTAACTTAAAATATATTAATTACTTCCCCCGTGTATTTTTTAAAATTAATTGAAATAGAACAATCAAACATAGAACAATTGTTAAGTTAAATAAATAAAGTTTTCATAATTAAAAAATCCGACTATTCCAATAAGAAGGTCAGGACTTTTCAAATCGCAGCCTTTGCGATTTGCTAATCACATTGTTTCAAATTGCGACTTAAATTCGAAATCGATTAATCGTTCAGCGCGAGTGTGTGGGGTGAGTGTCTTGAGCTCAGTCACTTTGCACGAACATCGCAGCAGCAGCAGCGCAGGAGGAGGAGGGGGCTGAGAGTGAGGGACAATGTTATGACGACACCGAGTGTGCCAGAGGTGGTTGGTGGTTGTGTGGATGATGATGTCGTGGTGAGCTGAGCGAGGCGTGGTTCATGGATGAGGGTGTCGATGGGCCGGTGGAGGGAGTTTGGAGGGAGGGAGGGGAGTGACGTGGATGAGGGTGTCGATGGGCCGGTGGAGGGAGTTTGGAGGGGAGTGACGTGGATGAGGGTGTGCTCCACAGACGACGATCTTCTTGCTTCTCTTCCCCACCTCTCCCTCTCTCCACGCTCCCATTGGCTCTCCCCGTGCCACTGCGCTGCCCGTGACGCCCACCGCTCGCGTTTAAAACCGCGGCTCCGATTCGGCAGCCGCTCTCAAATTCCACGCGTCCGACCAGCGAGTGGCGTGCCGGTGACGGTAGACACGGTGCTTGTCCCATCCTTCTTGACACCTCCTCGTCTAACCCCAAATAACCTCCCTCCCCCCCACGCCCACCCTGCCTGCCGTCGCCACATACGTGGATCCTCACTGAGCTCCCCCATCTTGCTAGTGAGCCCTCTCGCCAAAAGTCAGCCCCCCGGACCACGTCCAAAAAGTGAGCACCAACCTCACTCCTCCTCCTCTCCACGCTCCCAACCAGCCATGCTGAGAGCGGCGCTGGCAGTGCGATGCAGGTGTCCACTCGGGGCATCCGTGACACGGCGTGCTACTCCCAGGGCCCTCGCCTCCACGTGCGCGGCCGGGCCCGCCGCCGCGGAGCGCACGGGGGCCTCGGCTCCCGGTGGGGGGCCCGGCCAGACTGCTGCCTCCCGCGCGAGGCTGCACTCGAGCGCGGGGGCCGGGTCGGGCCGGGGTCTCGACCGCCTCCTCCCGCGACACGACGACTTCTCTGAGAGGCACATTGGACCGGGGCCCGAGGAGAGGCGAGAGATGCTGGCTACGCTGGGGCTACAGGTGAGAGAAGTGGGGGGCGGTGGGGGCCGGCTTAGGTGGTGGGGGGGGGGGGGCAGAGGGGTTGGGCAGAGGGTACTGTCGGTAAGAGAACGGTTAGGACGGCAATGGGGGGGGGGGGGTGGGTGCACGGATGGAAGTTGCGGGCAATTGAGCACGTGGAGGAGGAGCACACTGGGGGGGGGGGGGGGGGGGGAGGGAGAACAGCGGTGGTTAGTAAATGGGGGTCTCCACGGGAGTCGGAGGCGGGGGGGGGGGGCAGTGGTGTGAGCCAAGGGGGTGATGGGGTATAGAGGTGGTGGTGGTGGGGGGGCAGATTTAGTAGGGGGGGCAGAGTGGGTGCGTGCGTGCGTGCGAGTCGGTTGGGTAGAGGAGCAAGAAACGGTGTGGAGCGGGGGGGGGCAAAGACGTTTGTGGGGGGCACAATGAGTGACGGTGGGTCGTGTGTGGGGGGGGGCAGCAAACACGTAGGGGAGGGAGTTAGCGATGTGGCGGCGAGGGGGGGGGTGATTACTGAGAGGGGGGCAGGGAGAGCGACGCGGATGGAGCCGGAATTCGAACAAAACTAATCTCGCCCCAATACAGCTCTCTACGGATAGGGCCGATTGCCTGAAACGCCGCCGATTATGAATTTAAATTTAAAGCGGCGATAAGCCGCGACTGTTTTCGGTTGGTCGTGGATTCGAGGTGGATTGCGCTGTTGACGGTGGTGGCACCGAGGCCGGTGAAGCGACGCTCGCGCGCATCGATGGAGCACCGCGAGTGTTCGTAACGCAGGCTGTACTCCAATGATGTGGGTCGACCCGTAACCCCTGGGTTTGTCCCGTGAGCTCCAGCCAGCGGCGAGCCTTGCCACAAGTGCACCTAGCCTGGCACAAGCGCCGTGGTGACGCCACCGTCACAGAGCGGCATATGACGGTTGTTGTTCTATCATGGCCACCACCTGTGGCTCATTGTTTGACTTTCGGCGAAACCCAAAATCGTTTCAGCACTGTGGGGGGAGAGGGAGCGAGCGAGCGTGTGGGGGAGATGGAGCGAGCGAGTCTGGGGGAGCTGGAGCGAGCGAGCGTGGGGGTGAGATGGAGCGAGTGTGTGGGTGAGATGGAGCGAGCGTGTGGTGGAGATGGAGCGAGCGAGTGATTTGGAGATGGAGCGAGCGAGTGTGGTGGAGATGGAGCGAGCGAGTGTGGTGGAGATGGAGCGAGCGAGTGTGGTGGAGATGGAGCGAGCGAGTGTGGTGGAGATGGAGCGAGCGAGTGTGGGGGAGATGGAGCGAGCGAGTGTGTGGGGGAGATGGAGCGAACGAGTGTGGGGGAGATGGAGCGAGCGAGTGTGTGGGGGAGATGGAGCGAGCGAGTGTGGGGGAGATGGAGCGAGCGAGTGTGTGGTGGAGATGGAGCGAGCGAGTGTGTAGTGGAGATGGAGCGAGCGAGTGTGTGGTGGAGATGGAGCGAGCGAGTGTGTGGTGGAGATGGAGCGAGCGAGTGTGTGGTGGAGATGGAGCGAGCGAGTGTGGTGGAGATGGAGCGAGCGAGTGTGTGTTGGAGATGGAGCGAGCGAGTGTGTGGGGGAGATGGAGCGAGTGAGTGTGGTGGAGATGGAGCGAGCGAGTGTGGTGGAGATGGAGCGAGCGAGTGTGTGTTGGAGATGGAGCGAGCGAGTGTGTGGGGGAGATGGAGCGAGTGAGTGTGGTGGAGATGGAGCGAGCGAGTGTGGGGGGAGATGGAGCGAGCGAGTGTGGGGGGAGATGGAGCGAGCGAGTGTGGGGGGAGATGGAGCGAGCGAGTGTGGGGGGAGATGGAGCGAGCGAGTGTGGTGGAGATGGAGCGAGCGAGTGTGGGGGAGATGGAGCGAGCGAGCGTGTGGGGGAGATGGAGCTAGCGAGTGATTTGGAGATGGAGCAAGCGAGTGTGTGGGGGAGATGGAGCGAGCGAGTGTGTGGGTGAGATGGAGCGAGCGAGTGTGGTGTAGATCGAGCGAGCGTGTGGTGGAGATGGAGCGAGCGAGTGTGGTGGAGATGGAGCGAGTGTGTGGGGGAGATGGAGCGAGCGAGTGTGGGGGGAGATGGAGCGAGCGAGTGTGGTGGAGATGGAGCGAGCGTGTGGTGGAGATGGAGCGAGCGAGTGTGGTGGAGATGGAGCGAGTGTGTGGGGGAGATGGAGCGAGCGAGTGTGGGGGGGAGATAGAGCGAGGGGGCGTTGCAAGTGACCCGTTGTCTGTGTTGCAGAGCATGAGCGAGCTGGTGGACATGACCATCCCAGCCAGCATCCGACTCAACCGAGAGCTCAGGATGGAGGATCCAATCTGTGAGTATCCCGCCAGAGAGAGGGAGCGTGTGGGGGATGGAGAGAGGGAGGGAGCGTGTGGGAGATGGAGAGAGAGCGTGTGGGAGATGGAGAGAGGGAGGGAGCGTGTGGGAGATGGAGAGAGGGAGGGAGCGTGGGAATGGCCATGAGAAGAGAGTTACGGGAGCGTGATATTAAACACAAAGCGAGATTGACGAAGTGCACCTAGCCTGGCACTGGCGCCGTGGTGACGTCACTGTCACTTAGCGGCGAGTGTCGGTTGTTATTGTTGTGTATGGTATTGGGGATACAAAGGCGGTCGTGCGTGGTGCTGGCCACCCACCCCCTCGTGTGCTGTGCCGGCTTGCATAGGTGCTCGCCGACAGCTCTTGCCCCATCAGTCTGTTAAGGCTATACGGGGGGATTTTTGTCTTTGTAATACACTAGTTTCATACACTCCGAGGCTGGTAACGATCACCACCAATCATCATCACCACCAAGACAATCATCACCACCACCACAATCATCACCACCACCACCACAATAATCATCATCACCACCACCACAATCATCATCACCATAACAGTCATCATCACAGTCATCATCATCACCACAATCATCATCACAATCATCACAAACAGCACAATCATCACCACCACAATCATCACCACCACAATCATCATCATCACCACCACAATCATCATCATCACCACAATCATCATCATCACCACCACAATCATCATCATCATCACCACCACAATCATCATCATCATCACCACCACAATCATCACCACCACAATCATCATCACCACAATCATCATCACCACCACCACAATCATCATCACCACAATCATCATCATCACCACCACAATCATCATCATCACCACCACAATCATCATCATCACCACCACCACAATCATCATCACCACCACAATCATCATCATCATCACCACCACCACAATCATCATCACCACCACAATCCTCATCACCACCACAATCATCATCATCACAATCACCACCACCACAATCATCACCACCACAATCATCATCACCACCACCACAATCATCATCACCACCACAATCATCACCACCACCACAATCATCATCACCACCACCACAATCATCATCACCACCACCACAATCATCATCACCACCACCACAATCATCATCACCACCACCACAATCATCATCACCACCACCACAATCATCACCACCACCACAATCATCACCACCACCACCACAATCATCACCACCACCACAATCATCACCACCACCACAATCATCACCACCACCACCACAATCATCACCACCACCACCACAATCATCACCACCACCACCACAATCATCACCACCACCACCACCACAATCATCACCACCACCACAATCATCACCACCACCACAATCATCACCACCACCACCACTACCACAATCATCACCACCACCACAATCATCACCACCACCACCACAATCATCACCACCACCACCACAATCATCACCACCACCACCACCACAATCATCACCACCACAATCACCACCGCCCACCACCGTCACCACAATCATCATCACCACCACCACCACAATCATCACCACCACCACCACAATCATCACCACCACCACCACAATCATCACCACCACCACCACCACAATCATCACCACCACCACCACAATCACCACCACCACAATCATCACCACCACCACCACAATCATCACCACCACCACAATCATCACCACCACCACCACCACAATCATCACCACCACCACAATCATCACCACCACCACCACAATCATCACCACCACCACCACAATCATCACCACCACCACCACCACAATCATCACCACCACCACCACCACCACAATCATCACCACCACAATCATCACCACCACCACCACCACAATCATCACCACCACAATCATCACCACCACCACCACCACAATCATCACCACCACAATCATCACCACCACCACCACCACAATCATCACCACCACAATCATCACCACCACCACCATCACTCGCATTATCACCGTCATCACTATCATCAATATAATCATCTTCACCATTATCACCACTACCGGTCACTAGCATCATCTTCACTTTCATCATCTTTTCATATTTAGTTTGTCCTTACCACGCACCTCCGATTTGCACGGTTGGCTACGTACGGTGCAAAAGAAGTTCAACATAGAGTACATGACATCGCCACCACTACATTGCCTTACGAGCATCAATACGGTTCCCATGATTGTCGTTATCACGGCTGCCAACACTGACATCATCATCATCATCCTGCTCCCAATTAATAATTCCGTCACGATCTCTCCCGCTAACTTTGCCCATCCCCCCCCCCCTCTATGGGGGCGTCTCCCGAGTGACCACATCGCGTGACCCGAACTGACCACGAGGGCCCGTGGGAAGTTGCGATGGAACCACGAGAGAGTGAGAGACTGAGAGCTTTAGCAGACCATGAGCCGGCCATCCAGCGGTGGATAGAGAACGCCCCCGCCCCACCCACTGCCCCCCCCCCAGCCCCCAAGTCCCCCCAGTCCCTGCTGTGTGGACCCTGGCTGTGAATAATAATGAGAGTCGTCTCCTTTATCCGCTTTGTGTTTGGCTCTCTGCGGCTCAATCCGAGCCACGTGATGCGGGGTGGGGGTTGTTGTGGTGGTTGTGGTGGGGGGGGGTCGAAGGGGGGCTGGAGGGGGGGTGGAGACCCGGCCTCGAATCTTCAGAAGTTGCACCCAAAAGTCGGCATGGATTAAATCTTCAGCCTTAGGAGATGGATACAAACATGCGACCTGGCTTCGCTTTTCAGAATCGCTAACTGTTCCCGATGGCCTTGAACCGGCAACCGAAATGATGAGTGGGATTCACGTAACGAATGCACGGATTGGCCCGGGCGAAGCACGGCGTGCAATTGCCCGGCTCGCGCCGCAGATGGCGGAAGGAAGGTGCCCGCCTCCCGTAATTGGGGAACGCTGTTCGAGTCTTTGGCCTACTCTTCCACGCTGATCACAAGTATATATATTTTTATAGGGGTTTACGCGACCTGCTGTGTTCGTGGGCTGCGGTGGGCGAACCCGTGAACAACTGCTGGGTGGGTGGACGGTGTGTGGGGGGGCAGTGTGTGGGGCAGTGTGTGGGGCAGTGTGCGGGGCAGTGTGCGGGGCAGTGTGCGGGGCAGTGTGCGGGGCAGTGTGTGGGGCAGTGTGTGGGGCAGTGTGTGGGGCAGTGTGTGGGGCAGTGTGTGGGGCAGTGTGTGGGGCAGTGTGGGGGCCAGTTTAAGAAACTTGCCACCCCCCCCCCCCGTTCTTTCTTTCAACTGCCGAGATGAGAGTCGAACTTCTGCACTGCAAGTTCAGTGGGCGCGCGCGCGCCTCTGACCCGACACTCCACACCTGGCAGACAGAAGCTGCAGTCAAATCTCCGTTAAGAACACGCAACCGTCACGTGCACACAAAGTAGTTCATCTATATCGTGCGGAAAACGGGTAACCGGTTTTTTTCCCTCTCCAGTGCGGTTACCGGTTGCGGAACATTGCCCAACCCTAATATGTCCACGTGCTGTGTGTGAGTGTGTGAGAGTGTGAGTGTGTGAGTGAGTGTGTGAGTGAGTGTTAGGCTCGCTGTATTTATAGGCGGTGCTGCGAGGAGCCATCTGCAGACCAGACACCCCGATTTAAACATCCTTGAACCAGTTTTCTCCGGATCCCTGTTTACCCCATTTGAAGGCTGGCCACCGCAAGCCCCCACTCCTCCCCACTAAGGGGGTTCAACAGAGGCGACTGGGCCCCTAATGAGCCCCCCCCCCCGGTCCAAGCGACATGAGAGGAATCCGTATAATGTGACCCAGCACCCACCCACCTTATCTAATGCGAGTCCCGTGTCTATGCGTATGGATCTGTATTATTATTATATTCGCCCGTGGTCAATAGTCGTGCGTTTTTTTGTGCGTAACGAGTGGTCGTGCAGTGGTTGGCTTGCTGCGTCACGATGGAGACAAAGGCGGCCGAGGAACAGTGCTGGCCACCCACCTCGAAAAGTGTACCGCGTGCCGGCCTCCATAGGTGCTACTCGCTAACAGCACTCGCTCCTCCGGTCTGTTAAGGCTACACGGGCGATCTTTGTCTTTTTGTGTCGGCGTTAAGTGATTTTTTTTAGTGTACTTGTGTGTCGGTTTATTCCCGTGTGTCTGTGCATTTGTGGAGAACGTTGGTGCAGTGGTTGGCGAGCTTGCGCGACTACGAACCCAGCGACCCGAGTTCAATTCCTGCTCGTGGCCACCAGCACATGCAACTATTACCTGCATCGGTCTTGGAGCGTCCCCTAGGTCGACTCGGCCCTAAACTTAGTACCAGGTGCGGTGGTGCGTAAACATCAACATTGTGGAGACAAAGGCGGCCGGGCGTGGTGCTGTCGTTTATTATCATCATCAGCCGCAGCCATGATCAATCCACTGCTAAATGAATTCTCTCCCCCAAACCGTTGAAAAGTCTCTTTTTTTACGGGGGGTTTGTTTGCACAGTCTGGAGACCGTGAACTTGAGGGGGTGGGGTCGGGGGATGAGTGGGGGGGGGGGGAGGGTGGGAGGCTGCACATTCCTGAATCTCATTTTCATTTATTCTTTCTTTTCTATTTTTTCGCAATTCCTCTGCTGCTGCTGCTGCTGCTGGTGGCGGTAGTGGTGGTGGTAGTGGTGGTGGTCGTGTTGGCGGTCCCACGGGAGACTGGCAGACGCTGCAGTTTTTACAACTCTTGCAGCTCGCAACTCTTTCTGCAATGTACAATATGTCCTGGTCTTTGTTAGAGGCACCTCGCCTGGTTACACACGCGTCAGCGTGGCCGCCACGGGTGGCGAGATGTTCACCACCTCGCCGGGTGTACAGGAGGTCGTGGGTTCAATCCCGACCCTGACGCCTGCTGTGTATTTGGAGTTTGCGCGTCTCTCTCCCCGTGGTTGCGTGGAGTTTTCTCCATTTAGAAGCATGCGTTGAGAGTTATTGGCTGCTATACATTGCCACGTGATA